GTTTGGAATCAAATTCAACCAAAAAAATATGAAAAAAGTCACTTACAGAATTATAAAAGTTGCTTCTGTACATACAATAATACTTAAGCTGTTTGTTCCAACTTTTGTTTTAAGATTTAACGTACTCAAATTGAGATGAACTAAGATTTTTTAGTGGCGCCTTTCTGTACCTCAGTCTATTATGATAAATGTGACAAGGTTAAGGCAAGATCCTAGAAAGAATCCGTTCCATAAATGTTAAATGTCAAGTTTGAATCCTGGTTTAAGTGTTTTAAAATCAATATTTCAACCAGTATTAGCCTCAAAGTTAAACCTACAAAAACGTACCGTAAGAATTGTATGAATCTGTTTTGTGTGTGAAAGTGGAGGTATCTGGGCAGGCCGATCTCGCAGACTGTCACCCGCTGCCATATAAAAGGCAGCGGGGCTACTTTCATAGATTTGACAGTCAGTTACATTTTTTTATTTTTTTCCCAATTTATTTTTGTATCGGCCTACATCACAGCAGTAGTTATCTCAGGGGACTTTACAAAACACAGATCAGAGGACCAATGAGAATCAATGAATGCAATGATAAAAACACATTGGTATTGGCTCGTAAGGGGCAGAAGTAAAAAAATAAATATAAAAATGGATATATGTTGTTGACTGTTGAGTGTCCTGGATCATCACCACTGTCCTTAAGTTAGACCCTCCTGCATCTGCAAGGAAAAACTTTAAAACCCAGCGCGAGAAGGTGAGAAACAGCGGGGAGGCCCACATTGAGAGAGGTCTGCTCCCACGGACAGACAGGCCGTAGATCCAGGGCTCAGAATCCCACTGTATTTTTCAGCCTTTCTCTTGGGAAGGATCTAAGGACATTTAGGAACATTCACAGACATCTACTGCTCAGACAAATACCACAGAATGATAAAATATGAGGTAATAAATGCTTGAATTGAGTGGTTACTTTAATTGAGTTAATTCTTATTGTCCTAAAACAAGATTTTCCAATGGGATAAAGCTAGTTAGTCTAAAGAACTATTGCTTTATTTTCTCATTCCAAGGCAGAAATGTCTTGTATCTTTTCAAAACAAGATCATTTTGCTTTTTCCCATTGGCAAATCTTGTTTTAAGGCAGTCAAAAAGTGCTCAAATTAAGATTAAGACTTGTAGCATCACATACAGACCATACTCGTTTGTGTTTCTTATTATTACATTTCCTGTGTTCACACGGTTTGATCTGTTGTTGGCGAGACACTGTAAATAGCCTTTGTCTAAACATGATGCATTGTTATTTTCAGGCCAGAGGACGGAGAGATCCACCCGGAGATCTGCCGGCTCTTCATCCAGCTACAGTGCTGTCTGGAGATGTACATCACAGAGATGCTGAAGTCTGTGTGTCTGCTGGGCTCTCTGCAGCTGCACCGCAAAGGTCACAACAACGGCTTCTTTCATTCTACTGCACTCTCATCCATCATCATCATCATCATCATCATCGTCGTCATCATCATCATCATATGTTTATTTGTATAGCATATTTCTTACACATACATGCAGCCCAATGCGCTTAACAACATCACAGCAAGTAAAAGACCACAGGATATTTTATGGAACGATTTGGACAAAATATCTAATAATTCTGACAAACATTGTAATTCTGATGTCCTGTAGGTTTAAAAAGTCTTATTTAACAAAAAGAGAAATCTTCCAAATTTCAATTGGGATTTTTTGCGTATCTTTACTCCTTTTTTGTTTGCAAAGAACTTCAATAATCGCAATGTTTTTGATTTACTTGTGGCCAGAAAAATGCGATGAAATGTGCAGCCCTCACTCATGTCCACAGGGTCTCATTCAACTGGCTTTACTTTGAATCAGAAAAAATCCAGTCCAAAGAAAGTTGATTTGTGGATTTATCTATCAAGTGTTTGAGTGTTTTCAAAAATGTGTGAAGCACATTCAGGTAGAACTAATTAGCTGAAGTTACACACGCTGTTTTACTGCACACACAATTTACCACCTGCACGGACGCACAAACCCTGCAGCACACAGTCTGAAGGCCGCTCAGGTCAGTGCTTTCCTCTGGAGTTGTAACCATTGTAATGTCTGTGCAGGTAAAGAGCCATGTGGACCCATTGTGTTGGACAGTCGTGTGGACGAGAGCTCGGACATCCCCATCCTGGAGGACACCTCCTCCTCCCCCACAGACTGTCCTCAGCTCTGCTGGCTGCTGGCCACCGACATCGACAACATTGAAAAGTATGGGCAAGCTTTGTGTTTCTATCATGTGAATGTATTGTTACTTGTTTGTGACTGACGTAGAGCGTGCTTGTGTTTTTGTCAGGGACATGAGGGAGATGAAGAACCTTCTCAGTAAACTCAGGGAGACTATGCCTTTACCACTCAAGAACCAAGGTACTGTTCTTAAAGTGTAGTATTCTCCCAACGTCCACAGAGCTCTGACCTGTGCCTCTTCCATGCAGATGACAGTAGCCTGCTGAACCTGACTCCTTACCCACTGGTCCGACAGCGGAAGAGGCGCTTCTTTGGCCTCTGTTGCCTAGTAACCAGCTAAGGGCCCCGCCTTGTGGGTAGGAGCCACAAAGACACCATTTCCCACTGTCCTTCACCACGTGTGTCTCCCACCAATCTTACTGCCATTTTCCAATCTCTCTATCGCTCTCTTTTTTTTAGAAGCTACCCATTTTATAATTTTATTTTGTAATACAAAGAATTGTAATTGCAAAGTAATGCAAAGTCATGAACCTATATTTTAAGATACTTTGCAACTCTTTTTTGGTAAACTAAGTCCAAAATTGCTTGTCCAATGTATGAGGTTGATGTCCGGTTACCTCCTTAAAGTCTTGAATGAATGATACAAAGATTCATGTTTTAAAAAAGGGAATATTCTTGTTTGTTTTGTCTGTGGAAACTCGGCCTCGCAGGACCGCACCGTCCTCGCTCTGACCTGAGGCGCTGAGTAAGTTAGTCGTGTACTGCAGTCTTTCTGTTTGTTGCCGTTTTTTCTCTTAAATGTACTTTATTTAGTCTTCCATGAACCAAGAACCTGTACCCAACTTTAACTTTACAGCTTCAACAATGGAATATATGATAGAATACATGAAATGACTTTGCACACAATATCTATGTATAAACTCGAGACATTAGACTTGTGTATATATACATACTCTTTACGCAATGCTCTCTATTATTCCGGAGTGAGAGGAGGAGGGGTGTCGGGAGTGAGCGGAGGGCCTGGCTCTTATGGGACGGGCAGCATGGCTCTAGCTTCTAAAGGTAGTGACGTCTGTGTAGGGCACGCTGAAAGAACCGTAGTCAATGCTGATAGGTCATTTTACATTGTTAATAAATTTTTGTTATGAAAATCTACATCCGACTGTGTTCATGTTTTTTTTCAGTCATTACAACTAAAAAACACAAGTATTAGATCAGATTAGTCCAGGACTTTCAGTGCGGATGTTGTTTCCTTGCGTCATGGTGGGTTTTTCTCCGTGCGCTCCGGTTTCCCCATCACCCAAAACATGTGCAAAGGATACATTTACCTCCAGAGACAATAAAATATACCTTGCTCATTTTCCAAATATCTCAAAAACGCCTGCGGCTTTTAGCAACATTCTAATTGAAATTCCAAATTAAAGATATATTGGAGGATCTTCCCAAATTTTCGGAATGAACCGCCCTCTTCAAATTTTGAACAAAACTCTCTGGTCTTGTTAGACGAGCATGTATCACCAGAATGATTGACAATTAGGAGGACTAAAAGTCTTGATGATCTACCCGGCAGTAGAAAAAATCCTCCCATATACCTTTAACAAAATGTATGTGCAGTTTTTGTGCAATTTCGCTGGCAGCCGAAGGAAACTTACACAGACAAGGGGAGAACATGCAAACAATAGGCACCAAAACATGTAATTCACTCAACATTCATTACAGAAACTTTTCAACTTTATTTGTAAGTGACACAACTGACCACAAGATGGAGACAGAAAACAGAAAAGTAAAACATTGACTGTAGGTTTCACATTAGGCTAATTTACTGTCATTGTCATTTCTTAAGCACAGGTCACATACAATATTATCTTTTTGTTGGCAAAATAGATGGGACAATATATTTTTGGACTAAGTATTTATTCATTCTATCAATTGTATGTGGAATACTTGTGTGTAATCCTATGTGAATATGATTGAAGAAGTCACTTTTACAGTTTTATTCTGCTTTTATTAGTTGCAGCACACACCTTTTGAAATGTTAGACTGTTTATTTTTTATATGGACGTATCTTGGTGCAATGACACCTGTTATAAATATAAATGAAGAAGAAAAGAAGAATAAATGACTGCATTAACACAAAAGCACTAGTTAGAACCGGTGCGTTGCAACTGAGGTGTTACACTCGTGGAACCATTTCCACTCTGATTATGCTGGCATGTAACCACGGAAACCTGATCCTATTGAGACACGAATCACAGATGCATTTGAGAGCACAAAGAAAGCCATGCTTGTATTAGAAGTGTGTGTGTTTGGACTCACTAATTTTGAGCATTGCGATTAAGTACTGCGCAAGTGTTTGATTGTTTGGTTTAGTGTCTGTGCGGCAAAAGCAGAAAACAAGGTTTTATTTTATTACGCTGTGGAAATGTAAAGTCTTAAGCTGTTGAGGAGGAGCACGTGTGAACATCAAATGCTCAACAACATGATTACAGCTTCAAAAAGTGTGTTTCTGCAGAATATATACATGATAGAAATATTTTAACTCTTGACTGTTTCAAAGTTTTTAAGGCTAAGGTAAACTTACGAGACGCCTTTGAAAGCATCACAAGGCTTCAGCTTCTCTGGCTCATGAAGACAGGTTTTTTACGTACTCTATACGTTTTATGCTTTGTAAAGGTGATATTCATACAAATCTGTTTCGTGTGCATAAAATAAAGCATTTGAGTAAACTGTGAGAATAAAGGTAAGTGTAAATAATGTCATCTAAAGATACAGTGCAGTGACAGTTCTCAGTCGGGACAGGGCTGTAGGTCCACCACAGTGACCTCCTCTCCTTTACACCTGCGCAGACCGGCCTCACACTCGCTCAGGGTCCGGCTGGAAGGGTCTGCTCCCAGACGCACACACACACTCGGGCCTGGGGACGCACACTCTGCAGAGTCCATGCAGCGACACGAGCTGGTTTGAGCTGGAGAAGACAAAGACATTCACATGGAAATATGAGGAAAAGTGACTTTATATACAGTAGTTTACAATGTATTTTCTGGTCTGTGAAGTTTTCTTCTGAGTAGCAGATTTACTGTATGTTTGTACACTAGGACCCTATTATTCTGAAACTACTAGAACTCCCAGAGCCGTTGAGCTGAAATCTACCTAATTGGGGCCTCTCTCTCTATTACGTAGTTTTAGGCACAAGAAGAAGAAGAAGAAGAATAAATAAATAAATACTAATTATTGTTGTTATTAGTGCTCCAACATCTTAGAAAATCAAAATCAAATTACATTGCTTTTTTTCAAGGAGTGAACATTAAAGGGCCAAACAAAAAACAAAGCAATAAACGACCTGTGGCATAACTAGGGGTGTATTAACTGAGGAGGCGGCACACTCACCGTCGCAGGTCTCCCACGGGCGGCACTTGGAGCAGCCCGACTCGGCCGAGCGGTCGGGCCACGTGCAGAGACTGTTCTCTGCCAAAGCCTGTTCCTTCTTCATACACGTCAGAGCTTGCACCTTACACACACTGAGGACCATGTGACCGAGGACCGGGTGCGACACACACAGCTCCAGAGACGGCCTGAGCACAAGAGGAGCGCTATACATCAGACTCATTCATTGTGTTCATATTTTAATGTCGTTGAGTACTTTATTGATCTGAAATTGGAGACATTATTTGTTCTTCATGACAGATTCTAAGATACATTCTACTGCTATTGCCGCTCTTTCGTTTATTGCCACTTTTTTATTGTACATAATTATATTCTGCACAGACTAAATCTTTAACCTTTAACATACTTTAGCACACTTCTGTCTTTTTTTGCACAATCTGAGTGATTCTATCTATGCCAAATGTGACATGTATCTCCAGTGTGAGATCTCTAAAGTCTACCTTTTCTAATTTTTATCTTTGAACATTTATTTGTCCCACAGTGGGGAGATGTCAGACAGTGAGAAAGAGCACAAAAGGTGCTGTAAATGCTTCTTAAATTTGGCTTAACCTAGGGACCAAATTGATGAAAAATGTAAAAATGTGTGTTCATTTTTGTCATCATTATTTAATTGAATTGAAAGGTTAATTTGCAAAAACAATTATATCCATTTGTAAAAGTTGTATTCCTCGAGCTATAATCTTCAACATAACAAACTGGCTGTAAATGTATAATGATTTGCTCAAGAAGGAGAGAAACTTTCTCTGTGTGGCCCTAACAAAGATCTGCCTTGGAAACTACTTGGAAAGAGAAAATTGTCTACAAAACAAGTCTTTCCCATGTTTTTGTAATGGAACTATTCAATTGTAGCTTTGTGACAACAGTTTTCTGTTTTTGCTCTGGTTAAGTCAGCAGTAGCAGAGTCCTTACCCGCACTCGTTGGGCAGCTTGCACACACACTTGCCCCTGATTTCCTTCTCCCACTCTTTACACTGCACTGAAGAAGACTCAGATCCACGCTCCACCACGGTCTCAACTGAGGGCAGAACACAGCTTTAACATTCTCACCAATAGAAGGCACACGAGTTTCAACATGAGCTGAAAAACAATTGACAATGAATAGATATTTTTATTATGATTATTTTTTTTATTATTATTATTATTTTTTGAAATTGTACATAAGTAAAACCTGCACAGACTATATTTTTTACTTTTAACATGTTTGCACAATCTGAGTGATTCTATTCTATCTATGCCAAATGTGACATGTACTGTACATTTCTCCAGTGTGAGATCAATGAAGTATATACTTATCTTATCTTATATGTAGCAAAACAAAATGGCTTATCTCGAATATTTCATTAGTTGATGACATGCATGTGGACAAAAACGGCTAGCAATGTAGAAAATGTGCCAAATATGTCCAAAGGAGATAAAAAGGAGAAACTTTGATAAGTAGATGTGGTATAGTGACATTTGGTTATTTAAACTCCCTCACTCCCTCGATCTCTGTGTGGAGTGAGAGACAAATGCCGACATTTGTAAACCGCTTTGTGACTCTGGTCTGTGAAAGGCGCTATATAAATAAAGTCGACTCACTTACTTACATAAATCTCAATTTGACTTGTGACACTTGAAGACCTCCCAATCGTTGGATGTCATGGATATGTCGTATAAACAGTATTTGATCCTGTTTTTTTTTTTGGTTTTTTTTGGGATTATACGTTTTTACAAATTTCATTTTAAAAGTAAATTGCGTCGTTATTCAAACAGCTAAAAAAAAACTAAAAAAGACATCTAAGAATATAAGTGGACCTTTTTGGCAGCTGACTTGTGTGGGGTCTGGGGAGAAATTGAGGCTGGGGTCACAAATGGCCGTTCTCTCCCCTTTCAGCCGCTCTCCCTCCGGACAGGACAAGGTCACAGTCTCCCCGATGTTGTAGCTGGAGTTATCCGGAGACACCGTGACGCCAGCCGCTAGATCTGGCATCATGCAGTTTGACACTGACGGAAAAAGAGGAAGGCTCAAAGAAGGAACATGACGAGGGCTGCACAATTATCACAATTGAATCAAAATAGCTATTTTTGTGTTTGCACTTAAAAAAAACCCACAAATACTGCAATTATTTAAGCGAAAATGGGACTTAAGGCAACAAAACATCACTGGAATTTGGGAACCTTTCTCTGGATTTGAGTTTGTCACTGGAACAAGTATAGTATATTTTTTATTATTGTACTTTATTAGAATCAAAACATTTAGGTTGGTGTTTTTTGTCTACTTCATTTAAAAAAATATATTTTGATTTCTGATTTTTCTTCTGCATAATGAATGTATAAACTGACAATGTGTACCCCTTTTCTAATATCACTCTGGAATGTGTTATGTTTACTCCAAACTAAATTAATAACATATTTGAAATTCTCCCAGATATCTTCCAAAAATCTTGCAGCCCTAATTACGACATAGTAATGGTGTTGGTATTATTTCCAAAGACCTTACACTGGCAGACTTGAGGCGAGTCGGACCAGCTCTGAGCCGCGGTGCATTCAAAGGTAGACGGACCAGAGAGATGGAAGCCTGCGATGCATCTGTACTGCACCCGGTCCCCAACCAGGTACGTGTCTTTGGGGTTCTTACAACAAACAGCACCATTACTACAACATGTATGGGCTGTTGAAATATATATTCTGATAAACAGTATAAAAAGGAATCCAAATGGTTTCAATAATTACCAGCACATAACCGTTTATCAAAGCTGGAGGAGGCCCACACTTTGGTTTGGGCGCGAAAGAGAAGTCAAAGCACTCGGGTTCAAAGTCCCTACAAAGACATTCAAACATTACATTGTACAGAAAATAAGTAATTAAGTATTTTTTATTTACTACTGGATTTTTTTTCATGGTTTCGATTCTTGACCCTACTACTACTGGCATCACTACTTGCTTCAAAACTGAAAGATGTTGTGTTTGAATCCACTGTCAGACAAATCCTTTCTGAGTAGAGTTACATGTTCTCTGTGTAGGCTTCGTCCAGGTGCACAGGTTTCCCCTACCACTTAAAACACTCCCCGACCCCACTCCTGCCCCCTGTCTCTGGGGCCAGGACTCCTCTGAAAACAAGATTCTGAATCTCAGTGGGACTTTGCTATTTAAATATGTCAATAAACAACTTATCTTTATGACAATATTTTACTCTTATTCCCATCTGAACTTTCAATTCTTTATATTATAGAATTAATAACAGACAAAACACAACATAAAAACAGGTTTGAAATGGTTAGCCATACTTCTAAGTCCAGAAAACCAATAGGTTTTGTTCTTATCTACATGTTTTGTTTATTGTAATATTCTCTGCCAGTTTGAAACATTTCTACAAGAGTATAAACAGTTCTAGTGTTTAAAAGGCAATGCTTAAACCATTGCAAATGTATAATATCTGCCACTTTTTCAACAAAAATGCATTTGACTTTTTACGTATGCGTACAACAGCTTGAATACGTTTATACTTTACTTGAGAAGAGGATTTTCTTGAAGACTAGAATCTTTACTTAAGTACCTCAGACCCTTGCTGTTTTCCCAAACTGACCTGTAGTAGTTCAAATCATCCTCGTCGCAGTCTCCCGTCTCTGTCTCTTTTCCGTTGCAGTGTTGTCCTCCATTTCTTGGGGCTGGATTGTTACACAAACGAGTTCTGGTTTTACGTCGTTCATGGCAGGAGGACCAGGAGGCCCAGCACGACCAGCTGCCATCCACCTCCACTTCATCAAGAAAACACACACACAAATATCTCAACTCACCAACTTTTAAATACCAAACTAAAGAAATACAAAACTTATTTTTTGTTTATGTTTTACAATGTGAAATAATATATATAAGCACACATATGGTGAAACAAGTATGAAGGGTAAAGCATGCTAACCACCAGAGGGAGCTTTTTCAAAATTTGAAAATTACCAGCTGCAAACACAGCCATGTGATTGTGAGAAACGTAACTTCAACTTGACTAAACACATTCTTCACAAGACAAAACATAAGACTTCACAAAACTTGAGATTACCACCTTCATCTCTCTCTCTGGTTTGAAAGCCACATCCCCTCAGACCTCTAAAGCTAAGCAGGTCAGGGCCTGGTTAATACTGTGATGGGAGATCTCTGGGAACACCAGGAGCCACAGTGGGGCGACTGCGGCTGTAAAGTACCAAATTGTCGGTGTGTCCTTAGGCAAGACACTTCACCCACAATGCCTAGAATAAGTCTGGTGTGTGTGTGAATGGTTGGTGGTGGTCGGAGCGGCCGATGGCATGTAGTGGTTGCCTCGCTTCTGTCAATGTGCCCCAGGGCAGCTGTGGCTATAGTAGTAGTTTTTCACCACTGTGTATGGAGAGAATGAAGAATGACGTGAAGCATTTTTGAATGTCCAAAAAGCGCTATATAAAACCATTACATTAATTCTTCTGGAGCTGTTTTAGTTAGTTTGCTACCTAAAGCTTTTATTGATTTGATAGACTTTTTATGATTTGTATTGTTTTGTATTGATGTATTGCCCTGTGCAGACTCCATAGACAGACAAACCCTCCTGCTGTAAGTAGTGTTCTGTGTTACTCACAGCGATTGGGGTCTTCAGCCATAGCTCCAGGTTTGGGGATACACTGGCACGCATCGTTGTCCATGACTGCCATGCCGTTCCTGGGGCAGGGCAGGCAGTTGCAGGGGTGGGACTCTGAGAGATACTGCTCAATGGCTCTTCGAAGGTACACTTTCTTCACTCCGGCGCATTGGACCTCCTTCACCAGCTCCCAAAGAGGCCTCAGCTGATGGATTACAAAAATGAGCCAAAAGAGCCAAAGTCCTTCCAGTGGTTCTCAACTGGAGGTGTGCAAGGCTTTCCTGGGAGACCTTTTAAAAACATATACCATACTTTCTGGATCTGGACTATTAAACGCACCTGTATAAGCCACATCACAAACATTTTTAAAGAAAGTCAATTTTGTCCACATAGGCCACACTCGAAAAGCCACAGGTTTTTATGTTGTAATGTAGCAGATGGATTTCTGTTTTAGCTGGACACAACATGATTTAGCAACTTACTGTAACTGTTAGCTTCCATTACTCATGTACCAGTCTATTTTAACAATAAATAAAGTCTATAAAATCTGCTCTGACAGCAGACCAACTCTATCACAACAAAAATACACATACAGTAAAGTAGCTTATAGTTTGGAAATGACGGAATATACTACGCTTCATCTCAAAAGAATATACCTTTTGTTCCCTCTTTAGAAACAGACCTGGAGTTGTTTTAGATCCATCAACGCTAATATTAGGAACTTCTGACACAAAAAACATGTAACTCCGCCCCTTCTGTCGAGAGAGACAGAGAGGAGCAGAGAGAGACGGAGACGCGAGGAGAGAGAGACGCGAGGAGAGAGGAGCAGAGAGAGACAGAGAGGAGCAGAGAGACGGAGACGCGAGGAGCAGAGAGAGACAGAGAGGAGCAGAGAGACGGAGACGCGAGGAGCAGAGAGAGACAGAGAGGAGCAGAGAGAGACAGAGAGGAGCAGAGAGACGGAGATGCGAGGAGAGAGAGACGCGAGGAGCAGAGAGAGACAGAGAGAGACAGAGAGGAGCAGAGAGACGGAGATGCGAGGAGAGAGAGACGCGAGGAACATAAACAATAATTTAAACAAGTTGCAGAACTCTTGAGCAGTGTTTGAATCAGTGTTTTTCGGAAAAGCACTACTTTGCCGGTATCTGTCAATGTTCAACATAAAACACAGATTAACAAACTCCTCCCCCGCAGCCGGACTAACCTCGTAAGTCCAGTGGTGGTCTCCCAGTCTATATTAATTCTTTCTTTGTTTGAAAGTCCAATTGAGAAAAAAAATCTTCATTCAAATCATCCATTTTCCAGCAAAAGAAATAGCATTTTGGGCTGATTGTTTGTTAGCAACTCTGGTATGAACTTTATGCTCACTATCACCCCTAGCGGTGAGGCACAGATACCGCCTGCCTCACGCCAAGCTTTTTCCTTGTGTGTTCATCTACGATCAAAAGACTTAAACTAAATATAAATTGTACACACATACGTGCAATACACTACTAAACACTAAGAGGAGTTTAAAAAATGTTTTTAAAGCAGGATATTTGAAACAAACGGTGATATATCAACTGCACGAGCTGAGTGCACTCAGACACACACACACACACTGTGAGGGAGCGGTCTGGGGTGAGGCACGCAGGAGCGCTGCCTCACCTCGTCTCTTTGAATAGGAATAACGGGATTTCGGCGATTTTGACTTCAGAAATGATCAAAACTGATGGGAACCGTGCCGAATATACATTAAAAGCATAGGACAGTGGATATAAATTATATATTTAAACTAAAATAATTATTAGTTTCCAATAATGGCAGGTGAGGCTCTGCCTCCCCTGCCTCCCCTGACTGCACGTCCCTGCCCTGGGGTGGAGGCAACATGTACAAAAGTTCTCCATGAACTAAGGAATGTAAATATTGTAAATACTTAGGAATGGAAATGTTCTGCTTGGATGAATTCAATCAATAAATCAATCAAAAAGCATCACTCAATGAAACATATTGAAGGACAAGAGTATTTTACCTTTGACTTGATAACTCTGGGCAAAGACTTGACAGAAGCAGCCCAGTCTGTGTAGAGCCCCCAGTTGTCCTCAGCTTTACCGATCTTCATGTTCTCCAGCTGCGTGATCAGAGAAACACTGCCCCCTATTGGTGTTACCTTTCCCACAAAATCGGTATCATTGAACACTGTTGAATGAAACACAGGATAGTGAACGATACGACCTGTAGAGTATGTCTGTGTCATACTGAAAATGCATAGTTCTCATCTCACCACTGGGATCTCTGGAAAGGTCTTTGTACCCGCGGTCACAGGTCTCACGGGTAATGGGAAAAAACAAAATGTATCGTTTTGTTCTGGTGCACTCGTCATGTTGCTCTATATCTGTGACTGTAAACACAAGTGACAGAGGAAAGGTAAGCTCCCAACAAATACTGTCACATCCTTGTCATATCAACTGATATGACAATTCCTTGTCATATCAGTTGAATGCTGCTGTTTGTTTTTGACATATTATTTGCCTGCGACAAATAATACTCTTTATTCCTATCATAAAATTGCGACTGAAAATGCATGTTTGTATTGTTCTACAGTTGTGATACTAGTAATAGTAAGTAATAGTGTTTTGTAAAATACATTAAGGGGAAATAACAATGATATGCACTATTATGTATGTCTGCTTTAAACACTATGTTTCAAGAACCATGAACCACACTTACTTCTATGTGTTTGTGCGTTTGAATCCAGACGCACAATGACACTGAGGGAGCCCCCCATGGACCCCTCCGACAGGTAGTGAGTCCCGAACCTGCTCAGGAGCTGCTTGTACGCTGCGTAGTTGTAGACTGTGGGCAGCTTTGAGAGCGCTTTCCAGAACTCCTCAGCGATTGGGATAAACTGTGGAGATGTGGCCTGGAAACTAGACAGTTCGATATCGTTCTTCAAAACCAAAAGACGGAATTTCTGTTGATAAAGTAAAGTCAGTTTTATTTATGAAATGGACTGTTTCAGATTTGTATTTGTCATTTAAGCTGGAATACCTAACTTAATGTCTCTTTAATACAATTCATGTAGTTCACGGCTAAAAAATAGTTTTCATCTGGAATTTTGGTCTCTGTCACATTATTGGATTCGATTTTTTGGTGAAAAGAGGCGTCTATCCCTGACTCAGCCAATCAGCTTTCAGTATGTAAACATTTTTTTCTAATAAGATGAAGACTGAATGTTGTGGCCTGATTTGTTTGCAAAAATTTAATTTTTTTATGCTAAAGTCAGAGATTTGATACATAATTTTTGCTTCATCATTATGCTAAAGCTGGGGATTTTAGACTTGCTCGGTGGCTGAGTAGATATCACTCCCGCTTCTCAGGCTTCAAATCCCGGTCGTAACAGGGCCTTTCTGAGTGGAGTTTGTTTGTTCTCCCCGTGCCTGCATAGGTTTCCTCTGGGTGCTCCGGTTTACCATACCGCTGAAAACATGCAAACTAGGTCAAATCTTCCAGCTCCGGTAGTCCTGACCAAGCCGAGCATCAACATCTGGAGATGGGTTCCCGGGCGCTGTTACTATGGCGACCACTGCTCCTGACGTACTGTAAGCCTTCGCGGCATCAAGATGGGTCAAATGCAGCGGATGAATTTCCTTACGGGGATTAATAAAGTGCACCTTTACCTTTACTACGCTAAAGCTAGAGATTTTGTTTTATTTTAATATAGAGTTATAATTAATTTATCTTGTGTAGTGTGCTCCTCATTCCTATACTGTTCTGTAACTGCTGATGCAACACTGTGGGACAAAATAAAGATCTCTTCATCTTAAACAGGACTCTTTCTGTTGGGACAGACACCATACAGCTACGAAACAAAAAAGTTAGGTACTCCAGCTTTCATTTTAATTGGAATCCATTAGTTACAAACCCGAAATCGATCGTCAGTCTCGTGGTAGTCATAATTTCTGTATCCGGATGTTGTACCTTTGACTGTTTCCCTCTTCACGATGTCTTTTTTATAGTGCCATTCACTTTCAAACATCTCATCGCTCAAATCGTTCTGGACTTTTGTCTTGAACACATAAGAATATTCATTAATTACAAATATTGAAATAATTTTGTGTTATTATTCTGTATTTTGAGTGTGTTTCAGATCAGATTCATGAGATTAAAGTGTAGGTGATTATTAGGACTTTTCATAAAACTAATTTAAAAAGACTATATTTAATATTTATTCATCTATTCAACTAATTTTGCTTCCTGGTTGTAAATGGTCGAGCACCATGGCCTCGGATTTGGAGGTGCTGATTCTCATCCCAGCCGCTTCGCACTCGGCTGCAAACCGTCCCAGTGCATGCTGCAGGTCCTGGTTCGTTGGAGCCAGCAGGACGACATCATCCGCAAAAAGTAGAGATGAAATCCTGTGGTTCCCGAACCGGACCCCCTCCAGACCCTGGCTGCGCCTAGAAATTCTGTCCATAAATACAGTGAACAGAACCGGTGACAAAGGGCAGCCTTGGCGGAGGCCAACATGCACCGGGAACAGGTCTGACTTACTGCCGGCAATGCGAAGACAGCTCTGACTCCGGTCATACAGGGACCGGACGGCCCTCAGCAGAGGACACCGGACCCCGTACTCCCGGAGGACCCCCCCAAAGGACACCCCGGGGAACACGGTCGAACGCCTTCTCCAAATCCACAAAGCACATGTGGACAGGTTGGACGAACTCCCATGAACCCTCGAGTATCCGATGGAGAGTATAGAGCTGGTCCAGTGTTCCGCGACCGGGACGAAAACCACACTGCTCCTCCTGAATCCGAGATTCGACCATCGGCCGTAGCCTCCTCTCCAGTACCTTGGAGTAGACCTTACCGGGGAGGTTGAGGAGTGTGATCCCACGATAATTGGAACACACCCTCCGGTCCCCCTTCTTGTAGAGAGGGACCACCACCCCGGTCTGCCACTCCATTGGTACCGCCCCCGATCGCCACGCGATGCTGCAGAGACGTGTCAGCCAAGACAGTCCTACAACATCCAGAGACTTTATGGACATTTTCTTCTGTGTGTGCTTTATATCTCCATGTGTTTTGGCTGTTGATTCTCTGACCTGTGTTGGTGATTTCGATGGTTTTGTTAAGTCCTCTGAGATGACTTCTGTTGTGACCTAGGGCTATACAAGAATAAATTGTATTGTATTGTATTGTAGATAGTCAGGACGGATCTCATCCACTCCCGGCGCCTTGCCACCATGGAGGCTGCCAACCACCTTGGTGACCTCGGCCAGGGAGATGTAAGTATCCGCCCCAACATCCTCAGCCTCTGCCTCCTGGACGGAGGACGTGACGGGGGGATTGAGGAGAACCTCGAAGTATTCCTTCCACCGCCCGACAATATCCCCAGTCGAGGTCAGCAGCCCTCCACCCGCATCATACACGGTGTTGGCAAAGAACTGCTTCCCCCTCCTGAGGCGCCGGACGGTTTGCCAGAACCTCTTCGAGGCCGACCGATAGTCATGCTCCATGGACTCTCCGAACTCCTCCCAGTCCCGGGTTTTTGCCTCTGCAACAGCCCGGGCCGCGGCACGTTTGGTCTGCCGGTACTGGACAGCTGCCTCAGGAGTCCCACGAACCATCATTGCTCGTGTAGGATAAATTAAAATGACCTCTTTCCTCAATCAAAGACATTTTGTTGTATATTGAGACACATTATAACTTCTGTCTCAACTGTGTGTAAATCCTTGTGGTTCAGGTTTATTGTGGGCAAGAATGTTTTAAGATAAGTGCCATGGCAACACCCTTCCCCCCACGACTCTACAACAAGGGAAGACAACCCAGTCTGCTTTGGAACCACGGAGTGACGAGACCTCCCTGGGCTCTGCCCTGGGCTCTGCTTAGGCAACCAAGGGGCCTTGGACCTCTTAGATGGCCTCAAACCTCAGCTCTACGTTTGAGAGGACTTCCACAACCCTTCAATAGCCTCCAGCTTCAACCTGAAGAAGTTGCTGAGTTTTGGCACCTAGACTGTGGATCGTGGGAGGACCACATGATGCAGCCGCATGGTCCAGGCCCTGGGGACAAGAAGCCTCCATCCAACGCCATCAAGACCCAAGGACTGCTATTCACCAAAGGCTGTTTGATGGTTGTATGATCTGCTCTCTTGCTACACACAGTTGTTGGCTTTATTAAAACCTATACTTCAAAGAATACTTCTCTTACCAAGGCTGAACACATGCAGGCCTCAGCCTATACCAATCCATTCAAAGACAAAGGTCTTGCTTAGCTCACTTTAGCCTAGCATTTTAACAATGTATCTTGAAATCAACGTTTCCTTCATGTTATTCTTGACAATTTGCATATTTCATATCTAGTCTGTATTGTGTATACTTCATTAAATCTACAAAACCATCTTTGTCTGAAAGTGATATTTGTACTTTTAACTCCAGAAATTGGGTCACTGATTTGTAAAAGAATTCACTACCTTCAGATTCTATTGAAGAGAATTGGACTAACTAGCTAATTAAATAATGAAAGGACTCATGAGATTACTTAATCAATAAATGAGCCAATTAATTGATATTGTGACGTCATATGCACGTTATCAGTTGGGAGTTATTCCCTGGTGCCCCTAAATAAAGCTATTATCAATTATTGTATTTATTACATGGTTGTTTTTGATCCAATTCTCCGATATCAGGTACATAACTTAAGTTATGTGTGATATCGACATTTCCTCACCCTACATATTATGGTGCCCCGTGTGAGGCCAAAACAAACTTAATTTCTGGAAATTAAATCATACAAATTCAATGTGACAAACTTGTTGTAAACTGTTGTTGCGAAGAAAACTGAGGTACTTCACCGGAGCAATCCAATCTAAACTCACAGTATCTATTCTTGTATAGCATAAACAGGCATACAACTCCAACGCATTACCAGCGCACTAAAGTTAAAACTTAAAAGTTAAATGCTGCAATTCTCCAAATTCAAATGACTTTCAAATCAAAGATGGCTCTTCCTCTTGCTGCAGAATGTCACACCCCTGTGCCAAGAGCCAAAAGCATCTGGCCAATCAGAGCACTTCATCTGCAGGCTGTGAGAGGGGGAAGGGGGGTCCACGGCCCCTCCCCATAGACACTCAGATGTCCCTCACACAGCACCTCCTGGAAGGTCAAGAAGGGTGTTAGAGATGACAGCAAAGTTTACAGAGTCATTAATGGCTTTGTGCTCGAACAACATCTCCAAAAACCACACCTGCAAATACACGCGCTATTCCTTTACTTAGTTCAAGACGTAATGGTTGAGAGTGATTTCCAGCGTGTAAAGCTTAAAACCAAGAGGCATCGAGTGTAAATGAACATGACCACCTGCGACTTTCCAGGGGCGTTCAATACACCGCCTGATCTCAAAGCTATGACTAAACGCGACGTTCCGTTAGCCATTAGCAAAGGATCCTGAAGTGGGACTAGCCATCCACACAGGCATGTTTTACGTAAATCGCTGCGAGTACGCCCCAGCGTGTAAACCCTCGATCAAAGGGGTCTCGGTGTGAATGTAAGTGGCAACCTGCGATGTCCAGGGCCCGATCAACACCCCCCACGATCTTTAAGCTAGGTCTAACGCGACTCTCCGTTAACCTTTAGCAAAAGACCTGTATGTGAGATTAGCTACCCACACAAGCACGGTTAAGCAAAAATCGCTGCAAGTAAGTCCAGCATGTAAATCGTCAAACCAAGTTGTAAAACGAGCCACCACTGGTTAATAATTTCCAGTTGCGCGTATTTGCTTATACTTTCGCTCTACCAAAAGAGCAAACAGAAGAATATCTGAGATTCAAAGTCACTTTTCTAGGAAAATCTATGCTCAAATAACAGTCATTATTGCGGCAAAAGCAAGCCAGTAAGACTTGGCTCCACGTTGAATTGTCTCAGTGAAAGTATCCTCCCTCAATAACACTCCAAATTGTTTGAAGATTAAATTGTATACATTCTCTATTGTCAATTATAACAGCATATAGCTACAGATATTAGCTTCCAACTACTAGCCTAGCATTAGCTAATACAAGCATCTTTGCCTCCAGCTATTACCATAGCCTTAGCTATCTCCATCAAAGAATGGAAGAGCTCAGACAAATATTCTTACCAGTTAATCTGAATAAAACCACTCCAGTGAACTCTAGATAGAGCATACACACAGACTTAGCTATAAAACTCCTGGCATTGTCTCAAACACAGTTAGGACAAACTAAAAGCCAACTCTGTGACATAAGCAATAGAGCTCTATTACAGCAGAACTTCGCCTCCGCCTCCTACTGAGAGCTCTACTTCCTGCTGAGAACTCCGCCTCCTACTGAGAGCTCTGCTTCCTGCTGAGAACTCTGCCTCCTACTGAGAGCTCTGCTTCCTGCTGAGAACTCCGCCTCCTACTGAGAGCTCTACTTCCTGCTGAGAACTCCGCCTCCTACTGAGAGCTCTGCTTCCTGCTGAGAACTCCGCATCCTACTGAGAGCTCTGCTTCCTGCTGAGAACTCCGCATCCTAGTGAGAGCTCTGCTTCCTGCTGAGAACTCCGCATCCTAGTGAGAGCTCTGCTTCCTGCTGAGAACTCCGCCTCCTACTGAGAGCTCTGCTTCCTGCTGAGAACTCCGCCTCCTACTGAGAGCTCTGCTTCCTGCTGAGAACTCCGCCTCCTACTGAGAGCTCTGCTTCCTGCTGAGAACTCCGCCTCCTACTGAGAGCTCTGCTTCCTGCTGAGAACTCCGCCTCCTACTGAGAGCTCTGCTTCCTGCTGAGAACTCCGCCTCCTACTGAGAGCTCTGCTTCCTGCTGAGAACTCCGCCTCCTACTGAGAGCTCTGCTTCCTGCTGAGAACTCCGCCTCCTACTGAGAGCTCTACTTCCTGCTGAGAGCTCTGCCCCGTAAAGAACTTGGACAGTGAACGTTCGTCATCGGTCATAATCAAAATTGTGTTGTGTCAACCTCTCGCTTTGTTTGCGGAGCTGGACACAAAGGGGGGGGTTGTAGGATAAATTAAAATGACCTCTTTCCTCAATCAAAGACATTTTGTTGTATATTGAGACACATTATAACTTCTGTCTCAACTGTGTGTAAATCCTTGTGGTTCAGGTTTATTGTGGGCAAGAATGTTTTAAGATAAGTGCCATGGCAACACCCTTCCCCCAACGACTCTACAACAAGGGAAGACAACCCAGTCTGCTTTGGAACCACGGAGTGACGAGACCTCCCTGGGCTCTGCCCTGGGCTCTGCTTAGGCAACCAAGGGGCCTTGGACCTCTTAGATGGCCTCAAACCTCAGCTCTACGTTTGAGAGGACTTCCACAACCCTTCAATAGCCTCCAGCTTCAACCTGAAGAAGTTGCTGAGTTTTGGCACCTAGACTGTGGATCGTGGGAGGACCACATGATGCAGCCGCATGGTCCAGGCCCTGGGGACAAGAAGCCTCCATCCAACGCCATCAAGACCCAAGGACTGCTATTCACCAAAGGCTGTTTGATGGTTGTATGATCTGCTCTCTTGCTACACACAGTTGTTGGCTTTATTAAAACCTATACTTCAAAGAATACTTCTCTTACCAAGGCTGAACACATGCAGGCCTCAGCCTATACCAATCCATTCAAAGACAAAGGTCTTGCTTAGCTCACTTTAGCCTAGCATTTTAACAATGTATCTTGAAATCAACGTTTCCTTCATGTTATTCTTGACAATTTGCATATTTCATATCTAGTCTGTATTGTGTATACTTCATTAAATCTACAAAACCATCTTTGTCTGAAAGTGATATTTGTACTTTTAACTCCAGAAATTGGGTCACTGATTTGTAAAAGAATTCACTACCTTCAGATTCTATTGAAGAGAATTGGACTAACTAGCTAATTAAATAATGAAAGGACTCATGAGATTACTTAATCAATAAATGAGCCAATTAATTGATATTGTGACGTCATATGCACGTTATCAGTTGGGAGTTATTCCCTGGTGCCCCTAAATAAAGCTATTATCAATTATTGTATTTATTACATGGTTGTTTTTGATCCAATTCTCCGATATCAGGTACATAACTTAAGTTATGTGTGATATCGACATTTCCTCACCCTACACTCGATAGGACTCCTTCTTCAGCCTGACGGCATCCCTTACTGCCGGTGTCCACCACCGGGTTCGGGGATTGCCGCCGGGACCAGCACCAGAGACCTTGCGACCACAGCTACGAGCCGCCGCATTGACGATAGAGGAAGAGAACATGGTCCACTCGGACTCGATGTCCCCCTCCTCTGCCGGGACCTGGGAGAAGCTCTCCCAGAGGTGTGAGTTGAAAGTCCGTCTGACAGGGGGCTCAGCAAGACGTTCCCAGCAAACCCTCACTACACGCTTGGGCCTGCCAGGTCTGACCGGCCTCCTGCCCTGCCAGCGGATCCAACTCACCGGAAAAAGGTGCCTTGCCCTCTTCAGGTGGGTGGAGAGGTCCTTCCTCAAGTGGAGGAGTTCAAGTATCTCGGGGTCTTGTTCACGAGTGAGGGGAGGATGGAGCGTGAGATTGAGAGGCGGATCGGTGCAGCGTGCGCAGTGATGCGGTCGCTGTATCGGACCGTTGTGGTAAAGAGGGAGCTGAGCCGAAAGGCGAAGCTCTCGATTTACCGGTCAATCTTCGTTCCCTCCCTCACCTATGGTCATGAGCTGTGGGTAATGACCGAAAGAACGAGATCGCGGATACAAGCGGTCGAAATGAGCTTCCTCCGCAGAGTGGCTGGGCGCTCCCTTAGAGATAGGGTGAGGAGCTCGGTCACACGGGAGGAGCTCGTAGTAGAGCCGCTGCTTCTCCACGTCGAGAGGAACCAGTTGAGGTGGCTCGGGCATCTGTTCAGGATGCCTCCTGGACGCCTTCCTGGGGAGGTGTTCCGGGCACGTCCCACCGGGAGGAGGCCCCGGGGAAGACCCAGGACACGCTGGAGAGACTATGTCTCTCAGCTGGCCTGGGAACGCCTTGGGGTCCCCCCGGACGAGCTGGAGGAGGTGTGTGTGGATAGGGAAGTCTGGGCGTCTCTGCTTAGACTGCTGCCCCCGCGACCCGGCAACGGATAAAGCGGAAGAAAATGGATGGATGGATGGGTTGTAAATGATGACATCACCAGAGGGATTATAGTAGCCAAACTGAGCCCAAACTCATCTAATGTATGTGAAAAAATATATTCTGGCAAACCAAAACCTGAGAATAAACTTGGAGGAATCATTTGTAAAAGAAAAAAAAGGAAATTATGATTCATTACGTCATCAGTTCTATAAAACAAGTCCATTTTCTGTAAAAAAAAAAAAAAAAAAAAAAAAACAGAAAACAGAAAAAAAACAAAGATGAAATTTGATGAAACAGACAAATGGTGGGGTCCTGAAACTGTACGTGGGCAAGAGGACAACTAAAATCAAAAAGAGAAAAAACGTAGTTAAACTGTTGTGTTTGTATGTGCGTAACAATTATCCAGGACCACGTTCCTATCTGCTTGTTTACACCAGTTTAGAGCAGCAGCTATAGTAGTCATCCGTAGACAAGCTAATGCTTTTACTAAATCGTTCCATAGTTCCACAGGCTCTCCAGAGGAAGGAACAGCAGCAGCATCGGCTCATGGTTCATTTGTCAGTGTCAGCCAAACTTAGCCTGCTGCCTTTGCCTTTCAATCAGACATTCATATTTAAAAACCCCATGTCCAAGCTCCCCTTCTCCTCCCGATCACCCCAGAACAAAGCCTTCTTTCTACATATGAGAATAAAGTCCAGAGACCTACTCGCTTCTTTCATTGCTTCTATAACAAAACACCACACAAAACAGGGATGACCTGTTACATTTAAGAACATTTAAAGAGCGACTAAACACCAAATCAACTTTTTTAACTCATAAACTGCATAAATATGTTTATCGTTATGCTCTCTACATATCCTGGTCATTTTTTTGACATTTTAGTGCAAATTAGATAATATCTTCTTCATCAAATCTTCATCAAATAATAATTTTGGTGTACATACAGATGATTTGGCACAGCAAATTCCATGATGGATAGACAACATCGTCAGCATTATGTCATCACTCAAAACCAGGAAGTAAACGATTAAATCAAAAAGAAAATCGTCACGAACTTTTTGTAAAATCCAAAATGTCCAAAAGTGTGATGATGTGATGATGAACTATGCATTCTGGGAAGTACAGTGTAAGCTCTATCGTTCCATATTCGCTTTAAACACTATAAACATAGCATCCTGTCCTTTTCTATACCCACCACAAACGTGTACTTGAGGAGACTCTGTGGCAGTCTGTAAGCATTGTTGTGCATTTTGCGACACTGGCCTCCGAAGCTCTTGGTGTTGATGACCATTCCTCTGCTCTTTCCCGTGGCCAAGTCGATGCTAAATCAACAAATTAAAAAAACAAGTCTGTATCTGGCTGGAGCTGGTTCAAATGCACATATACTGTAACTATTTGTTCAGATTTTGACATAAAAGCCCCAAATTGAGAAATATTCGGCTGGTGAAATTGGATCTGATGTCACCACATGGCAAAATATTTCAATTTCCGTCACTGCTTTTTTGCTTTTATGTGGTATCAGTAACATATACCCCAAAATAACCACAAATCACCCCAAAATTCAACTGCATACTGTACTTATATTAAACTACACTTAATAATCAGATGGGACAATAATGTTGAGCTTAGTATGTAAAGGTTCACACTGTAACACTGGGATCTCGCTCTGAAGTCAAACTGGGCCTATGTTCGTTTTTACTCAGCTTTCAACTCGTGCCGCAATGCTCCTCCTCCCCATCACCACCTAAACAACAGCACATTCTTTCCATAACACCAGGGAATTTCATTTTCATAATTCTCTGGATATGTTACAGAATTATAACCCCCAAAACCATGCAGTAATGAATATACTTCCTGTAAAAATAACTCAATAATCGTTTTCAATTTGAAGGAGGTGTTACCTTTGCCTTCCCTCGTCAAAACAGCTGGAATGTTTTAAGTCTCGTCTTAAAGCCCACTTTTAATCTCTGGCTTTTAACAACACGTGAGTTGTGTTGTTCTCTGTGTGTGTTTTTTTATTTGATTTTTATATGTGTATGTATGTATTAATTTGTTGCCATTTTTGCTTGTTGTACAGCACTTTTATGAAATGTGCTATATAAATAAAGTGGATTGGATTGGATTACCCTTCACCCAAGAGCTCGATGTTTGGGGGAGGCCTCTGCAGTGAACAAACAAAGTGCTGTTTTCTTTCACAAGATCGCTCGTCCTCATTGTCCTCCTCACAGTCCTGGTCCCCATTGCACATCAGAGACCTGGGGATGCACATACCTACAGAAAAAAATTTTTTATCCGAGGGCTAAAGCCGTATCATGCTCCTCACATTATCAGCTATCAGATTTGAAAAAGTCTTCCGGAGAGTGGTTTTTGTTTTACTAATAAATGATGCCATATGAAGCAGTGTCAAGTCCTTTAAAGTTTTGTTGTCTGAATTTAGGTCTGACTTGAAAAACCAATGAACACAAGGACGCAGGTTCAACTCAGATTTGCCATTTGTAGTTAAACCACCTTGGAAAAAACTGCAAGACTCCCCCAATGTGTACCAGGGGTCACATTGGGGCCTCTGTGCTTCAACTTTTTATTGTTAGTAGTTGCATCAGCAGCAGGTCAAAAACCTTTGGGAAAAATATTTTTTTTTTATAAAACAAGTTATATCTAATCACTTATTTATCAATAATGAATGAATACTTTTTAAATTGTATTATTTTTACCGTATTTTTAACTTTAACTTTTATCATAACAAAAAAGATATGAAGATTGAGCAGTAAGAGGAGATTAGAAAGATTTTTTAGATTTGGGCCGAGATTGACTTGACAAGCTGAATCTGGAGCACACAGGGACTGGCCTCCTGCTGATGCCCAGAGTTCCTTAAGGGCTTTACTCTAAACATGGGAAGGCAGCGTTTCAGATTTATGCTGCTAGTCTTCTTGAAAATGTGAGAGAGGCGTCCACTCTGGCCGTGTTCAAATCCAGGTTAAATACGGAACTGTTTGCCTCTGCATAAACCTGAAGGAGTGCATTATCTGTGATTTATAATTGTGTTTTAATTATGATTTTGGTGTTTGTTTTATGACATGATTTGTGCCCCCAAAATAAATATTGACTGATTGATTGATACTCTAGCAATATTCAAATCAAGGGTAAAAAACATTTCTCTTTAGCTGTGCAAACAACTACAAATGAAAGTACAGTGATTATTGGTTCTTTTATATTGGCTGCTCTGTCATTCTATTGTGTCCCAGCTTCACTTCTAGATCAGAAGGTGCAAGACTGTTTTTTTTTCTTTTTTTTTTTCAGACTAAATTAATATGTATTTTTAGAAGCTGTTTGAAATGGATCCATAATTTCTATGTTTTGATTTGTTTTGTGTGAATGAATGGATATGTGTCTGCTGCTGCTGGACGCCTGAATTTCTCATTAAAGTATCTATTGATCAACTGTATCTTTGCATATTGCATCTAGATGAAAAAATAACCCTAACCCTGACCCTACTGACTTGTCTAATTTACTAAAGGAAGTGTGATTTATGACCTGATCTGCAGCGGAACCTGTCTCCGCAGCCGTGTTCCAGGGGGCAGGATTTAGAGGTCTGGCAAGGGCGGCTCTGTGTACGCTCGCCAACGCAGCCCACTCCTCCAAACTGTGCGTACACTGCAATGGGCCGAGAGCGAGTCTAAAAAAATAACACATTTACACCGGCTTAAGTTTAAGATGTAAGTCAGGCCATGGTTAGTGAAATGATGTATGGTTTCAACAGGAATAGTATTTTAATGTATTCATTTGGTTTGCACGAAGGAATTACTGTATTATTATGTACTGTACAGGTATATTAGTGGGAGTACAGAGGTGTAAGTACTTCTGTGTATTGCTGACAAATATCTGAGGAATGGAGGAAGTTGTTTTTTGTAGTCCTGGACCTATGTGTGTGTGTACGTAATGTGTTATTGTGTGTATTTATATTTTGTTCTTTTTTTAAATTGTCTGAAAAATAAATAAAATAAAATAAAAATCTTGTATTTTTTTTTTTCAATTTTAGCACCAAAGAGCGAAAATGTATTGTAGTATAGGATTTAATATAAGTATTAAACAAACACTGTGTAAAAGACAGCTGTTGATGTTGTCGCCTTTGTCCAATAAAGATAATGAAGTCAAAATAACTATGTGAGACAAGAAAATTCTGTGTTTCTTTAGAATTGAACAGTTCAATCGCAAAAACAGAAAAGTGAAATTAGAAAAAAATCAGAAAGGCTCACAAGTGACTCTTTACCATGTCATTTTTTTAAAGCCAGTTCTCTTTTGGTGACATACAATTAAAGTTTCACCTCTTTTTGAGCAAATCCTTTCATATGCACTGCCAACAATCTAGGAGACGATTGTAGCAAGAGGAATTCCACTTTTTTACACTTTTCAAAACACATCTGTTTGTGCAAATTTATTGTGGCACATTCAGTTTTTTGCCAAATGTGCCTGAAGAGACCCATGAGTACATTATTGGTTGCTTGATATGCATTTTGTGTTTGAAAATGAGAATAACTTCAGACTTTCACTGTAGAATTTCAATGTAAACGACATAATAAGAAGGATACATTCTCAGATCAACCATAATCAGACATGACCTGAGTTCCAGTGCAGCCGTCACACTCGGACCACTCTCCAAACGGACCCCACAGACAGTCCACTCTTTGGTTCCAGCATCTCAGTAGAAAAGATATGGATGTGGTTCCTGAACATGGCTGGGTTTCATAGTTTTGCCCAAAGCATGGATTTCCTCCATTCTGGGCCTGGACAGCGACTGATCGAGTCCTGGTCTGAAACATAATCATTATTACAGCACACTTTATTCATATTGCACTTAAAATACTGTATATTACATGTCAAAGAAACCTCAAGGTGTTAAAAAATGGCACAAAATCAAAATATGTGTTTTACTGTGCAAAAGTAATTATGCAGCTAATACCTATTATTATTAAAACATGTTCTTTATTTTGCGTGTTCACAAATATGTAACCAATGCTTGCTTATGTATCTGCATAATTAGAGCAGATGGAGACTATGGTAGTATGTCCCATAGCTGGGGTTATGATGGGGAGGAGGAGGGTTGCAGCACAAGCTGAAATCTGTTTCAATGCTGTTTAACTGTTAGAGACAGGAAAACAGGGGAATGAGCCTTCACTTTAGTCCCATAAGGGTAAAAAGGCAATTAAGGCTATTGTTATATTCACAGTACAAGTACAGGTGATTCAAACAGAATGAACCAGAATTAGATCTAGAACGTGCACTCGGATCGTCACAAATACATCAAGTACAGTCGTTATTGCACAATTCTACTTAAAGATGCACACTCAGAACCCTTTGGCAGTGTAGTCACCACTTACTCATGCATGTGCGCTGACAAAGGGGAGGCAAATGTTAATGATTAACAACTGACCTGTATTCTGGAACATCCATCACATGAAGTCCATGCGGTGTACGGACCCCAGCGACAGTCCACTCTCTGGCAAAACCTAACATGTTTGTAACCAGAGAATGAGGCAGTGGCTGTTTAGGATACGGAATATAAAAGTGTGCTTACCCTTTATTCGCGAGCAGCAGTACAAACCAAGATAAGACGATCAGGTACACTTTCCCCTATAGAGGAAAAGAAAAACATAATTAGTTTAGTATATTTTTTTGATTTAAAAGGTACAGAAACTAGCCGTGCAGATGTGTTATAGCTACATGGCTAGTTTCTTTCTGCACTCCTTAACAAAATACAATAACATGTCATTAAATTCGAGTAATAGGAATTTACCATTGCATATAATGAACACACACACACACACCTCACATATACACATTTACATCATCACACATATATATATATGTATTCAAACTAACCATAAAAGTTAGTACAATTATAATTATCTTCAGGATCAAATTTAATATTATTATTTTTATTCAACCTTTATTTAACCAGAAAAGTCCCATTGAGATTTACAACCTGTTTTTCAAAGGAGCCCCGGCCAAGAGGCAGCAAAAGTTACACACAGTTACAGATTATGAAAACAGTTACACACAATTGCATAAATAGTATGTAAGAATAGTCAAAATAATGCAAATTGTGAATTGCAGAATCAATGTGAGGAAAAGAGACATTTCTGGTTTAAAACACATACTAAAATAGAGTTAATGCTTTAGCTGTTACTGTTAGTACAGTAGACATTTAGATAGAGTTTAAATAAGTACTTTCCTTCATGGTGAATGCAGAGTTGTGTGCTGCAGAACTGCCTACTTGCAGCCAAAACAGGGGAAGGACGGACTTGCCTGGAAAAGGAGTGTTTGGGGGAGAAAAGAGCGGCCCCTTGACCCGTTCACACAGATGTTGAGTAATATAATAATAATAATGTCTCTGTGGGCCAGCAGCAGATGGGTTTTATCAGCATCTTGTTACAGGCATCGGTCCAAAGATCCACTGGAAAAGAGAGGAAACGTTTGTTTTGTTCTTGTCTTCTCTGTCTTTTTTTCTAAACGTACATCCTCAGAAACCCCTTGCTTTGCTGCAGTGGGCGTTGCTGACAGGACATGTATGAAATGTTTTTGAATATACTTTTAATATCCAATGAAGAAATAGGCTGTGTTTCATAGTTAGTTTTCTGTTTCAGTTGGAGGGAAGGTGTCAATACAACTCTATGAGCAAGAAGATATTTTCAAAAGCAAAGTTGTAAATAAAAATGCCCAAATGTTTTCCAAGATCATTATTTGACAGTGATTATTTTCACAAATCTGCTATATCATTATTTCCTTTTTACGTACCTTTATCATGCATGTTTTTGAATATTGTCACCACCTCTAGACACCTTTTTCTATAAAACAATTACAGTTGATGTTCTTACTTAGAAGATGTGGAACTTGGTGATAGACAGTTGAAAGTGATGACTATTTTATTTTCATGTGGATTGTACAACAGGCTGTTTGGGATGTTTTGATATCACACAAACACAACCTGTATATAGCATTACTGATTCACAAAAGCACCAGTAGACCTGTGTGTGTCTGAAAAACATTTATTATGGTAAATACTGCAAACAGTTTTTTACAGAGTTTACATTCAGAATGCTGGCCTCTGCTTGCTTTGGGTTTGGACAGGGCACTGATCCTCCCATCGTCCAAACTTCTCTTTTACATTCAGACCCTGGTAACATTGCGTTATTGTCAGGACTGGCAGCATTATGCAGTGTATATGTCAAGTATTCTCTACTATAGCAGCCAAACACTGATTACATGACTCAGAGTTCACAAGAAAGTGGATGCAGCTCTGAACAGTAGAAGAATATAGCTTTACCTCTCTCTAAACTAAACAGTGTTTCTAGTGCGTATATATAGGTGCAGCACGTTCAAACACAGAGTAAACACATGTACACACAGAAGTACAGCAGCAGCGCCCTCTGTGGGCTTCCGGCAGAATCACAGCATCAGCCCAAAGGAGAAAAACCTTCACATTCAAAAGCCCAGAGGAGATCCTGAGCCCATCAACATCAACAAGCCTACATCCTCTCGTATGCATACAGTTCAGTTCGGCTCAAGATCAATTCGTTTGATCCACTTGTACCAAAAGTGCTTTTTTACGTTCTGTTCTGTGGCCTCTCTGGCTGCAGCGGTGGAGTGTGAAGTATTTATGTCAGATTACATCAAGGCGAGACCATATTCACAAGGGGTAGATTCTTTTCAATGAGCCGGACAATCTGGTGCTCAAAATAGTGTTTCAATAAAAGTAATTCTCCCTCTCTCCCTGAAATATAAAATACAAAACGCTATATATCAATTTTCTCAACTAATAGTAAACCAGCAAGGACTAGACTAGTATCAACCAGGCTAATCTAGTATTTTTTCGGGACCGGTAAACAAGAGAAACAAAAATGACCTTTTTATATGTGAAAAATGGACAGTGGGCCTGATCTGAAATCGTTATAGGCAGGTCCGATAATGCCTTAAATGCTATAAATCCTTGCCCATATTTCTGAATACTTTCTGGCTCCAGACTGTCTATTATTAAATGCTTGTTTTAACTGTGGTTGTTGATGGTGTCCTAATTTAATGACTGTTCAGATGGAAATTAAATAAAATATGAATACTGCTCTTGGTAATGTCAGTCTAAATGTTTCTTTCCAAAGCTGGTAGATCCAATTCACAATCTACTGGGTTTACCAATCCCAGCCACTGAATGTCTTGCCCATTCTCCAAGTGCCCTAAATTGATGCCGGCCAAGTGAAAAAGTTAGATTTAAGAAAGACATTAAAGTGGATCTTATTTTCAATTCTTATCAATGTCAAAGAAAACATGGGTACATAATAGATATACCTTGCACATACCTTTAAATTTAATTATTGTTATTATTACAGTATTTTTGGGGCTAGCACAAACTGTTACCATAGTGATAACCTGCAACTCATCACACATTAGCTCAGACCTATTGCTGGGTTGAACGGAGCTACATTATTTTTATGTCTAAAAGTGGATTTTTGCTACAAATGCAGTTCGTCAGGTTGGATTTATTTGGTTGCCTCTGTGTAAAGATAAAACAGGGCTGTCGTATGAAAACATCCGAAGCTGGGTCCACAGACTGCTCCAGCTCGATGCGGTGAAGACAGAAGCAGCGTTCAGATGTAGAGGGGCTGCTCCTGCGCCGTGAGGAGGCGGTACACGGCAGCAGGCATCGTCTTCATGTGGATCTACAGACAGAAAGACAAACATACAAGTGTTATTTTTCAATGAAACGGATTTGATTCCTCATTTGACCATGTTTTTAAAAAGTCGACACAGGTATAGTTAACACTGCAAAAAATGATAACAATTCTTTCATAAACTGCTAACATTTGTTAAATTAATCTTAATATGAGCACGTTTTTTCTGCCTTCAAAATAATCTTGTTTTTCACTTTTCACCCACTGGGTTTTAGAGTTGTTCCTTGCCGTTGGTGGTCTAACCAGAAGGACTGCGGTGATGATCCAGGACACTCAACATTCTACAACATTCTACAACATTTATCAACATTTATCAACATTCATGGACATTGGTCTCTCCAATGGACCAATACCATGTGTTCTATATTTTTTGTGTCTTAACTGTTTATTCTCTGATCTGTGTTGGTGATTTCAATGGTTTTGTTAAGTCCTCTGAGATGACTGCTGTTGTGATTTAGGGCAATACAAGAATACATTAAAATGGAATTGAATTAAAAAAAGATACAAGAAATGTCTGTGTGAAACGTGTGTTTGTTATTATAGCATTTCCAGTGTTCGAATTATTTTATTCTCTGATTTGTTAACAACTTTGTATCAAATCAGAATTGATGACTTTTGATGACATTTCAACCACGTAGACAATACATGACATTTTAAAGCGACACAAAAGTGACCCTCAGTTATGACAGTGCGCGTCAGCCCGGCTCAGGCCTCACCTCCCCAACAGCGTTCGAGAGGATGTGCACTATCTTCTCATGAGTCGTGGCCACAACGCTCTGACTGTTGATCTCAATGATACGATGTCCCACTCGGACCCCTCCCCGCTCAGCGATGCCCCCTCGCATGAGGCTGCATATCTGTGAGAGGACAGGCTGTCATTAGTATGTAAACAGGCTGTATGGTGTGGAATAGAGCCATGGATACCCACAATGCCGTTCTGCACACTGAAGCCCAGCTGGTAGCGCAAGTCAGGGCGTCTGATCAGGACTGTGGTCACAGGAGGACAGCGCACTATGTTCAGATTCACCCGGGACTGGTTCTTCAGACCCTGCGCACAAAACACATGAAAACACTCAGTCAGGCTGTTATGGTTTGGGTTTTTTTCCATTTTATTAAATTTTTTTGACAACCCCCGTGTCTTCCTTAGTTCTACTTCATGTTGTGTGATGACCAGCCCTGCCCTCACGTGTATCACCTGTGTGACTGCGAAAATACATATTTAATCAAATGTAATACAAAACAAAATCCAAGGTAAACACAAAAAGTGACAAAACAGGGACAGAGAACAAGAACTAAAACAGTGGTGGCAATGACAATGATGAAACAGGGACTAACAACAGACAGGGCTGGTCATCAAGCAACAGGAGGTAGAACTAAGGAAGACACAGGGGTGGACCAATAACAAAACAAAACAGGAAATAAACTGAAAAATTAAACTTTAACTAGAAATTCATCTTCTTGATTATCTGAGCTGTCGGTGGAAATCCACCCGTCCCAATGGGAATAATTAAACTAATCGAGACGTGTGCAAATGTCTCTATGGTTTGGACTCGCGAACACCTTTAGATTGGACTCTTTGGCTGTGACGCATACTTTCATATAAAATACTTTCTCTGTCTGGAAACTGAAAGACAAGCATTCAGGCATTTCTGCTTCAGATCCTGTTTAAGTCTCTGTCACAGTGTTATTCGATTCTGGCTTAAGTCCCCACACAAAAGAATGAGACACATCAGAGTAGGACTGTCAGATCCAAAAACAGGGTTGGAAACAGTGAAAGAACATGAAACCTACGGCTGAGGGTTTGTGAGCGCACTTTGATGATGCTCTGGCAGGTGCACAGGGGCAGTCCCACCAGACTGGTCCCGTTGATGGACATGATCTGGTCCCCGATGTTGAGGCGGCCGGACCTCTCGGCTGGCCCAGCATGCATCATGTTGGCCACTATGACCGTGGGCAGGATGGACCCCCAGCCACTCTCTACTATGACCAGCCCCAGAATCTCCCCTTTGTTCTTTTCCACTATCACCTGAAACAACAGCCACAGACATTATAATGTCATTATAATAATAATTCTAAAAAAATATATAATAATAATTCAAATGGTTTTATATTGCGTTTTTTTAGATACTCAAAGACGCTTCACATGTTGTTATTCTTCCAGTCCATGAGATAAGAGATCCTTTATTTGTCCCACAGTGGGGAAATTTACTAACCATTCACACCCATACCAGACTCATGCATTTACTATTGTTTGACACTATGTCCATGCTGATTACATAATACAGTTCTGTATGGCATGACAATAAATATATTATTACGTACTACACAAACAATACTTCAGTTTGTGGACCTTACTTTATAGCGGAAACCACAACTTTAAAAAGTACACTGCCAGGTTGTTTGATTCTCTGATCTATTGTTGGTGAATCGACAACAGTCCTCCGAGACGACTGCTGTTGCGGTTGTGACAACATTTATATTATTTTTATTTTGAATGTAATTTTAAAAAGGGGTAAAAAGTTTATGTTTACCTATTCCCTCTTGCTATATTGTGGTATTGAGCAATAGAAATCTTTTGGCTAAACTCACAGCTCATGTCTTTTAACACAGCACATGAAATCTTCCAAGTACCATTGTGGATATACAAATATTGATAAGGATGAGCAAATGCGATCTGTTCTGTGTAGCATCTGCAGTAGAGGGAACGTACATCCTTGCAGTTCTCAGACTTGGAGAAGTGGACGAGGTCGTCGTTGTACATGTCTTGAGTGTTGAGAAGGTCGCTGTACTCTTTCTGGCTCAGGTCCTCAGGGTTAATACCATTGGCCCGTAGGAATTCCTGATAGGCCACACTGAACGACTGGCCAATGGACTGAGCAATGAGCTGCGCCTGCAGAGACACAAGAGGATTGCATTACAGAATTTTAAAATATCAAGCAAAGCAAATATTAAGCAATCCAAAGGCATTTTGACATTTTCACAGATTCAGAATGTGTAAATCCTGAGCTTTCCAAACAGGTTTAGCATGATGGTATCATATATAATTGGTGGTCATTTGAAAGTGAGGTCACCTGAAATCACAATGCTGAGAAAAACAGCCTCAGTTTCCCCTTTTCCCGTCCAGCTCGGGAGGGAAGGCCCACATATTAGACTAGCCCTGCCTCCATCAAGGACTGTCAGTGGTGTTGGTCTACACAGCTGTAGTGCAGTACTTGTAATCAGATTACAGTCACTGACAACATTCTTAATTACATTGATTTTATAAGAATCAAACATCTCAGAACTTAAACATGGAGCATTGTTTATTTGATCACATTAGTCCAGTCCTCAGGTCTCTGCACTGCCTTCCTGTGGCTCAGTGAATAGACTTTTATAGCAGCTCTGTTTGTTACAAGTCTCTCCATGGCCTCGGACCAAAGTGCATTAGTGACATGTTAGTACCATATGAACCAACTCGGACTCTGATGAGCACAGGAACTGGTCTTCTGCTGGTGACCAGAGTCAGGACTAAACATTTCAGATGCATGCTGCTAAATCCTGGTCTTCCTGATAATATGAGACAGGCTTCTACTCAGACAATGTTCAAATCCAGGTTCAAACACTGCTGTTTATCTGTGCATACAACTGAAGGATATTCACTGTTGTTAATGCACTGTGATGATTCATTATTTGAATGCCTTGTATGATTTTGTTCAGCACTTTGACTTGCCTTGTGTATGAACTGTGCTATACAAATAAACATGCCTTGCCTAATCCTGTGACCTTTCAAATACTTCTGCTGTTTAATGTTACAGATATCACATGAAGCATAATTGCCCTCTCACATCTAGTTTTTTCTTTGTTTATTGCTTCATAGGTCATTTGGTGTATTGTGTAATTACTAAAATGCATTAATGGTGTGCTATAACAAATCATCTGAGACACAAAGACACACACTCTTGTGCTCAACCGACCCATATGTAGGTGAAGCCCGCAGAACTGGAACACCCAGAAAGAACTACTGTATGCAACTATGTGAAAACTAGTGCAGCAATCAGAGAGGACAGTGTGTAAAATACAGTATGTAGTCACAAAATCAATGATTACAATAAAAACGGCATCAACTTGACAGTCCATTCCCTTTTTAAGATTAGGATTAAGAGAGGATTTGTCCCACAGTGGGGAAATTTCAGTGTTGCATCACCAGTTACAGAACAGTAGGAATGAGGCGTGTCAGACTGATTTTGGTCTGGGGCCGTACGAAAAGCTCCCACCCCTACTCACACCCATGGATTCTCAATTTAACATTTAACAATCTCATTTTGTCTGTGTAATTTTCACCTTTGTCTACTTGTGTTTTTTTATTGTCTTGTGTTGAGTTTTGTGTTATGTTTTTTCGTGTGTTCTTGTTGAACGTTGATGTGTCTGTCTGTTTTGTTGTCTTTAATAAATAAATAAATAGAAAAGGAGGGATTTCCTTTTCTTATAATTGCTTTTTTGGCTATGAAGGTATTTCAACATGACTATAAAATGACATGAGTTTCACTATTTTCTTTTGGTGGATTTTACTGAAAACAAAATGTGTTGTTTTTGAGTGTTATTGTTTGGATTGAACCAAAACTGGACCAAATAAGTTGGTCCAGTTAAACACATTGTTCCATATTGAACGACTTAACTCCGAATGATGTGTTGGGCCACTAAACATGTTCTTGCGAGCCGGATTGGGCCCACGAGCCTGAGTTTGTCATGTCTGGTTTACATGAATGATTGACTCACATCGTCGGACTCAAAAACGTGGCAGATCATCTTGTACTGCCGCTTGCTGTCTTCCTCCACGGTCTCCTCGGAGTCCGACTGGGGCATCCTGCGACGGGCCATCAGCACCACAATGTTCCCGATGTCTGCGATGTAGGAGATGGTCCGCAGGGGGTGGTCCATCATCGTCTCCTTCAGGACAGGAGTTATTTACAAATATATTAGCAAAGATTGGAATATTGCTGGTGGGAAAAATCACTTAAATTGTTCTCTATAAAAGACTGTTCGACGGTCTAACTGAAAGGACTGTGCTGAAGATCGAGGACTTTCAACATTCAACATTTATGGACATGGTCTCTCCTTATGGACCCCTACATTTATTTTTTGTGTCTTAACTGTTGATTCTCTGATCTGTGTTGGCGAACTGAAGGGTTTTGCAAAGTCCTCTGAGATGTTGTGATTTAGGGCTATACAAGAATACATTGAATTGAATTGAATTGAATAAAGAGGATCAAATGTAGAGAAAGATCTGTATCTGTTGTACCTGTGAGTCAACATTGAGCACTTTTATTCTCTGAGTGGAGATGAAGAGGTCCACCTCAGTCATGGACGCCTCGTCTTCGGGCGCCTGCACACAAACACAGCGCGAACGTCTGTCTGGGAACCTTTGCACTGAAGAGAAGCACTACGTTTTTGTTTTGCATTCTTATTTTGGACTTGAAGGTTTGGGATTGTTTGAAAGTCATTACCAGCGTGGGAAAGAATACTTTGAAACAGTGTTGACTCATTTACTGCCGGTTATCAGGAAGTTGCACATGCATTGAGGCAACAGAAGTACCATGTTTATTATGCGTGTTGTTTATACAGGTAAAGAAGCAGATCAGTGCATGAAAATACTAGTTTACCTTTCTGTCAAATAGCAACAATGAGACCATCCCTGTACCGACATATCGTAGGCCATTAAAAAAAACATTTTACAAAAGTCATTGAGATTTGAGTTTGGTAATGTCTCGCAGATCCGCAGCCTAAACATGTTAAGAAGGTAATACATGTAACTCGTCTTTCAAAAGAAGCAAAATCAATTGTACAAAAGGATCACACCTTTTTCTTGTTCTGGGCCTGTTTCTGTGCGGCCTGTGGAACAAGGACAGACAGAAATAACACCATTTTAAAAACGGTCAACATAAATGAATGAGACAAGCTCTAAACCAGCTCCTGGAGGAGGAGGAGGAGGAGGAGGAGGAGGAGGAGGAGGAGGAGGAGGAGGAGTATCAGACCTTGATGCGGCTGACGGCCTCCTGCGCCTGCATCATGCGTACGTTCTTGGACGGAGTTTTGTCTGACAGCAGCTGTGTGGAGCCCAGGTAGTTTGCTGCAAAAATGATGCCATCGATCAGGTCTTCGGGGTCACAGGGGCCTGGAACTGGAAAGAAGGAAGGACGAATGAATGATAAAGTTGACTTAAAGCTGGGGAACCTCAATTTCAAACCCCTAATAATGTAACAATATATTAAAATCCATTTAGGGTCTTGTTATAGTTTCTTGCTCTCAAAATACTTTAGTTCTATCAAAAGTTTTCATGCATGTCTTTGGTTCAGAAGTCTTTCGAATAAATGTTGTGGTCTGATCTGTTTTAAAGGTACTCTGTATAATTTTTACAATCGCTCCAAATAAAAAAAAAAACATGTGATAACAATAAAAAAATTGACCTTTTTAAAGAATATTTACCTCCACCATATTTTTGAATTGTTGTCATAGGCTCAGAAATGTACTTATAAATGTCCATGAGGCTGGAGGACTCTACATGTCAATGCGCCATCTTGAAATACAGTGTTTGACAAAAAGGAGTTTGACCGGGAGTTGGGGACCACTGTCAAAGACGGCATATTGTCCTGTGAAGCTACCTTAGTACTGTACAGTGTACCTTTACTGTAAACAAACAGTGAACTGTAGAATTTAGTCTGAGCACTCACACTTTATTTGGATTCTTTATTATAGTATGGTATGATCTTATACCAACAGTTGCAAAAACTGTTATTCACCGCTCATCTTTAGTGGTTACGTGAAGCCTAAACTATAACAACATCATTGAGCCAATCTGTGAAGTTAGGGAAATACTGCACATGTTATTGTATTATGTGATGTACTGTCATGTCCACAATTGAAATAAACAAATTAATAAATAAATAGTTGGATGGATAGATAGATAGATAATCTGAAAAATATTGACAAAAAGTTCAAGAGTAAAAGTTCAACCACGACTGTATTGGACGGTTTGTGTGAGCTCATTGGTGATGAAGTGTGTAACTGTAGACAGGTCAGGTGACACCAGGACACTAACGGTTGAATTAAACATGAACTCACCTTCTACATACGTGGGGAAGGACACCCTGCTCCTGCCAGCCTGCAGCACACACACACACAGCTCAGTTTAGTAAGCTATAGAAGCGATACAAAAAAAGTCTGAATTAAAGTGTATGTTTGGGAGTGGTCTTTATGGGGCTGACCTCTCTGGGGGAAGGCGTATGCAGACTGTCGTCCGGCAGGAGCTGGCTGCTGGAGCCCTCTGCTCCGGAGGGAGAGGGGGATCCAGACCGAGGAGACTGCAACACAACATAAATATTCAGAAATGTACTGTGTAAAGGCTGTGGGAGTTATGTGACCACGCACTCTGGACAAACGCCAAGTGAATGCGTCACCGTGCTGAATGTTGTGTGTCTTTTTACAGCTCTCCCAGACAACTTTAAACTTTGTATAATATATTGTTCCCATCTTGGTTAGGGTTACTTCTCAGATATTTAGTTTCGGTTTTGTGTTTTTGTTTTATTATTCATTAACAAAAATGAGAATAACACAAACAAACACAGACAGGTCCAGAGAAGCAAAAAAGCGAATGAAATATATTAACAATCTGTACAAAAATCAAACGTAAAAATTATAGAAAAGTTGCCTTTAAATCGTCAGTGTTCCACATGTTGTTGGTGCTCCCCTGTGTGCCGTGGATAGATAATACTTTGACTGCTCTAAAACTAGGATTTTTCTCAAGAGAGCTACTTTTTCAAGGCAAAAATGGTAAAAGAATCACTCTTTGCTCCTAATCTGTGCTCCTACCCCTTGCTTGTATTTCTTACTCCTACTTCTTAAACAGTTGAAAGAGCTGGAGTGGACAAAAGGAGGAGCTATCTACTCCAATTAGATCAGAGCTGACAAATACGTCACTCTTGACACATCATGCATAGAAGTCATAGCATTTAGACAAAGTTTCTGTTAACAAGTTTATAATTAAGATGCAGATAAAACATAAACCTGTTGTAATCTCCATTTCTTAGAGCGTATTGTGAGTTAGGCCTAATTTTATGCATACAGATGAAACAACATACAGTCTATGCTTACAACACAAAAAAAACATCTCAGAAAATGTGTTATCAATCACAAACAAAAGCTTGAATTAATCACTTTAGATACATTGAGTTTATGCAATATTTTTTTTTTCACTTTTTGAATTGAATTTCAGAAGCAAATGGACTTTGGAATTACCTTCTCGTTTTAGGAGTTTCACCTGTAACTCCTAAAATGTACAGGTGAAACTCCTAAAACAAAAAGTAGCACACCGAGAAGCTCATCTTTTGGTGAGCTACTTGGAAGGGGATTGCGAGCTACAAGTGGCTTCCAAACCACAAGTTGGAGATCCCTGCCCTAAAAAGTTAGTGTTCACAAATACACACATCAATAACTAAATCAAGTCATTATACTAATTTACAGTTTGATACTATTTTTAGTATTCATTCGTTTAAATGCCCTTGAGTGGTTTATCTCAAGTCAAGCCCAGTCTCAAGTCTTATAACACTAAATCCGGTCAAGTCTACGCCATCCAAGCAATCAAGTGTATCAAAAACTTAAATAATAACCGAGAATGTACAGATCACACCAAACATCCACAAAACCATCTCCAGACCTTGTCCTCCGCATCCAAATCTGGCGGCAGGCTGCACTTCTTTGCCTCCTCCTCCTCCATCTTCTCTACTTGGTAAATCCAGTAGTTCTCCATGTTTGTGATGGCAGTTTTGACTCTGTCCTGGTCCCTCACACAGCCAGCCAGCCCTCTTCACTTGGGCAGTTTTTTCAAAGCACAGGTCAGGTTACTAAGCGCTCCAGTTCAGCCAGTCACAGAGAGACAACAGAGCGGACAGAGCAACCGCTGCCAATGCAACAGTCATCTTTAAAACAGGTCTTAAAAAAATTAGACGCGTCAGAGTGAGATTTTCTTTTAAAAACTGCTCTGAGACTGATGTCATAGTGGTAAAATGCCAAGAGCTTATCGACAAAAGGGGCTGAGTTACAGATTTGTGTCAGAAATACTGGCGAGATACAGTATGTCTCCTTTAAGTTGGGGGCAGTGAGAGCGGACAATTAGGTTCTGGAACTCAGAAATCTAGGCAATGTGGGTGAAGTGTCTTGCCTAAGGACACAACAACAATTTCACACTTTACAGCCGCAGCTGCCCCACTGTGGCACCTGGTGTTCCCGGAGGTCTCCCATCACAGTACTAACCAGGCCCTACCCTGCACAGCTTGGTCTGACAGCATCTGACATTTGCATGCAAGTATGGCCACTTAACGTCTTCTGTTGACTTTGATTTACAACAGTACTCCAACATTAACCTCAGGTCCTGGGTTCGAATCCCGGTCGGAACAAGGCCTTTTTGAGTGGAGTTTGCATGTTCTCCCCGTGTCTGCATAGGTTTCCTCCAGGTGCTCTGGTTTTCCCTATACCACTAAAAAAACATGTACAATAGGTCTGGCATGCGCTTCCAGTACTGGCAACCACGCTCCCATCTCTGTGTGGAGTGAGAGACAAATGCCCAAAAATAACAATTGCAAACCGCTTTGTGACTCTGGTCTGTGAAAGGCGCTATATAAATAAAGATTACTTACTTATAGAAGCACAGACAGTCTAAACATGGCTGCCAACATGTGTCACAAGTGCAGTAGGTCAGGAATGTCTTCTCTGCTTTCCATCGACCTGGTTTCACCTCTTAGCACACTTCTTTACCATCGCCAACAAGCTGCACATGCTATAGTGAAAGGACTTCTGTGTTGTGATGAAGATCCTGTTGTATGCTTCATTATTATTCTGTGAAACTGAAAACTGGTATTCAATAAAGTTTCACATTATTACATTTAACGCTTGACAGATCCTGCCTCAGTCCTGCACTGCGTGGTCTCGGTCCTCATCCTTCAGCCTGTTCATATTTTCTCGCTTTTTCCCACTGGGTTTTAGAGTTTTTCTTGTTTTTTCAATGCAGGAGGGTCTAACAGAAGGACAGTGGTGATGCATCGGAAAACTCAACATTCAACAACATTAATGGATATTTATCATAATTTTTGGACTTTGGTCATCTGTCCCTTATGGACCAATGGCTCTATGTGTTTTTATCATTGCATTTATTGTGATTGAACTTTTTGATTCTCTTTTCTGTGTTGGCAAATTCAACGGTTATGTTAAGTCCTCCGAGATAACTACTGTTGTGATTTAGGGCTATACAAAAAAAAAAATGCTCATAAAACCCTCATTCTATATAACGTTTAATTAATTTGCTCTTTGTTTCACATAGCGTAGCTGCAAATAATCGACACACCTGTTCCAGCCGTGCGTTAATAAAGCTGGCACAATTCATTAGAGGCTTTCTGCGGAAAAGGTCACACGACGTGGAAACAGGCTGCAGACACTGGAGCCTCTCTGAATTATTGAACGCTTGAAGACTGGCCTTGCTTTGCCTCATCGTCACATGAATAAAAGATCAGTGAACAGGCAAAACATGTCGTCCTCCACTTTATTATAGTCATGGTTTTTATGTTTGCTTATTGGAAACGCATGTCAACAACTTGTGGAGATGGGAAAACGCGTTCGGAATCCAGTGTGCACGTTGTGTTTCATACTTGAGGCATAGAATACTCCCAGAACACTACCTCACCACCTTACCCCTAGATTATGTGTGTGTGTGTGTGTTTGTGTGTGTGTGTGTGCGTGTGTGTGTGTGTGTTTGTGTGTGTGTTTGTGTGTGTGTGCGTGCGTGTGTGTGTGCGTCTGTGTGTCTGTGTGCGTCCGTATGTTTGTAAAGTAACTTATTTCATAAAGTACACTGCAAAAAATTATCAAATATGAGGAAAATATTGCTGTAATCGAGTGTTTTGGCTTTTTTTTTCTTAAAACAAGTTCATTCTGACTTAAAACTTTTCTTAAAACAAGATTTGTCAATGGGACAAAGCCATTTTGTCTTGTTTCAAGAACTGTTTTCTTATTTTCTATGACAGACATTTCTTGCTTATCTTTTTTAAACAAGATAATTTCACTTTTCTCATTGGCAGATCTTGTTTTAAGGCAGTCAAAATGTGCTCAAATTGAGATACATTTTGCCAAATTTGAGAAAGTTTTACTTATTTTTCATTACTTTTTGCAGTGTAAAAAACAGTTAAAGCTGGGATACCTAACTTTCTTACGTAAATAAGAAAGTTGACCCAACATAAACATTTTGTAAACACAGATGTCGTCACTTTATTAGAAACCATGTCATCATAATTGTAAGAAAGAACCTTGTAAGTCACTGTTTGACTCTTTGGGCCAAGAGCTGATTGAGTGAGGATGGTTCACTCTTTTTCACTTTTCTGTGACAGAGGCCAAAATACATGCATGTGAAAACTAGTGTTGGAATCAAAAGGCTGAGTGCTGGACTCTACCGGCCGCGTCTCCGTTTACGTGCGTAGACTGCTGCCCGTCAGACGTCCGTAAAACGAAATACTGGCCACACCGGCGGCAGCAGCGCGCAACTCTGGCTGTGCGTTTATCAGCAAAGCTGCCCAACCCCCCGTGTTTAGGGCTTTGTTTTAACTTCAGACCATTCAAATAAAAGAAGCAGTGTGTGATTGGACGTGTTGTGAGATCTGTCTATCTCATGCTGTAAGCGCAGTAGCTTTGTGGGAATGTGTGTGTGTGCGTGTGTATGGAGGCGCGCGGCGGTGACGGGAGCGCGCGTCGAGGTAGACAGAGACAGCGACAGCTGGGAGAGAGGAGTGTATGTAAAGTTTGGCGTGAGAGTGAGTGCGACCGGAGCAAGACAGGGAACGAGTGCATCATGGTATGTTGGATTGGGATAAACAATAAAGCCTCACTCTTGAGCAACAGTCCAGAGTGTCCATGAAACTGCACCACACTTTGACAGCGAGGGTCAAAGTGTTTCTATTGTAGGATTGTTTCTATTTCGTCCGTCCGCGTCCGTTGCACCCTGCGTGGACGGACTGCTTCCTACACGCGTCATACGCACGCATGTCACGGGCAGTGGAACCACTTCCCGTACCCTCATGGAGAAAACGGAAACGGAGATGAAACGGACACGTTTGGACGGAAACGTAGTACGTTTTACGCAGCCGGTGGAATCGGGGCCTAAGAGAGTAAAGAACTAGTTAGATGTATTGTATTACATAGTTATTTTTTGTGTTGAAAGTAAGGTATCCTAGCTTTAAAAAAATAAATAAACAAAATGCACAAACTTCTTCTTCTCATTCTCTTTCATGCTCTTGTTTATAGTTGTGCTCTCTCTCTTAAAACATTTCGGGAAAACGCCTTTCCCCAGTTCCTCATCCAATTTCTGAAAAATCTGGTGCCTAAAGGGTCCATTTTAATGTAGTAACCAAAAGTATAAGTAATGTAGTTAGATCTCTATCTCTAAATCTCTACATTCTACTGCACTACATGGTAAAAACATGCCCAATCATTCAAGATGACTACATTTATGTGTGAAATACAAATCTGGCCAAAAGTGGTACTGCAATCACAGTCAATATTCTGTAGTCCTCGCCCACTCTCCCTTACTCAGGTTGCCAAATATGAAAACGAATACAGCTGGGACCACAATAGCTGAGTAAACAAGAATTTTTTCAACAAAAAATCAATGACCAACACCTTTTTCACAAAGGCCCCAATAGAAATCCTTTTTAGTACTGCGGCCACATGTCACTTTACCAGTGAGCTTAGCTCGATGCGGTGAGTTCTGTTGTCTGCTGTTGTTGTGTCCTTGGGCAAGACACTTAACTCCACTTTGCCTGAAGTCCCCACTGAAAGATAAAGGCAGGTCAGACTAGAGCTGCCGTCCTCCCGTGGACTCGCCACCTGCAGGAGGATCAGTGAGGGGCTGGTGCTATGTCAATTGGGTGCAGATCTGACTGCCCCAACCCAAAAAAGGATAAGGGTAGAATAGTTAGGTAGGATAGTTACCATAGCAACACACTCTTTACTATCAGTGTAATGTAGCATTAGCATTTTTGTTGTTGCTGTATTTCAGTTATAATAAGTTATACTTAATAAACCGCTTTAACCCTTTAAGGTTCACAATGTAAATTTTTATTTCATTTTTTTCAAAGATGTAGGAGCACTTCTTTTGTTTTTTACTTTTACCAAATGGTTGAGATGCAGTTTGATGGTAAAAGTGCCTAAAACAGAGGTATACTTAACAGGTATACTTTAGTTCCAAGTAGATATGGTGACTCAAAAAATGATCCACTAAATGGTTGAGGAAACCATTAAAATGTTAATGAATCTGGTGAAAAAAACGAATTCCAGTGGTTTGAATGGGACCAGTAAAAATGACGGCTCTGGGAGTTTTAGTAGATTGTAAATTCCAAGAGTCGTAGTCGAAATGTCGGAAAACCTGCTAACTGAAGTACAGATGATGGGTGAGCAACCTTCCTTTGTTAAGAGAGTCTTAGGCTTTTGGGATGTTGACATGAATGTGACCTATTCCTCTGCTGGAAGTAGAATGAGTAGACAGAAGACGAGGAAAGAATGTGTTGGAGAATTCAACGGCTGTGAAATATCCTCCAAGATAACCACTTTTGTGATTTAGGGCTATACAAGAATACATTGAATGGAATGGAATGGAATTGAATCGTTGGTATGGGCCCAACAGGACATCAGACAGAACACAACCCACTACAGTATACTCACGTCGCCATCTAGTGGTGTGTGCAGCTCACAGTCTGCAGTGGGACTCAGGTCTTGCCTCATGACCCACACTGGTTCTTTGGGTTCATCTGGTGTGTAGGGAGATCTCACGGTGCGGGTCTTCACCTCTTCTATGGCCTCTCGGATGTCTTTTATCGCCAAAGAAATGGCGTCTTTCTTCTCTTGCAAACTCTGCCCTCCAGGAGTCACTTTGTGGTCTTCACCTGGGGCAAGGTTCTCCAGCTGCGGCTGCTCTGAGTTCTGAACATCGTTGCTGGGCAGTTCTTTGGCACAATTTAGGCTTTGAGAGCTCAGGCTGATCTGGAGCTCCACCGTGATGCTGTCTCCGTCCTCCTCCAGCTCCCCGCTATCGGTGCGAGGGTATGGGGCAAACTCTGCCTCCTTCTCGGGGCTGTCGGACTCACCATCGGAGCGCTCGTCGTAGTGGTGCAGCCGGAAGCCCACGGCCTGCTGGTACTCGCCGCTGTCAGACTGAGCCTCCAGGAGCCTGAAGCTGGACGGTCTCTGGCGCTCAGAGAAGCCGGACGCCTCGCAGATCTCCTCGTACACGTGCTCAGAGGGAGAGTAGATGTCGTAAGGCTCACAGTATGTTTCATGTTCCCTCAGCTCTTCAGCGGAATCCATCACCTACAACACAGCACATGTTAGTGTTTTCTACTTTGATTTCGTGGAGAGACTGAAGCAAGACTGAAGACTGAAACTATTAGGCCACATTTCCATGAATGTGGATGAAAAGGAGCACAATGTAATATATTTTGTGGGTCGATTACGCACAATTTATTTATTCTTTATTTTTTTGCACTTTAAGGGCTCCGTAGTATTGACAAAATTTAAATCATTTTGAAATCTGTATTTTTACCAATGTAAACACCTGATATCTATTGTATTCTGTTTTATATTCTCATCAACAATACCTTCCTTTTATCTAAAAAATATAGATCAATATTGAGATTTAAAGATACAATAACTATTCACATTAATAAATGATTGTCAACATCTTCTGACTGATTCAGTCCAGTTTATGAAAGTGCAGTGAACTAGAGCAGAGTGGGGGTTGGGATCCCCATGGGGGGTGCAGAACACTGGCGGGAGTTGTGAAATGATTCCCAGATTATTATTTTTTTAATGACTACATTATATATATATTAGTGCTGTCCAATGATTAAAATATTTAATCGCAATTAATCGCATGAATTTCATAGTTAACTCGCGATTAATCGCAAATTAGTCACACATTTGTATCTATTCTTTATGTCCCTTGAATTATCATTTTAATACTACTAAAAAGTGAATAGGCGTGCTGTGTGCAATTTTTTTTAATATTTTGTAAATTTGTTCATGTAAATACTCTATGCTGTTTCTCTGTTTACTTTTGGTATATCTATGACTGTATACTGTTTGCTTGTATTGCCTTTTTTATTAACCCCTCCCCCCCATCTCCCACTTCATGTCCCCCCCCTCCTATGTGCCCTTCTGGGTTTCTTCTTTGGCCCCCTGTATCTCCAACTACATATTGTTTGTAATCTCTGTCTACAATGTATCTGAACTAGTCCTTTTCTTTGTTTCTATTTTTTTTTCTGTATATGTGTTTGTCTGCAATAAAAAGTAAAAAAATAAAAATAAAAAATAAAAATGTTTTTTTTATTTTTTTTTATTGCGCGATAAAAAAATGACGCCGTTAATATTGATTTGGGTCAACGCGTTAATAACGCGATATTTTGGACAGCACTAATATATATATACATATATATATATATATATATGAATACACACTTTTTCTTTTATACAAATAACATATCTGAAGTTAATATAGATTAGATTTCACAACAAATTACTCAAATCAACATTACAATTCATTGAGGATGTTTTTACATGTCATGACTGGGTTTTATGGGAATCCCTGTCTGAGAGTCATACCTTGCAGTAGTGCGCAGTGGGGTCTTCGGGTGGGGCAGGTGCAGGTGCAGACACAGGGGCAGGCATAGGGGCAGAGACAGGGGCCGGCACAGGAGCAGGCACAGGGGCCGGCACAGGGGCAGGAGCTCTCTGGGGCTCATCTTCTGGCTCTGTGCTCTGCAGCAGGCTGTCGTCCCCCTCGGCTCGGTCAGTGTGAGTGTGGAAGCCGCTCTCGGTGCTGGCGGATCGGGCCAGAGCAGAGTCATCGCGCTCCCTCTCGTCCTCGTGGCTCCTTAGTTCCTGTTGGGCCTCTCTCTGCAGTCGCCGCTGCTGCCGGTGCTGCTGGGCCCTGAGCCGGGCCTCTGTGTCTCCTTGGCGTCTGTAGCGGGAGGTGGCTGCACGGGCTGGGGGCTTAGGCTCTGGCTCCATGTCGTGTGGAGCTTCACTGCGCCTGTGACTCCTGGTCCTCTGGGTCTCAGGGGGAGGAGTGGGGGCCTCTTTCTCCTCCATGATGCTCTGAGTGTCACGGGGAGTCAATGGGTCCTGAGTCACCTCCAGGAGTTCATCTAAAAAAGGCAAATGTTCTTCATTCAAACAGACCTTGAAACATGTGTTCAAAGATGTACAGTATTTATCTGTTATATGGGAGAGGACCCCAGGTTCAACCTGTAGACAGCAGTAACACAAGAGACAAACCACCAAAAAGTATTTCAAACTTCTCATCAATCACTTCTGAATCTGTGTTTCCAGCGCGTCAAGGTGCAAGTAACTGGGACAAGTCGAATGACTAATCTAAAGGACACATCCAAATGTTATTCTCATTCGCTGCTCTCTTATCTTAGATAAACTGTATAAAAGTCCAAAGCTGCAGAGGCTGCACAAACATAGATTCATGTTTGTTGTATGTGCAGAGTTTTAGAAGATCAGTTTCAAAACCACACAGAGCTGAATGCAGAGATGTGTGTGGGCTGAAAGACAATCACACTTTCAGACAAAGAGGAGGTCTTGGGGGCGAGAATCCTCTGCATCTCCAGTAGGGAGAAGCGCACTCATAAATATTGACATCAGAGAAGCATTTTAGGAATAACATTAAATGAGACTCGGCTCTGGATCATTCTGCTTGGATAATCACCACGAGAACCAAAGTAACAAATAGTATGACATAGGTTTTAGCATTAATGTTAAACACAACTTCTGAATCTGGTGTTTTGTAAAATTATGAATCAATCAAAGGACTCTCATCATATGATAATAAGCAACACAAATCGCTGGTTCTTTCACTCTTTGTCAATATTAACAAGGCCTATAGACTTTGATGATTTAAGGCTACAGAGTATATGTTTGAAAAAGATAAAACAGTATTTAGACCTTAATTAGCTAGATGTTAGACATATCTATTTGCTAATGCTGGTGTGTCAGCCTGTTCATTTGGATTCTCCCGGAGTCAGTCCTTTTGAACAAACTGGTCGTATCTCGAGCGTCCCGGGTCTGAGATCTCGTTAGCCCTGCTCGTGTCGTGTGTGCAGCATCAGATTTGTTTGACATTCCCTGCGCCTGCATCACAAAAGGCCTCGGTCCTGGAGGCAGAGAACCAGAGACAGACACGGCGCGTCCGCATCACCTGCTCCTCCTTATCCCCACCACCACCATCACCACCACCACCATCATCAGCAGCAGCAGCATCAGCATCAGCAGCAGCAGCATCAGCAGTACCAGCAGAGATCATGGCGTTAGTCTTGCCCGCTGTCTCCCGCCCATCCCCTGCTCCTTGTCCCGCAGATCACTCACCAGCTCCGGGATGGGGCCGCTGCAGGATGAGAATAGTCGCTGCTCCGGGTGCTCTCGCAGTCTTCCATCTTTCTTCATCTGCTGCGAGCATGCGCGCCTCCTCCTCCTCCTCCTCCTCCTCCTTCTTTCTCTCCGTCACACACTGTGTCTCCCCCACAGTCCCCCACACGACGCACATCTGACTCTCGGCCGCACGCACGAGTTTAACAGACTGGACTAAGAATGAGAATGAACATTTGCTTTCAGTCAATGAGGAAGGACTGCTTCATGTCTGCGTTGTAATTAGAGGCTTTTTTGCAACACGAGGAACAATGAAGCGCTAAACACCGTTCACGGGGATTTCGTGAAGGATTAATTCATCAAAAAGTCATAGCACCTATTTTCAGACTTCAAAACCCTCTGCAAAGACTGCGAAAGAAAAGGCTATAAAGGACGCTAATTCCTCTCCAGCAAACTTCAGCCTGTGACGTGATAGATATGAACAGACAGTGATGCAGGTGAACTCTGAGCCAAAAAGCAGATTTATTTACTGTATTTGTACAATTGCATGAAAGTTACAAAAATGAAAGTCGTCACGTGGTGCGTCATTCTCTCCAGGACACGCTGCAGTCAAAATACACATTTGATAATCATGAATGTTTGTTATGTATTCGTAGCCTTTACTTTGTCATTTAGATAATACAGCTTCAGCCTGTGTTACCTTCATATACGCCGTATACAAGTCTGTAATTTATTTTATTTTTTTTGCGGCTCCAGACAGATGTTGTTTTTAGTTTTTTTTTTTTGTCAAATATGGCTCTTTGAGCCTTTTGGGTTCCCGACCCCAGCTCTAGAACAAAGTGAGTGCTATAATATACCTATGCAAGCTTAAAGAGATATGGAATAAATGTAAAATAGAAAACTCTGGATGAAATGCACGCAAAAGGTTTTAAATATTGTTAGGAAGAAGATTAACGCTCCTCAATCAATATCTAGAGCTATGAAATTATCAGAATTAATTGACTTTCGACCAAGACAACTAGATTCAAGGTTTCGAGACTGGGAAAGGGATAATTTAATCTAGATGATTTGTTTGATGGGGAGGTTCTAAAATCTTTTGATAGGATCAGGAAGAAATTCAACTTGAACACAACAGATTTTTAAAGATTTTTGCAGTTGAGAAGTTATCTCATTTCTCACAAAGAGTGGTTATTTTAAAAATCACAACCAAGTGAGCTGGAGAGGATGATTTTAAAGACCAGGAAGAAAATTAAATGTGATAAAGTTGTGTCATGCTTATATAAATGTTTACAATCAACTATTTCAACGAGTTCTCTAGAGATAAAATAAAAATGGGAATTGGAAATGAATAGAAAGAGGACCACACCTGGGAGCAGATGTGTGAATATGGACATAAACTAACATGTAGCCCAACATGGAAAGATTTTTTTCTGGAAAGTGAATATCAGATATTTTAAAACCCCATTCACGATTTCAAAATATGATAAGGAAAAAACAAATCTGTGCTGGAGACAATGTGGACAAGTTGGGGACCACACACATATCTTTTGGGACTGTTCAAAATTAAATTCATTTTGGGAGGGAATTGGGGGGAACTTTCTAAAATACTACACATTCATAGAATGTGACCCACTGGCTTTTATCTTTGGAATGCTCTTACCTGATGTTCTGAGTGGGGACAAAAGGTACCTGTTGATGGTTCTTTTACTGGTAGCGAAAAAAATGATAACCGTGTCCTGGTACAAACCACTACCCCCCACAATAAAACAATGGAGGGAGAGAGTTATACAGGTATACACAATGGAAAGTATAACATCAACACTAATTATCTTAACATGACCAAGTTGGAAAAAAGGTGGACTCGTTAGTAAAATATGTTAATTAGCCACAGAAATGATGGCCAGATTTCAAGTGACAGTCTTTTCTTTCTTTGCATTTGTACTCTTAAGGATGCTCAATCTTTAACAGCATAGGACAGTGTTTCTCCAACTGGGGTACGCCAAAGAATCACTGAGAATGTATATATATATATATATATATATATATATATATATATATATATATATATATATATATATATATATATATATATATATATATATATATATATATTATTATTATTTTTTTTTTTTTTTAATTTAACCAGGAAAGTCCCATTGAGATGAAATCATTGACAGCCATTGACGTCAACATTGTTTTTCAATCTTTTCCTGGCCGTCTGTGTCTGTGTATCATTTAGTCTGGGGTTTGGCTGTAGACAGTATTTTATTAAGCCAGCAGGTGGCAGCAGAACTCTGTGTCTTGGTCAAAGATCACTGCCTGAGCACTCTGAGCAGGAGAGACAGAGGTGAAGCAGACATGGAGTAATATAGTCAGGGTCAGGCTACATTTGGAGGCAGTTTGAGCAGTAAATGTGTCTCCAGAGCTGACAGAGACCATGTGGAGGGTCAGAGCAGCAGACCATGTGGAGGGTCAGAGCAGCAGACCATGTGGAGGGTCAGAGCAGCAGACCATGTGAGGGTCAGAGCAGCAGACCATGTGATCATCAAAGCAGACCATGTGAGGGTCAGAGCAGCAGACCATGTGAGGGTCAGAGCAGCAGACCATGTGATCATCAAAGCAGACCATGTGAGGGTCAGAGCAGCAGACCATGTGAGGGTCAAAGCAGACCATGTGAGGGTCAGAGCAGCAGACCATGTGAGGGTCAAAGCAGACCATGTGAGGGTCAGAGCAGACCATGTGAGGGTCAAAGCAGACCATGTGAGGGTCAGAGCAGACCATGTGAGTTTTTTCATTCATTCTCATGTTGTGTGTGTTTCAGATCATGGAGGATTTTTTCGAAAGCCACACGGACTGCACCGCGTCTGTGTGAGTGTGGACTGGTCCGGGTCTGGGCCTGGACTGGACTGCCCCACAACCCTCCTGCATTAGCGCAGACATTTTTTTTTTTTTAAACAAATAAAAATTGTGGTACTTTTAACGGTAACGTTTTATATATATTTAAAACTGCTCTAAGAGTCTCACGTGTTTACTGTTTTATTATTTTCAAGATCTATACTTTCTGAATTGAGTAGCTAGTTTAAGTATTGACTAATATCTGATTCTTTTTTTGTTACTTTATTTTTTATAACTTTTCCTTTAAAGAGAACATAAGACAGTACAATACAAATAAAACGAAATAAAAACAGAACCAAAATGTGCCAAGTCTAGTAGAATCGATCTTAATGTTACATCATCCATTTCCCCCATTTCTTCTTTAATTGAGCCTCTTTCAGTCTTAGTTTGTGGGTTATCTTTTCCATCAGAAAATGTCATTGATAAGTAAAGTCATTGGGCCTCATTCACGAACGGTTCTTAGGAACAGATGTGTACGTAAATCCTACTTACGCGGTTTTTACGAAGAAAGTGGCATTCACGAATATTTCTCGTAACCAGAATTTCTCTTGGGCAAGTACAAATCCTACGAGTCCTCAGGAGCACTCGTACGCATTCAGTGCCGACATGTTCACACGCCGGGGTTGTCCTCTTTGGTGAAGTTGAATAAAAATACAACATTCCAGTGATATGTCCGTCATATCGATGTATGTATTTATTTATTTGTAGTAATCTTTATTAGTAATCTTTATTTATATACCGCCTTTTTCACTGCAGATCTGGCCTACTTTTTAATTCATTTTGAAATGAAATGTGCCAACGCTTTATCAAATACATTGGAAATCTTGCCGTGTATTAGTGACCCCTTCCTATTTATAGGGGGCATTTCTTTATCCACGGGCCACAGAACAACGGCATATATACTGCTGCTGCAGGAGGTTACTGGGTCCGCGCCGAGTCTCTGCGCTGGTCTCTCCTATGGATCTATACAGGTCTGCACTGGTCTCTCCCATGGATCTATACGGGTCTGCACTGGTCTCTCCCATGGATCTATACGGGTCTGCACTGGTCTCTCCCATGGATCTATACGGGTCTGCACTGGTCTCTCCCATGGATCTATACGGGTCTGCACTGGTCTCTCCCATGGATCTATACGGGTCTGCACTGGTCTCTCCCATGGATCTAGACGGGTCTGCACTGGTCTCTCCCATGGATCTAGACGGGTCTGCACTGGTCTCTCCCATATACGGGTCTGCACTGGTCTCTCTCCATACGGGTCCGTGCTGCATGCTCCTGGATCCATACGGGTCCGCGCTGGTCTCTCAAGTCTGGTCTATGCGGTCTATCTTCGGTCCGCGCTGGTCTCTGCGCACCGGTCTCTCCAGTCAGGTCACTCCAGTCTATGCGGTCTCTCCTATAGGTCCGCGCTGGTTTCTGTGTGCTGGTCACTCCAGTCTCTCCTCGGGTCTGCATTGGTCTCAGCGCTGGTCCGCGCTGGATCTCCTCCCAGGGTCCAAAATATTTTGAGATTAATCTCAAAACATTTTGAGATTCATCTTTAAAATAATACATAATATATTTTTAAATTAAGCTCATAACATTTTGAGATTAATCTCATCATATTCTTAGATTAATCTCATAATTTTGCTAGTTCGACTTTATTATCATAATATTTCGACTTTTAAGTCAACATTTTATAACTTTATTCTCAGTCTGGTAAAAGAAGAAAAAAGGGTGACTCTTTTGCTCCGTGTAACTCTTTGCTTTAGGCCTGTTGCTGTTTCCTCTGCCGTCTGCACACGGCCCTGCAGTCCCTTATATGGGCATTAATGGGCGGTTACTTATGCTAAGTACCTATGCTAATGAAGCACCTGGCACGCGCGCTGTACTTACGAGGAAATGGGATTCATCAATCTGAGAGAACAGCTGCGAACAATTCAGCGCCTTACGAGTGCGTTGATGAATCCCACGTGGGGACTTCTTAGAAATCTACTTAAGGACAACTTGAGAAGAAAGTTAGTAGTTTCTTACGAAGTTATTCGTGAATGAGGCCCATTGGTCTTTGGAAAGTACTTTGCTTGTATTCCAGTTCCTTGTTATTATTTTTTTAGCAGCCAAAGACATAATTTTGAACAGTATATGTCTCGCTGATAAATCTCGCTGTCATCTGAAAAGTTGCACAGGTAGAGCAGGTCAGGGGTCACTGGCACATCATACCTAAATACTTGACCCATCACAATGGAAACAGTTTTCCAAAATACAGATACACCTGGACATTTCCAATATATATGTGAATGATCCACATCCACGCCAGCAGAATTGATGCTTCTTTAGCGGTTTACTTTTTATATTGGGTGTAATGAAGAATCTAATAAGGTTCTTCCAGGCAAACTCTCTCCACATCCAAGGGCCGGTGTTGGTATGGTGACGCCTCCACATATCTGACCAGTTTTTATCCTCAATCTTTAAGTTGAATTCTTTCTCCCATTTGATTTTAATGTTAAGGGTTGTGTGTTGTTGTAGTTCCGTGAGAGCTTTATACAATGCAGAGGTTATTCTAACATTTCCACCTTTGTGGGCTTTAGCTATTGTCTGAACGACGACATCTGTAGATAACGGAATAAATCTTGTTTTTGAAGTTGAAATTGTCTTGTCATATTTTGAAAACTCTCAAGCTGCCCATTTACTTCTAATACACACCAAGCTTTTTATATTTCTTAAGATTTTTTTTCTCTGGTCTCTCCCTCCTCACATCTCTCTCTACCTCCTCCCGTCTCTCTCCCTCCTCACGTCTCTCTGGTCTCTCTCTGTTCTCTCTCTCTGGTCTCTCTCTGGCCTCTCTTAACACCTGATTTTAAGTCACAGAGGAACTATCCGGTTTAATTAGCTAATTTATTCAACTATATTGTAAATAGACCCGTAATGCTGCGTCCGACCAATCCGTGCCTTATTCCCACATCCCTGAACACACTGACAAGGCGGCAGACGTGGCTGCACAGAAGGGACTTAGCCCATTTATTGTTTATGATACGTTTAACACTATCCCTCCCAGGATTCTGAAACTACTAGAATTCGCATAGCCGCCATTTTAACTGCTCCCGTTCAAGCCAATGGAATTCTGAGAAATTGCCACAAATTATGTTTAGATTTTCACCAAAATTATCAAAAGAAAGTAATTTATATGCATATTTTTTTTTTTACCTTTAATCACTTCTGATAAGTGCTAAAACCGGTGACTGTAAGTGAAATACAGCAACAACAAAAATGCTAATGCTAACAGCTCACAGTGTGTTGCTACGGTAACTAGCATTCTGGTGGAAAAGTAGTTAAAGGTAGAACCACTCACATTTCAAAATACTTTCCTAAAAAATAATGACAGATACAAAAAAGTCAAAGTTATGAAGACCAAGAATGTCCACAAGTAAATACACTTTAAAGAAAAAAACCAAGAGCCGGTTTATAACTAGCTTTATTATAAGAGATTCAGTGAGATGAGGTTAGGACTACATAGTCACTGAAGATTTGAGAATAAAAAGGAAACATATTCAAGCTACATTTGAGTCAAAAATCACGTACAGCATCTCAGTACCATTTCTGCATAGTTATCTGTGTGAGATGGAAATAACCCAGCACATAGTGAGCATACAGTACATGGCTCAGAAACACTTGCTTTATGGTCAATAATCATGTACACAGTGGTCCTCCACCCACACACCACCCACCCACCCACCCACCCCCACACCCACACCCACACCCACACACACACACACACACACACACACACACACACACACACACACACACACACACACACACACACACACACACACACACACACACACACACACACACACACACACACACACGTGAATAGTGTTAAAATAATGTCAACACAACTAACTTGCAACTAGAATTTAATTACTGTCTTGTTCTGCGTTAAAAAAACATCTGTTATGTGTATCTTTTCATATTTTACAACGAGGATATAGAACTTGTTAATATCCATTTATTATTGATATAGAAGACGACAATTTGTATAACAGTATAAATAATGACTAAAGAGTAGTTTAGAAAAGTTTCTCTGTAAGAAGCAGAGTTGGTTCTGTAATGACTAAGACATGAGTGTGATGTGTGCACCCTGTACGCGAACTGCAAATGGGATCGATGGAACTAAACTTTAGACTAGTGTTTGCTGTCACTTTTTTGTGGTGGAATAAGTTTTAGTTTGAGGTGACGTGCGTTTTCAGTGTGTGAACGCTCTTTGGTTGGTTAGACAGAAGGTCAGTCCAGTGTGCTTGTGGTCCAGGACTAAAAAGGATGACCTCATTGATGGAGGCGTCCCAAAATAAAGAAACAGCCTCAATATGTATCCTTGAAAGGTGACGCTGTGATGAAGAATTTAATAAAAGGACAATTCCATCACTTGAAGCCATATACCACCGCCACGGCTTTGAAATACAAGTATGAGTTGGAATCTAGAATGTTGAACAATTTCGATTGATGAAAAGGTTTTAAAACGTTACTACAAATACAATCCAAACCTTTGTTGCCAGTGTTAACCTTGCGCACACACACACACACACACACACACACACACACACACACACACACACACATATATAGTTACCTAGCCAGCTGGATTTCACCAAAGCAACAGGCAACCTAAATGAGTCACGTGAAGCTAATTCTGCTTTCTGGTTGAATGCTTAACTTAAGAAACCAAAATAAAAATATGTTTACAAACATAATGTGGCTATAATTGTGTCTGATGTTTTTGTAATCAAGAACAAATTAGCATTAATGCTGATCAGAAAATGCCAGATATGAAATGTACAATATAAATCTTACAAAAGCTTCATATTCCATAATTGGGATGCTTGCAAATGACATTAACAATATTTGTTTTATGTTTTTTTTAAATGGAACAAACTTTTGCGACTGAATTGTGTGACAACATTTTTATAACATTCTCTACCGCACTCGCTTATGCAGCTAAATTGCATTGGTCCAGACCCTCCCCCGACTTTCATCTTTTAGCCAAAGTAACTTTCTGTCTCCATGTTTCCACAAAAATGAACATTGATGTTACGCAGTGGAATATTACGTAGAATGGAGAAAGCATCAGGAAATGAGGCGACGCATGGTTCTCTCTGCTCAGAGGGATATTCCAACACTGAACACTTGACCTTTTCTTCTCTCATTGTCGTCTGACACTCAGTTTATAGGTAGTCTTCAAGTATAATATATTAACTTTTTTTTTTACAAATCCAAGAGTTTTATAATTATAATAATTATGATAATAATAATAATACAAATAATGATAACAACAAATACCCAGTGGAGGATGATCTCAATTAAAGAGTCTATACTGCCACCAAAACAATCACAGGCATAACAGAAAAGTCCACTTTCTGTGACGTACGTTTTCAATATAGACAGACGAGTGAGGTTTGAAGGATTGTAGAAGACTTATGTGCACAAATAATGTTAAAAGTTAATGAAGAAAGAGTTCAGATCCCATCACTGAAACTAATACAGCTCTGAAAAAGTCTGACTTTTAGTCCAGCTCACTGCAGGATCACTCACCCACAAAGACAGACACCAGGGGGCGCAGTCGTGATAGAAGTGGCATATGAACTTGTGGTGGGGGAATTTGGATTCTACTTCAGATCTAAAAATGTCTCTGCCAGAGCGAGTCAAAGTTGCAGCTGGAGCACTGTGTGCAGCCACTTCCTGTAGGCCAGAGCAAGGCGCCTCTGGTCAGGGCAGGAGCAGCTGTCGAGGAGCACACTCACAAAGCTCTGCTCAGAGAGCACAGAGGGCAGGCCCAGGACGGCCCTCTTCAGGCGCTTACGGTCTTGTGCTAGAGGCAGAGGCAGTCCCTCCTCCACAGCCTCCCCTGAAGCCCTGCGTCCAGGCACCAGCTCCTCACACTGTGCCCCGTTAGACTCTGAGGTTAGCTGCTGCCCTCTCCACCAGCTCTGCCATAGGTAGAAGATGTGACGCCTGAACAACACACACACAAAGGTTTAATATGCTATACAACAAATGTGTTTATAAAGACGAGGGTGTGCGAGTCACCTGTGACACCAGAGGGCTTCATGTCCAGGAAAAGTCTGGATAAGGTCAGTGCTCAGCTCCATCTCTTCCTGCAGAAGCTGTAGTAGAGTTGCAAGGTCTTCAGTCTCCACCCCATGCCCTGCGGGACTCCCACTGACCTTCATCAGAGCTAGAGGTGGAGCCAGCTCTGTGAGCAGTTGTTGAATCAGAAACTGGCGGTAGTGAAAGCCACTGTGGTCAGATACATGCATGGACACCCAGGGGCGCGTGGAGGCCAGCTCATCATGAAGAAACTATAAAGACATAAATGCAGATGCACATAAATGCATGCCTGCATACCATGCATTTGCCATAAAGAAGGCTGTTGTGCAAATAAAACAAATCAGACCTTGATGTTGCTTTTGGCCATGTTCTGCAGGACCCAGATCCGGTGCGACCAGGCGTTGTAGTTACTGGGATAACGGTTAGCTGCGTCTGTGCACACCCTCATCTCCTGCTGAACTGTGAGTGCTGCCTGCTCACTCAGCTGCTGGATTCTATCGGCATCAGCTTCTGTCGTCCCCTGCTGCTTCTGCCGACTCAGCATGAGCTGCTGAAGAACCCAGCGCCTGACGAAAAAGGTCATTATGTCATTATTCTTACATCAAAACCAAGCATCCTCTGCTCAACTAATGAATAAGTAACAATATCTTTAAAGTACCATACCCATTTCAGAAGGTAAAGTTAAATGCACATCTAATCCATCCCCCATTATCTAATATCTGGAGGCAGAATCTTCAGCATTCCTTCAGCTGAACTGGTTTTGCTAAGACAGCAATGAATAAACTCAAATAAGAGTCTGACCTGTGGATCCAGGTTTCTGGGCTCTTGGGGAATTTACTGAGAGCCAATTTTCCGAGGTAGAGGTCCTTCAGCGGACAGAGTGCTCCACACTGCAGAAGCTCTTTCCTGAAACACATTCACAACTTACAGAGTGTTCACAGAGAAAACTGGGAAAGACGGGGGCAGTAATGTTTTTGAGGGATAAAGAGAGTCTACTTTGACTCATGTTTCTCATGAGTTGTTTTGTGCTTGATTCATCAGGGATTGTTTAGAAACATTCTGTACATCATTTTCATTGATTTGTTTGACAAGTATATTTTCAAGCCGCAAGGCCGAGCCACTTCTGTGACTGACGCATCAAGCGCTCTATGAGTCTTTTGTTTTGCTCTTCCTGAATTGCGAGGCAGTGGCATAGCAGTCAAATATTCATTACACAATCTCTGCCAACTCCCTGTCCAATTTTCAATCTGTACTAAAAACTAACGAACAATAACATCTTCAAACTAACTGAAGACAAACTCTAAAGCTCACATAACTTCTCCCCTTTGCTGGGGGTGGAGGTAAGTTAACAATAAGCAGTTTTACCTCACATTCCAAGCAGTGGTGAAATCTGGGTTGAGCAGCAGCAGAGTGGATGTGATGTTGACTAAAGCTGAACAGACAAAAAAGGTCATAGTTTTTAGTTTGATCATTTGGAGAACAATCAAAGGTCCCATATTTCACTCCTATTCATTTTTCATTCCATCCAAAGCAAATGTGTGAAAATAATCAACACGGTGGCTGAGTGGATAGCACTCTCGCCTCTCAGCAAGAAGATCCTGGGTTTGAATCCCGGTCGGAACTAGGGATGTAAATCGGCGACCGTTTAACCGGTGGTTGACCGTCACAGCGTTAACCGGTCAAAGCTGTCGGTTAAAAAAAGAGAAAAAGGGGAGAGGGGAGGTCTCTTAATAACGCTATTTTAAGCCCTATTTGCACGATGTGACGAGCGGGTCTGTATCTAGCTGTGTGCGCCCATGTATTATAAACTCCGGGACGACTCTCACGCCGTACGAGCCACATATGCACACACGCGCACGCGCGCATACAAGCGCGCGCACACACACACACACACACACACTTTCCCCCTCTCCATACGTAACATCCACACGCATCATCTCTCCCCTCTGTTACCGTCAAAGTTGCACACTGGCGCGGGTCAGAACTACATTGGAGCTTACATTTACACACACACACATATACATACACACACATATACACACACACACACACATACACACACACAAACCGGTCTGTCGCGCTCCTCTGTGTCACGGAGCCCAAAGGATTCGCGCAAACACACGGCTTCAGTCAAACCACATGGAACGTGTTTGTGTTTATGGTCCTCGGGATCAGCTCCACACACATCACTTGTATTTAAACTTTTGTGAAGACCTGTGAGACGCGTCACTCGCTGCTCTGACCATGTGAACGAGCCGTCGTTTGCTGCTAGAAAGTTTTGGTATTAACCCGCAGCACAGCAGAATGGGAAGATTAAAAAAGCAGTTCTCTGTGCGCAAAGGTGCCGGAGCTGTTGTGGGTTTTGGCGCCGCTGTCTCAACTCTGATCCAGTAGAACGCAGAGCTGCACTTATGAAAAGTACGCGGCTCGAAATGGCTGTTATTTCAAAGAACGTGGACTATTTTAAACTACGCGGTTAACCGGTTTCAACCGGTTAATGAGGCTCGGTGGTCGGTCATGAAAATTCATAGTTTTTTACATCCCTAGTCGGAACAGGGTCTTTCTGAGTGGATTTTGCATGTTCTCCTCGTGCTTGCGTAGGTTTCCTCCGGGTACTCCGGTTTCCCCTACGACTAAAAACATGCTCACTAGGTAAAAAATCCGCCAGCTCCGGTAGTCCTGACCAAGCCGAGCATCAACATCTGGAGATGGGTTCCCGCTGCTACTACGGCGACCACTGCTCCTGACGTAAGCCTACACGGCATCAGGATGGGTCAAATGCAGAGGATTGAATTGCCCTACGGGGATAAATAAAGTGCACCTTTACCTTTACCTTTAATGTGGATAATACACCATACAACACTAAAAATGTCTGAAATCATAGCCATTTCTTGCAAAGTGAGGCTGCATCCGCTGATACAATTTCTCCCCCTGTCAATCTCCTCCTGAGGCTTCTGACATCACGATTATGTGCCACGTTAAAAATCAAATAGAGTCGCTTTGCTGCCTCTTGAGAATGAAAGAGAAAGAACGCTCTCTAACTAAATCTTGAGGGAATCCACATGTGTATAAAGTCAACAAGCAAAATATGGGACCTTTAAACAAGTGGTATCATGTTTGTATGGGGGTAGACAGGTAAACCAGCTTGCTGAAGTAGATAAAAAAGCGGATCTTACTTTCTCTGTCCAGCCATTGCTTGCGCTGACGATAGAGAAGCAGTTTATTGTGGACGTAGGGCAGCAGAAACTTGACACACCAGCTCTCAACACCAAGCTTATTTCCCACCAACACGATGGGACTGCGATTGTAGCGCGCTTCTGGACATGGAATTACTCCGATTTCATCACTAGGAGGAAGAGGAATGGTAGATTCAGCCTGTTTGGATAATTTACATCCTTTTTAAACCTTTCAGAGGTTTGTGGGTACAAACCTGAATCAGGTCTCATCACAAACAGTAGAATATTAATATTTAAGCATGAGGTACCTTTTTTGGTGATCATGTATGTATCACCATCACCACTAAAAGCGGTGCTGAGATTTTACCATTTACTCGTCTTCATTAAGTGATACTCAATAAATATCCATTTCAATATCACATAAAGTATTTATAAAAATCATATTGGACAGAAAAACTGCAATTTGGAACAATGAATATAGCACTATAGCAAAGAAAAGTCAAATGTCCAGAATACGACCAGAATAAACAATAGTAATAATAGCAGCAGGTAAAGTGACTAATGAATGACAGTATCTAGATTCAACACTAGTATCTGATTTCGATACTTTTGACAACCCCATGTCGTAGTGAATACGATCAAAACCAGGTGAGGCTTTAACCTCACGAGTGCTCTCCCAAACCCCTACATAAAAGCAGCTATCTTATGTTGTAGTTTATTTTATGGTCCGTTTAAGTTTGGACTACGACAGCATACAGAACCATATACATCAAACCCTTCCCGAGCGCAATGGAGATAAACGTGGCAAAAATATCGCTGATAAGATCTTATTAAAGACTTCAAGTTTGTCAATGTCGCCTCATATCATGTTAAAATGACAAATGCAGAGGTCCATCCATGGGTCCATCACACAGTAGTGACGGCGGCGGCTCTCGGTGACAGCTCCGATTTGGTCCAAGCGCAAAAAGAAAGGGACGCAAAGCTCACGTACGCGCAAAAACTCTCCACAAACTCTACTCACATGTTGGGGTTCTTCTGAAAAGCGTTCGTTATGTCTTTGACAACTCTCTGGACCAAAACGTCCAGCTCCCCCTCACAGTCCGCCATCTTTGATAACAAATACCGCGCTTCTTCTTCCGGGTCACACTACAGGACTACGGCAAGCCAGTACGGCCTCAATTAAACCAAGCAAAACAAACGCAAAATGTGCAAGAATACAGGTGAGACAGTCTGTGGGTGAGACAAGTGTTTTAATTTCTGTTTCAGGATCCAATGCACCGGCAATGAATAATTGTTTTTACGCTACATTTACACCACTATTGCTTATAATTATAATTGCATTATTATATATTATATATATTGCATATATATTGCATATTATTATTGCTTATTTAAATATATATATATATATAACAGTGATATAAATAATTACGGCTGATCTTTAATGTTAGAGGGTTGTTTTATTTCTTCTGTTTTTAATGTCTTCTGAACATTGACATTCCCCCACTATGAGAAAAGTAATGGTTTTTATTTATTTAAATATTACAAAATTGTATATTTCAAAACAAAATCTATTTCTATATATAGCTTAGTACAGAAACAAAGTATAACAAGTATATGCATATAAGGTTTAAACCTATATATTATATAGTCATGTTTACATAGATAAATCTGTAATACACTCTAGTGTAATATTACATGTCCATTAGGTGGTGCAAAGAGCCAAACTATCAGCATTCGTCCAAGGAGAAACATTTTCCACTGGCCTGCAACAAATCTGTCATTACAGTGGCTTGAGTGAGCTGGGCCTAGATCTCTTCTTTGTTCTAAAAAGACAACCTGTAAACCAAGAAGACAGATATTTGTTTTGAAGTCTGTTTTCTAGACTTGATTTAGATTTTTTTGCTTCTGTTTATAGTTGAATATTGGATGATTGAAAGAAGGGATGTCCAGCATGTAATCCCTGTGACAGAACTATTACATTTTGTTCTACTCTTTGAAAAATGTATATACAACCTTCTTCCACCTTTTGATCTGATTTCACCAAGTGATGAAGTGTCCAGGGTCAATATCAAAGTTGACCCTTGATTGGTCATTGGGCGTGTTTACTGTTGTTAGTGTGGTTCACTTTAACGGGACAAATTCTAGTTCAGCAAAGAAGTCTATAATTGTGGATGTAAAACCACCAGCTTTAAGTCACAAAAAGTACCTAACTCACAGTAAAATCTATCTAAATATTTCCAACAGTTTGGTTTTATCACTAGTTTCTACTTGCATGTTTTGTTTTGCTACTTTCATGTCTTTAGATTAGCTTTTTCAGACACTGGGAAAAATGTGTATGTGAACCAGACCAGATCGTGCATCATCTCAATCCAAATCCCAACCCCATCTGAGCTAGCCATTGTTTGTGTCATTGTTATAAACCATTGTTGATTTTTGCATGTTCTGCAGGTCCAGCAGGCTCCTCCTCTCACTCAGCAGAGAGCATCCACAGCCAGAGCAGAGGGAGAGTTTCAGACAGTAGAAACAGTAGGCAGTATGCTGAACTGTATGTGTTCTGCCTGGAGTGCCTCTACACTACTGCTGCTGCTGCTGCTGCTGCTGCTGGAGGAACCACTGCTGGCACAACTGCTTCCCGGCTCCTGTAACTTTGAACTGGGCACATGTGGCTACACGTCAGACCCTCACTATGGCTCCTGGGCTGTCAATGAGGAAGGTACTGTCTCAGCTTTTGTTTATAGATGCAATTGTGGCTTCAGGCTGCAAAAGGCAATGTACCTGCAGTGTAATAAATAGACTATGTAACATGTTAGCGCCATTTGAACCAACTCAGGAACTGGCCTCCTGCTGGTGCCCAGAGTCAGGACTAAACATTGGGGAGGCTTTTCAGATTTGTGCAGCTAAAATCTGGAATAGTCTTCCTAAAAATGTGCGACAGATTCTGTTCGACAAAATTCTGTTCGACAAAATTCTGTTCAGCTGTGCATACAACTGAAGGATATTCTCTTTTTAAAGTACTGTGATTATTTATAATTTGAATGCCTTGTGTGACTGTTTCTATCTTTTTTTGTTTTGCACTGTATGAACTCTGCTATACAAATATGCCATGCCATGCAATGCCATGTCATGCCTTGCCTTGCTACAATAGGTTTGCATGCACAGAGCAGCTTCATATACTAACAAATCTTGCATGATATGAATGTGCAGTTGAGGTTGTAACACAAAACATCACATTAACCACACTATGGCATTAAACATACTGACCTCGTGCATGTGACGTCCAGGCCACGCCCACTCGCCATGACAGACGGCGGAACATGAAAGCCTTTGGAAACTTGACCAAAACAACCTGTTTCACCGAATAACAGAAAAACTGTGATATTTTGCAGTGCGGTTGGTTGTACTAACAGGACATAAGCCAAATGTGTCTTTTTTTTTTTTTATACCTGCTCGTGATGAAGACAGAAGACGACGATAGCAATCAACCAAAAGGACTGGGAGCCATCCAAGTACTCCCAAATTTGCAGTGAACACTTTTTATAAGATAAATCAATTACAATTTTGTATTTATTTTCTTTCCATAAATATATTTGGAGGACAATGACACGAGGAACTCTTAAAGTCAAACGTGTGCTCTTATGCCGCGTTCAGACCGGATCATGCATTGCGTCGGCTTTCAATGCAAAGTCAACGGTGACGCGCGTTCGAGCGTCAAAACGCATGGACTTCTCAGTGGAGACACACGGACTGCTCGGGAAAGTCGAAGGGGAGGAGCAGGAGCGGAAAATTGATGCGCGCAGGAGATTAATTTTGCTGAACCTTTCCTCGGGACACTCGTGCAGCGACCAATCAGAGAGCCGCAAAGTGGTCACGGGGACATTGGAAAGTACTGTAAACAGCCAAAAAAGGAGTTGCATCAGGACTAAACCAGGGTTGACAATGGGGTGCATGGTGCTTGTGAACATATGCGTTTTCATGCTCCCGTGACTTTATGCAACTGCTTCGAGTGTGTTCGCCGATGCGGAAGTACCGTTTAATAATAAAATAAACTCATTGGACACCAACTACTGTTATATAAAGTCCGTGGAAGATCTCTGAACACAGACACGCTGCAAAGCTGCATTATTGGAGAAGAACTGTACACAAGAAGCCGCTAGCTAAACTCTGTTAGCATCAAAGCCCGCCGGCTACTTCCGCCACTTCCGGCGCGCCAGGACTTCTGGTCTGAAGACCCCTGCGTCTGAAAACTAGAGAATGTGCGTCTGGTGAGCGAGGCTTCAGGGTTCCAGCGTTGGCGGTCTGAACGCAGCATTACTACTGTCCTGTATGTGCGCTGCAAGATTGAAATTTCCTCACTGTGGCACAAATAAAAGATCTCTTATCTTATTTTAGACGTAAGTTGCGTTTTCACTATTTTCCTCCTCGTCAATATGTATCATGTTTGGCTGTAAACAGACAAGTGCATTGCTAATGTGCTAATGCTACCAGCAAAATGTACATTTACTGTAAATCTGTTCCAGTGTAAGGGATGCATCGTTAACAACATAATGATAAAGATCATGTGGGGTGAATTCGGGCAAAATTGTACATTTCATTTAATCGATAAAATTGACTGGGGGGAGAAGGTACGGGTCAACATCCAGTTCAGCGATCCTTAACTTCTCCAAATACCTACTTTCACCGATAACATAATCAAACATGTGCTTGAAGCAGCCACTTCTCGTTTAAGGAGAGCAGTCTCAGTTTTTAGGACTTGTAGTCCATTTTGCTCTCACCGCAATGCTACTTTCCAATACTTCCGCCGTAAGCGCATGCACAATCACGTGACTGGATGACATCGATGCATCTGGTCAACATCTGTATATATTTTGGCAGGGCACATAATAAATAGTGTCATTAGAAATCATAATATTACGAAAAACAACTATATGTGATTGTGAACTATATGTACTACTTTCCGCATGAGGACGAGCACCAGAATCCCACTTGGAGATGTCAAATACAAGTAAATACACTTAAAGTACTATGATGTATTATACAATGATAAGGGATGTTTGAACATGAGGCAAAATGTCCCTGCAATAAATGAAAACAATTTATACATACTGTACTTACCTAACTTTCAACCCAAACAAATCAGAACCAGAATTATTTGTATTGCCATTGTAAGTAACAGGAAGGCACAAACTAGTAATATCCTTTTGCATAGGGTGCAAACAAGTGATAAAAAGGAAAGAGTAGGTATAACATTTACATTCTATGGTATAAAGACATGCATTTAAAATATCTTTTATAAAATCGCATACACATTACAAAAAATGTAATCATGTAATAAAATCCATGTAACCATACAAAACAGTTTGGTCCTATCACCAGTTTTCACTGCATGTATTTTTGGCTTATTAAGATAGATAGATACTTTGTTGATCCCCCATAGGAGAGATTCAGGTGTCCATAATAGAAACACATCCATCCACACAAACAAAACAAATAAATAACTTTTGAATATTTAGAGGTTTTCTTTAAACTTCCAAGTTAGTCCTATCATATCAGCGCAGCAAAAAACCACTCTGTATATAATCATAGAAAATGTTATCTGTTTTATTTAACATTATAACTGACATTTATGGGGCAGGATTTTCATTGGAATCCCAATTCTTTTATGGGGATTTGGCAAATAACCAAGTTTGTTCAGTGCCTGTTACTGAGTTGAGCAACAGCTTAAGTCGTGCCCGTTTTGAGAAGCAGTCGGTGGAATGAAACAGGGAGCTGGAGACTCGTAACCAACTAGAATTGTGTCATTGGAGATTTTTCCGTCTGTGCCACACGCCGCAGGGCCTACTTTTAATAGATGAGTTACAAAAGTGAGGGGAAAGAGCTGCACACAGACTACACATGGCGGAAAAGTGCTGTTTGTGTTTGGTTTCCATGGCCACGTGTGGTTTCAGGACGAGGCTGATGCACCAAAAAAATAAGTTTGAAAAAGTGAGTTATCCGGAGAGCTGTGGTGGAGAAAGCACCGGGGTTTTCATGCAGCTGTTTGACTGTGTCTCGAAGTGCTGCTCCGTAAGCATTATTCATTCACTCCACACCTTGGGCTGTTTTTTTCTTGTTTTGTGTAATTGCTGACCTGTGACTAGACTAGTGGAAAACAAGGTGGCCTTATAACAACTCACCAACTCACTCACGCAACAATTCCAATGCCTCCACATCTTCAATTACAGATCATTACAGTTCAATCTGAAGAGACTCGAACAGACAAAACATGGGTATTATTAGAATTGTATATTCAAATTCAATGCAATTTCAATTACATTTTGGCAACACATTACTAACACATTGGTATTGGTCCATAAGGGGCAGAGGACCAATAAATGTTGAGAAATCATCACCACTGTCCTTTTATCTACTCACAAGGCTTTAATAGACCCTTCTGCATCTGCAAGAAGAAAACTCTAAACTCAATTGGAAAAGTGAGTAACCTTGGGGAGGCCGAGAAGGATCCACTCTCACAGACGGAAAGGCCATAAATCCAGGACCCAGGCCACACTACAGTACAAGGACAGACGTGGTGCAGCACTAAGGCAGTATATTGGTTAGCTTAATTTGTGCTCGAAAGTTTTTATTAAAATATAATCCAGAAATAAAATCTTTGGCCATATTTTGGAGATTACGTACATACATACATACATTTTTCCCACTCATTGTTAGCATTTGTGTGAAGCCATATAATGTGAAATGAATGTGGATTCTCTTTTCAAATTGCATCTCCTGCAAGGCAGTCCAGGAAATTGCAGGAACTGGAGGCTTTTTGCCAAGACGAATGAGAATCAGAAATGAAGAACCTCGTCCACAACTAACTACCACAAAAGATGTAATAGATATAATACAAGCTATTGAGAACTGGGGGATGGAGACTTCTAATCAAGGTCAGAAGAGATGTTTCTGTTTTTATAATCTCATGGTTTGAAATGAAAGAAGGATTCAAAACCTGCATGAATCTAAAAAATATGTAAGTTAATGAAATAAAATCTAATTCTGCGTAATAATCACAACTAAAAACAGGACGTTTGTTTGTGTGGTAGTACTGTTTGATTGATAGCTTAAATGTTCCCCTTGTGTGTCTTGTGTTAGGTCAGTTTTCTCATGTTCAGTTGTACATGTGATTTTGGTCTCATTTATTTGTGTTTCTGACACATTTTTGGCTAATCAAAAAACCTAAATATTCAAATTGTTTTGTGTGTTCCATCGGTCCCTTACACAGGCAAACAACAGGAATTAAACTCAAAAAGGCACAGGACAATCAATAACAGAAAAAAGAAAACTTGACTAAGTGGCTTCACACAACCCTCTAACAATGAATGAAACAATGAATTAAAGTTGAAAAATGACATCACATCAAAATATGACTCAATTCAATTCTATTCTATACAGCAATGCAATAGGACCTCCCTGGAGACAAGCAGGAGTTAAACCCTGCACAAGAATAGTTCCACGACGCACCTTTGATGGTCACACATGACTCGATGCTGTTGACTTGGTTGAAATGTTTGGTTGAAATGTGGTTCAACGCTGCGTGGTCAGTAGACTGCAATTACCCATCCCAAATGTTCATTTTGTTCTGCAGGCAGCCACAGACATGTGCACTCGGGCTTTTGTTTCACTGCAAAAGCAAACGCAATGTTGTATTTATCCGTCCGTCTGCTCTGATACGTTCCTTATGGGGTTGAAAACACACGGCCTCAGAATAACCAGTCCCCATTTGTAGAGATGGTTCACTTTTTATAGCCATCTGGACATCACTCTTAAGGAGATAGGCCCTCCTGTTCAGTCATGTTTGTGATTTCCTGTTACTGGCAATAAAAGAAATTTGGATTCTGATTCTGAATGCTTTGAATCATCTGGATCATGTTTGGTTGAATAAATGAAGAAATACTATGTCATAATACATAAGAGCATGTGCTTGGGGGTATTTATTCCTTTAGGGTCTTTACATTACATTATTAGATGCAGAAATCGCTTTATTGCCATTGTAAGTAACAGGAAGTCACAAACAAGTAATTACCTTCTGCATATGGTGCAAACATTATAGAAAAGTAAAAAAATAGATGTAAAGGCATGCATACAAAAGCTTGGTACAAATATCATATGGTACTTAAAGGCACGATAGCTGAGTGAATTTCACTTCGAATCCCGGTCGGAACAGGACCTTTCTGAGTGGAGTTTGCATGTTCTCCCCATGTCTGTGTTGGTTTCCGCCGGGTGCTTCGGTTTCCCCTACCTTTAGAAACATTTACAATAGGTCTGGCGTGCGCCTCCTGTACTGGCGATCCCGCTCCCATCTCTGTGTGGAGTGAGAGACAAATGCCCACAATTGTAAAGCGCTTTGTGACTCTGGTCTGTGAAAGGCGCTATATAAATAAAGATTACTTACTTACTTAGATTACTTGTATGGGAGGATTTTCTATCATCTTTCGATCATCTAAACCAGCCATTCCCAAACTCAGTAACACCGAGGCCCCCTTAAAAATCTGACGGGTCTGCGTGGCCCCCCAAAATAATAACCAAGAAGACAACATTAAGAATAGGCTCTTCTGGTTATTTTATTTTGGGGAAATAGCCTCTGCTACAAACACTATAATACAAAAATGATTACAGTGGATTATTCAAGTCAAATAATGAACACAAATATTTTAATATTACAAACAAAACATTATAAATTTAACATTAAATAATTCTATTATTTTTTTATTTTTCTTATGACCTCCCGCGGCCCCCCTGCAGTACCCTCGCGGCCCACCAGGGGGCCGCGGACCCCACTTTGGGAGACACTGATCTAAACTATTGGTCTTAACTGTCAATTAATCCGGTGATAGGCGAGGCACGTTTCTCTCCTAAAATTTGGGAAAATCCTCCTATATACCTTTAAAGTACAGCGAACGCCGAGAGACTGACGTAAGTCTAAGTTATTGGCCTCTCCTGCCACTGACATCATTCACTCAAATGCATCCAGGATACGAAGTGTCCAAGTGCGCAAGACATGTTTGCACTAGAACCATAGCATCCAACTGTGACATCTGCTGTTCCAACTGTCTCCCATCCAAGTATTAACCAGGCTTAGCTTCTGAGATCAGCCCAGTTCAAGCTTTGACAGCTTTCCTTTTACAAAGAAGGATTTTTTTAAGCCAGATCTGTATTAGTGGCAAACAAATAAAGTTTAACCCCTTCTAGATTCCAGAGGGTCTGAGATTTACAACAAGGTATTGCGTGACTGTATTGGTGGAGCTGAAGTTGGTTGGATGACACTGTCAAAGTTCCTCAATGGCAACTTTGTGTTAGCAGCAGAGGGGCTACATAAAATGACACAGAGGGCCGCAATTGGCCCGCGGGCCTGAGTTTAAACATGCCTTGTATGGAAGAACACAACTTTTTGACACATTTTCAAAACAGAGATATCTGTTTTTGCATATTTTTTTCATTTTTTTAATCATTATTTTGCAGTGTATTAACTCAAACTGCTCTATAGACATGCATCGGGTCCATAGACTGCTCCAAGCTGCAGACGCTGTGGGGCATATGTGGATGGAAACAGCTCATAAATCCACTGGAGAAAACGGCTTCAGCCATTTCTTGTATGTTTGTCATGATCTCATCTGTTGACACATGTTCCACTCTTCGCCGCTGCTCCGACCGCAGACGGGAAGAGCCACTGCCCAAATAAGGACTCGCTATAACAGTTGTAAATCCTGGCTCCCCTCCGCCCACACATTTAGAACTGTTTATAGTGGAGTGGCTTAAGTGCCCTGTTCTTATGTCAGTGCGGCCGCAGAGCTTTCTGAACAAAGACCTCAACATCACTCACGGGAGAATACACACGTGTAGCCCCAAAGTCAAACCTAATCACACTTCTTCAGTGGATATTTGTCTTTGTGAATTTATCAGCATTTTTCAGGGTGTGCTTTTGCTTCTGAGGGCTGTGCTTTTAGTGAGTTATTGCGGGTGAGAAGTTGAAAATGTGGATAAAGAGAATGAATCATCAATTGCTTTGAGTGCCTTCCAAAACGAATTGGCACCGAAATGTAGCACACAAAACATTAATAGTATCATTAGTCATTAACATTTACGTTAATTGAATTATATATATTTTTTGCTTTATTCTGTTAATGTCATCATGGTTTTTGCATAGCCCTAAATCACAACAACAGTCGTCTTGGAGGACTTTACAAAGTGGTCGATTCCTCAACAACAGAACAGAGAATCATACACAGGAAATGCAATAATAGCAAACACAGAGGAGCCATTGGTCCATAGGGAGCAGGATGAGAAATGTCCCACTCCCTATGGACCAATAGGGAAGGGGTGCAGGGTCGGAGAGTGTTTGGGCCTGTCTGTTGTCAGAGTGTGTGTGTGTGTTTTGTGTTGTCTGACTTATCCGTCATATTGTGTTAGGAATCGCCACCACTGCCTGTTGTTAGTGGGTATATTTTGACTGGGGTCCTGCTCAGTCCTGACAACTAAAATCCTCCTGTTCTGGTAGTCCTGACCAAGCCGAGCATCGACATTTGGAGATGGGTCCAAGGACGCTGTTACTACGGCGACCACTGCTCCTGATAGAGGCCCTAGTGGCACTTGTGAGACGGGTCAAATCCAGAGGTCAAACTTCCGTACGGGACAATGAAGTCTCCTCCAAGCCTCTCCCTCCTCGGGGATGTAGTAAAGAACCTCACGGACGGTTACATGGTCCATTTACAAGGTGCATTTTGTAAAATCCCAGTAGGGCAATTCAACCTCTGCATTTGACCCATCCCGATGCCACTAGTGGTAAGTATCCAGGGACCCATTTCCATATGTTTTTGCTCGGCTTGGTCAGGACTACTGAAGCTGTAGGATTTAACTATTGTACATGTTTTTAGTGGTAGGGGAAACCGGAGCTCCTGGAGGAAACCTACACAGGCACGTTTTGACCAGGATTTGAACCCAGGCCCTTTTTGCTGGAGAACGAGAGTGCTATTCACTCAGCCGTGCCTTTGCTCATGATGAAAGTGACAGATGGCAGGGGGTCATATACTGTGATATGAGAAAAGTTGAATGTGTTCTTTTGGAGGAAGGGGGTGGGGTCAGATACTGTATGAGTTTTGTATAGTTTTACCACAGTTTTTTTCTGCCGATACCTTCAATAATTTAAAAATCGTGAAACTTAGTTTTGCTGTGTTTGTATTTTTGTTGTGGAAGATATCATAAAGACTAATAAAATAAAGTAAAAGGCAGTTATTACATATTATAACCTTGAAACGGATCGCTGCAGCTAACACCACATAAGGGTGGTAGTTCTGTATTACTGTATACATTACAGCGCTTTGGGTGACCTTGATCTGTAAAAATGTGCTACAGTATATAAATAAAGATGACCTACTTACTGTATGTACTGTACAGTTGTAAGTTTGAGAACTCTGTAGTATTGACACATGTAAAAATATGTGTTGTGCCGGTTTGAAATAAAGAAAAAAACAAAATTATTAAATGTCCAAAAAGGATCTTACATTTCTCAGATCATCCTTGTTTTCAGACCTTTTTGCATCAATTAGGAACGACTCAAAAACCTAGTGGGAAAAGTGAGAAACCCAAATGAGGCCCATGGTGTGAAAGAGATCCGCTCCCACAGACACACAGGCTGATGATTCAGGACTCAGGCTGTAGGACGCTGACCTTTATCTTTCCCACACATCTATCTCATGAATCACTGTTGAAGAAATGCAAAAGTCATGTCTAACAATCTCAGACAACATCAGAAAGTTTAAATATATTTAAGGTCAAAGGATATGGAGGACAGACAGAAATTAGGAGTTTCATATAAATCAAATCCAAATGATCAAAAGCTACTGTAATCATTTTTCAGATTAAGGGTGTAATAGGACCGAAATGTTGACCTTTACAGACTCTGCAGATCCATTAACAATCACACGGACAAAACATCAAAACAAAACAGAAATAAATCTTTATGTGCAGCAACAACTCTCATTATCCAAGTAAGAATGCATGTCTTTAAAGCTGGGATATCTAACTTTCTGCCCCACAACTGATACATTATGTGTTTGCACCTTGAGCCAAAGCAAATTCCTAGTTTGGAACTTCCTGTAACTTACATGGCAACATAAAATAATTCTGATTCTTAGTTTGAAAGTAGAAACCCCAGCTTTACGTAAGATAAAGTATTTTGCTGGTCAAGAAATTCCACGCCGCCATAGTAAACATAACACTTCATAGTATCCTGTTCATAGTAAACAACTGTGACGGATGAGCGGTGTCCGTAATGTTGTTTTTTTTGTTTTCCAGGGCACATGATCAGCCTGGACTCAGACCTGCAGAACCCGGAGGAGCGCGCGGTTCTGATCAGCCCGGTCCTGGAGCAGCAGGAGTGGAGCTGTGTGCGTCTGGTCTATCAGCTCACAGGGAACAGCTCTCTCTTGTTGCACATGAGGTCAGCGCAACACAACTTTGACCGCACACTGTGGAAGGCGCACACAGCCTCCGACAGCTGGCTCATTGCGAGTGTGGATCTGCCCAACACCAGCAAACCCTACCAGGTGACCGCCTTCTCCACATAGTAATAATAATAATAATAATAATAAGCATAATAATAATAATAATAATAGGCAAAATAATAATAATAATAATAGGCAAAATAAGCCAGATTTAATGAATAAACTTCATTCAATCTCCAAATCAGGATGAGATGATGGAGGAGCATGTTGTGACACTTATGACAATCATAATAATATAAGATAAACCTTTATTTGTATACATTGGTTTTATATATAGCGCTTTTCTGAACACACAAAGACCACGCACATTACTGCATTATTCATCTGTCCTGGGGCAGACTGACAGAGGTGTGGCAACCAGTCTGTGCCATTGGCCCCTCTGACCACCTTCAATAATTCATGCACACACCAGACTCATATAGGCAGTCTGGGTGGGGAGTTATTAACCCCTTAAGTACAAACTAGTCTACATTCATATTTTTGACCTTTTTTGATCTGAAGTACCACTGCTGGACTTAGCTTAGCTTTAGCAACACACAGTTTTCCACCTGCTCACCTGGGGGCGGAGCTGTCTCACTTACAAAATGCCAGTTGCCTATAAAGATCTCTCCCAAAAAAAAACAAAAATCAGGATTGTATATTTTAAAGCAACTTAAGAAATCCTTTTGTGGAATATTGAAAATAGTATCTGAACGAGTGTGTCACGGGGTGAGCTGAGTAAGGACTCAAACGCAGGAGTGCCAAAATAATAAAGCTTTTAATAAAACAAAGTCCAAGGCAAAAAACAAACTCCAGAAATCCAAAGTAACCAGGACAGAACATGACAAAACAATGAAGCAGCAACAAGGGGAGAGAAGCAAAGGGTACATGTACATGTGGACAAAGACACAGGTGAAACACATCAGGGCGGGGCAGACAATCAAGACAGGGGAACACAGGACTGGAATCAAACTGTAACAAAACCACAGAACTTATATCAAAATAAAACCAAAATACAAAATCAAAATCCACACCATGACAGAGTGATAGTTCAGTTTATAATTTGTCATAATTGCTGTACTAGAAGAGCCAACTGGACACTCTAGGGTTGTCCATGGTGGGCTCTCGTGGGCTCTCCAACATCTCTCCAGGGGGTCAAAACAAATTCTGTTTTCCCCTGAGCTAACCCCATTTCTGACGGCTTTATTGTGCTTCTCAGATTCTGTTGGAGGGCAGACTTGAGAAGACGTTGCAAAGCAGTGTTGCCATTTTTGAAATCCACATCGTTCCTGGTTATTGCATTGGTCAGTGGCTCATTTTACAGAAGGCCAAACGCTTGCAGTTCTCTGTGCTGAGTGTGGGGTTTGTCCTACAGAGTGTAACTTCGAGGAGCATCACTTGTGCGGCTATAGTAACAGCTGGAATCCAAACGTAAACTGGTACGTGGGCGGCAGTCTGGCCAGCGAGTCCAACCTGCTGGAGGCACAGAGGCACTACCCACGCTCAGGTGAGACATAGACTCTGGACAAGGGACTGTTTAGTTATTCTTATATAGTCTGTGGATGAGATCTCACATTTACATTATAACCAGGCACGTGGCAAAGAAGAAGTTTCTAATTTTTTGATCTTGGTTTGTTTAATTGGTTGCGTTCATGTGACTAAAGTTTAAAATTGTGGTGGAGGACATTGGAAAAAAAAGGGTTTGGAACTGTCAAACCTTGTCTTAGTTTAGAGATGCATTTCTGCGCCAATCTCCATGAAACAAAAACTATCAAAAGTGCAATTACAGTATAGTGAACTTATTTTCTCACAAAGGTGCCTCAAAGTGGTGATAATGTTCAAAAATCAGACTTTCAGACAATATGAATATGATGGCATATTGATCTGGTGCATCGAATAATGATATGGGGAAACATTTCTTTACAAAAATCATCTTTCCCACAGAGTTGTATAGGGCCTTGCCCTGCAACTTCAATTCAATTCAATCAACCAGGGCTGAGGCTCTAGAACTAGGACTGAGGCTGTAGATCCTGGACTGAGGGTGCAGATCCAGGACTGAGGCTGTAGATCCTTGACTGAGGGTGTAGATCCTGGACTGAGGCTGTAGATCCTGGACTGAGGGTGTAGATCCTGGACTGAGGGTGTAGATCCTGGACTGAGGGTGTAGATCCTGGACTGAGGGTGTAGATCCTGGACTGAGGGTGTAGATCCAGGACTGAAGGTGCAGATCCAGGACTGAGGCTGTAGATCCTGGTCTGAGGCTGTAGATCCTGGTCTGAGGCTGTAGATCCTGGACTGAGGCTGTAGATCCTGGACTGAGGGTGTAGATCCAGGACTGAGGGTGTAGATCCTGGACTGAGGGTGTAGATCCAGGACTGAGGGTGTAGATCCTGGACTGAGGCTGTAGATCCTGGACTGAGGCTGTAGATCCTGGACTGAGGCTGTAGATCCAGGTCTGAGGCTGTAGATCCTGGACTGAGGCTGTAGATCCTGGACTGAGGCTGTAGATCCTGGACTGAGGCTGTAGATCCAGGTCTGAGGCTGTAGATCCTGGACTGAGGCTGTAGATCCAGGACTGAGGCTGTAGATCCTGGACTGAGGCTGTAGATCCAGGACTGAGGCTGTAGATCCTGGACCGAGGCTGTAGATCCAGGACTGAGGCTGTAGATCCTGGACTGAGGCTGTAGATCCTGGACTGAGGCTGTAGATCCTGGACTGAGGCTGTAGATCCAGGACTGAGGCTGTAGATCCAGCTCTGAGGCTGTAGATCCTGGACTGAGGCTGTAGATCCAGGTCTGAGGCTGTAGATCCTGGACTGAGGCTGTAGATCCAGGACTGAGGCTGTAGATCCTGGACTGAGGCTGTAGATCCAGGACTGAGGCTGTAGATCCTGGACTGAGGCTGTAGATCCAGGACTGAGGCTGTAGATCCAGGTCTGAGGCTGTAGATCCTGGACTGAGGCTGTAAATCCAGGACTGAGGCTGTAGACCTAGGACTGAGGCTGTAGACCCAGGACTGAGGCTGTAGACCCAGGACTGAGGCTGTAGACCCAGGACTGAGGCTGTAGATCCTGGACTGAGGCTGTAGATCCTGGACTGAAGAGGCTGCCTGAAGAGAGTCTCATCCTCACCATAAAGCAGAACATGAACGCGACCTATTACTTCTGACATGGGGTCATGTAATTACTAGGGTTTGTCTGTCAGTCTATCTGTATATTTTTGTTTGTTTGAACTGAGACTGTACATAGAAATTGCAAGACAATGCTGCTAACCCCCTAGCTTAATGAAGCCCAATAGGAAAAGTACTCATGGACAAAGTTTTGCTCCAATTCTCTGGCCCCTATTGACAGTTTGAGACACGATGTTGGGCTTGAAATATGTGGTTTAGCACTCTCTGTGATCCTGGTTTTTATATTTCAAAATTATCTTTATAAATCTAGATATATGAACCATAAGGATTGACAAATCAGATGCCTTCATTCGCTGGGGAAAGCTCCAACTTGCCTTAGCAACTGTCTTAGCAACACTTCTGCCTTTGTTACGACACAAAGCTAACCCTGTCGGAAAAATGCCCATATTAGGAAATTGGCTCCAGCTATCTCACGTTCACATCGGCTTCTTCCACATTCAGATAACTTCTAATATACTGTCCATGGATTCACCCCTAAACTTGACTTGTCATCTGTCGCCCCAGGACACTACATGTATGTGGACTCAGTGTACGCCAAGCAGTTCCAGGAAGTGGCCTACCTCACGTCCCCCATGACCACGGCTCCCATGAGCGGCTGTCTGTCCTTCTTCTACCTCCGCAACCAGGACAGAGACAACCTGTTCTCCGTCTTCACCAGGGACCTGCTGGGACACCACGAGGAGCTGTGGAGACCTGAGGCGTTCGTGTCTATGGGCTGGACCTACGTCAGCGTGGACATCAAGGCCCCACACCCTCTGGAGGTGGGTGTTATACTACTACACTATATAGCAGGAAGTCAAGTTTATTCATAAGCATTGTACACTCCACAAGGAATAAAAAAGCAAATATCAAAACAAAATATCACAAAAACTGTATAGTGAAAAAAACATGATAATTATAAAGGATAATTCTGATGCTAAATACTAAAATCAGGAGTCAGCTCAGTTTGTGTGAAGAGGGAAACAGAAATTGGGCATTTTTAATTACTGTGTTCCAATGACTCGATCTAATTCAATTTAATTTATGTTTGTCCATCCATCCATTTTCAACCTCTTAAAGGCACACCGCGGACTTTGTGACCTAAAGAGTTGACACATATGAGTTATTTTATATGAATACTTGGGCCAATATACAGCGCTTGACACTTGCAATGCTCCGAGCGGGGCTGCCCTCTTGAAATACCGCCCATGTAACTTTCGAGCAGACGGACCGTCTGCCACCAGGTCACGTGACTTGGAAGAAACACTTGCTTTACGGCTACAGGCGCTGATATACTCATGGAGCTAAGGCTTTTGCTACTCATTTTTCACCTGCTCGACTCCTGGTCATGGCTGAGGCAAGGAAAAATTTTAAACCTTCGGAGGAGGCTAAAAAGAGGAAACGCGAAAGGGATCGTGCTGTAAGCTGCATGTCTGTATGAGCGCTGCTGTTCACCTGGTTCCTGGATGTCATCGACTGCAAAGATGTCATTCCACGCAGCACGAGCTAGACGCAGAACTCCCTCATCCAGGATATAGAAGTCCATGTGTGGTAGATTACTAATGCAGCGGTCTGGAGGCTGACCACAGCAGAGTCTCTCAATATCTGTAGGCATGTCTCTACAGTTTGAACACACACACCAGTGCATGCTGTCTGAATACACACTCAAAAGACACCGGCTGACTGTTTGTTGACTTTTGCGACAGTGCTGAGTTGCTTGTGGCCACTAGGGGCGCTAAACGTGAAAGTTGCAGGTCTAGCGCCCCTAGTGGCCAAGAGTTACACGGTGTGCCTTTAATACCATTTCTGGGTGATTTTTGTATTGCCCTAAATCACAATAGTAGTTGTCGATTCACCAACACAGATCAGCAAATCAAACAATCTACATAAATAAATAAACACTAATAACAAACACAAAGGAGCCCTTGGTCCATAAGGGGCGGATTACCAATGTTCATGAATGTTAATAAATGTCCATAATTATCCTGGATCATCACCACTGTCCTTATACCAGGGGTGTCATAACGGTCCTCAAAGGGCAGGTGTGGCTGAAGGTTTTAGTTCCAACATGAGCTGGAGCACACCAGACTCCACCCATTTCCTCAGGTGAGTCCAGTTTTAACCTGACGATTTGAGGAAATAGATGAAGTCTGGTGTGCTCCTGCTCAGGTTGGACCCAAAACCTGCAGCCACACCTGCCCTTTCTGGAACCGGTTTGACACCCCTGCCTTAGATCCTCCTGAATCAGTCAGGAACAACTTGAAAACCCAGAGGGAAAAAGTGGAGGCTCACAATGAGAGAGCGATCCAATCCCACAGACAAACAAGTTATAAATCCAGGATCTGGCCGTAGAACTCAACACCTGTTTATAAACCGCAATAAAAAGTATATTTTGTTCACATATAGGCCGCACTTGAATATCTGCTGCAATGTAACACCTAACCTACAGCTGATGATGAGCAAAATGATTAGACAGAAGACCACAGTATCACAACATTATTTGATTATTGAATTAGATGTTTTGATTCTAAAAATAGAGGGTTTGTTATACATTTGACCTAAACAAATGTCAAGCGCTGCCAGTGGAGAACATCTGTATAGAGTGGGTTGTTTGAAACACTTTATAAACACGTTTTCATTTCATTCTGCAGTCGTTCTATAATTATCTAAACATGGGGAGGCTGCATTTCAGATTCATGCTGCTAACAATCTGGAACAATCTTCCTGAAAATGTGAGACAGGCCTCCTCTCTGACAATGTTTAAATCCAGGTTGAAAACAGTTCTGTTTAGCTGTGCATACAACTGATTTTATATTTTTTCATCTTTCTTTTGAATGTACTGTGATTATTTATGATTTTAATCTATCTTGTTCAGCACTTTGAGTTGCCTTGTGTATGAAATGTGCTATACAAATAAACTTGCCTTGCCTTGCCTTGTCTTATCAAAGCCATAAAACATTTTCTCAACATAGTTATGATCAACTATACAACAATAATCAATGAGTTGTGATTCATCGATTAACCTGGTCCAGCTCTACACCTGGACAAAGATAGGAGCCATGATAGTTACTGAGGTTGACATAAGACTTTGAACACGGTATAAACACATTCTCTGGCTGCGGTAAGTGTTGTGATGAGAACACGAGGACGATGGAGTCATCTGTGAAGAGAAGCGTATGTTCAGAGAGTGGTTTCTGCCTGGACAGCTGAGACGTGTCTGTGACTGTCATGATGTCAGGTCCTGGCATCAGCAGCTCCGATAAACAGCTTTTCTTCAGGTTTGAGGTAGTTCACATACAACTTGCAGAAACACAAGTCCCGAGTCCCCAATAATATGCCAAAATATTCCACTGTCCCATCAGTAAGTAAGTAATCTTTATTTACTTACAGTATATACCGCGTTTCACAGACCAGAGTCTCAAAGCGGTTTACAATAGTTTTTTTGGGCATTTGTCCTCTCACTCCACACAGAGATGGGAGCGGGGTCGCCGAACAGGAGGCGCATGCCAGAACTATTATACATTATTTTTAGTGGTAGGGGAAACAGGAGTACCCGGAGGAAACCTACGCAGACACAGGGAGAACATGCAAACTCCAATATGAAAGGCCCTGGTCCGACCGGGATTCGAACCCAGAACCTTCTTGCTGAGAGGCAAGAGTGCTATCCACTCAGTCACCGTGCAGATTCTGGTTCAGACTCAGCACATTTACAACAACACCAGCTGCCTAAAGTGCTAAACAGGCACAAAAGATAAAACATAAAAGAAAACAGCCTAAAATACATACGCATACATGTCAAAGAAAATGGTAAAACTTGGTAATGGTAAAAATAAAAAATAAAAAAGCCAAGACGTTAAATTTGTCCTTAGACTAGATTCCACTTCCAAACTTCCAAAGAAGAAGCTGCTCTAATGAACCGAGATAGACTATTCCACAGTTTGGGTCTCCTCGAGATTTGAGACGAGACCACTACTTCACACTTTATTTATCCCACCAGGGGGAATTCGTTTGAGCAGCATAGGGCATAAAAAAAATTAAAAACAAATAAAAACAAGGGAAATGTCAGAGAGTTATGGATATGATATGATATGAAGTGGATCCCCGCACAAACTCAAGCTCAAACACCTAAGTCCATATCACCAACTACTACAGAGGTTCAGCAGTTTAATAGCGGTTGGGACAAAAGATTTAAAGTGACGATTTTTATGATCACACTGTTTTAATCACGTAAGTAATCTTTATCTATATGGCGCATTTTGAAGACCAAAGTCACCCAAAGCGCTTTACAATTGTTGAGAGTTCAGATATTCGTCCATTCTCTACACGTTGATGACGGAAGCAAGACGCCGAACATACTAGCACCAAACAACGCTAATCTGTTAACTGGAGCACCCGGAGGAAACCTACACAGACACAGGGAGAACATGCAAACTCCACACAGAAAGGGCTGGAAGTGGAGTCTGATCAAGGACCCTCTTGCTGTGAATCATGAACTCTAACCGCTGCGTCACCGTGCCGTCCTTTGTGTACAGGTGGTGTATGAGGTGGCCTTCAACAGCCCCAGAGGAGGTTACGTGGCCATCGACGATATCTCCTTTTCTCCGGATTTCTGCCACAATGACACCGGTGAGTAGGCCTGCGGTTATCCATTGTTTTGATAATAGTCATAATAATACATCAAAGTTATATAGTGCCTGTCTTGGACACTCAAAGACGCTTTATAAAACATACAAACATTGAAGAACAAAATTAAGGAAAGGCAAAGTGAAACAGATGGGTTTAGAGAAGAGATGTAAAGTTCTTCTTGGGCGGCACGGTGGCTGAGTGGATAGCAGTCTCGCCTCTCAGCAAGAAGGTCCTGGATTCGAATCCCGGTCGGACCAGGGCCTTTCTGAGTGGAGTTTGCATGTTCTCCCTGTGTCTGCGTAGGTTTCCTCTGGGTACTCCGGTTTCCCCTACCACTAAAAATATGTACAATAGGTCTGGCATGCGCCTCCTGTTCGGCGACCCCACTCCCATCTCTGTCTGGAGTGAGAGACAAGTGCCCAAAAAAAAAAAAACAATTGTAAACCGCTTTGTGACCCTTGTCTGTGAAAGGCGGTATATAAATAAACATTACTTACTTACTTACTTCTGTTTTTAATTATTATATTTTTGTATTTTTTTTATGTGTATATATATTTCTGTATTTTATGTGTTTTTATTTTTTATACTTTTTATTTCTTTTTCACGCTGTCTGTTCAGCACTTTGGTAAGCCTAGGCTGTTTTAAATGTGCTCTACAAACAAAGATTTGATTGATTGATTGATTCTGTAGTGAGTCGGAGTTTAAGTATTGAGTAGTTATTTTCATCACTCAAGTAATCTGACATAACTTAACACAGAATTTATATTTTAACTACAGGGGAAATTTGAAATATTAGAATATTGTCAAAAATGTATTTTTGTATTTCAGCTTAAAATGTGTTTGTGGTTGTGCTTCACATTAAGAAGGTCTGTAAAGGTTTCCTCTGGGTGCTCCGGTTTCCCCCTCCACTAAAAAGATGTGCAGTAGTCTCCCGTAACATCCTCCCTTATCCCACCCTGTAAAAGAAACTCTGAAACCCCAGTGGGACTTTCCTTCAATACATAAATAAATGATTTATTTTAGACAAAGTGACATGTGCCAAGTCTTTGTCTGTTATGATTTTGATGATCATGGCTCACAGTCCATACTCAAGACATCCATCTTGAATTATTATTGTATTTGGTGCAAAGAGTCTGTCACATACTGTTTCAGTTTCACATTGAAACTTGACTTACAGATGTAAATAGACTTGAGTCAGAAGTAAACAATATATTTTAGGAGTTTTACTTGAATGTTAAAAAATAAGATTCATAACAAATGGTGAGTTTGGGTGTGTAATAACCTCTGAATCACTAAACCAGTGCATTATTATTCTTATCGGTAATTTCTTGGTGCTTCTCAGAGCCAGACTTTGATCCTTCTGTGGCCAACTGTGACTTTGAGGATGGATTGTGTTTGTACTCTCTGGAGTTCAGAGCGTGGAGCAGGACATCGGTCAGAGCCAATATGTACAGGACCGGAGACCACACCACAGGAACGGGTAATTCTATACTATTATATATAACATGCTCAGTAATTCAGACTTTGAAGGTTTTTTTTAATCCATATGTTTCACTTTATGTGTAGAAAATTGACCTATAATTGTAGTCCTGTCTGAAATAACAGTATGACACAACTCTACACAAATTCTCAATAATGATTACATTTTTTTTTAGAAAAGGTAAATGTATCATAATTGAACACACACATATCACAAGCTGTATGCTACTTTTGGAGACCTGATAGTGTCAGATTCTACAAAGAACACTGTTTATGGAGGGGGTTTACGCCTGGGCTATGTTTTAGATTAGATTTGACTTTTTATGATTTTATGTGCCAGTCTATTGCCTGTGTTGTCTGTCTTGACTACTTGGGATGTTGGATAGCTAAAGTTTCCATCTATTTTTCTATCTATCTATCTATATATCTATCCATATCTATCTATCTATCAATCTACTATCTATCTATATCTATCTGTCTATCTATATACATAAATCTATCTATATCTAAATCTATCTATCTATATCTATTTCTATCTATCTATCTACATATCTATCAATATACATCTATCTATCTATCTATATACATCTATCTATCTATATCTGTCTGTCTGTCTATCTACATAAGTTTTCCATCAGGGCCAATGATCCCAATAAATGGAAAAAGTGAATATTGGATCCTCTCGAACATGTATGTATAAGTATTAAAGTAGTAGTAGTTTCTTGATATGATGTAGACTCTAATATACTCAAAATATTCTTATTTTAAAAAACGTTTTATTTGTTGTTGTTTTTTTAAGTTTTAGCCAATCATCAACATTATAATGAATAAAGGCTTGATATATCCCATGTTGCATGTAATATTCTAGTTTCACATTATGAGCAGAATTACAGAAGTAAATGGACTTTTGAACGACATTCTCATTTTCTGACTTTCACTGATTCATTTTCCACTTTTCACACACTTTGTCCACTTTGACCGCAGTCCAAAAAAACAACAATGTGTGCATGTGTGATTTCCAGGGTACTTCTTGCAGACCAACACCCCGTTCTCGTCGCGGGGCGCTCACATTGACCGCCTTCACGGGCCGCTGTTGCCTGGAAACACAAAGTACTGCCTGAGTTTCTTCTACCTGCTGCACGGCTTCAGGAAGTCGGACCACGCTCTGTCCGTCTACATCTACGACGAGAACAACGTGGCTCTGGAGAAACTGTGGACCCTGACAGGGACTGACGCGTCCAGATCTGTGTGGCACAAAGTGGACCTCACCTACATGAAACCCATGAGATCAAAGGTACAAGTCACTCCTACAATAAGAATGCATCAGTTTTATATAGTCAATCAATCAACTTGTATCTACTGTATATTGCACAGTTCATACAGAATGCAACCGAAAGTGCTTCATATTGACAAAATCACACTGTAAAAACACAAACAAAAGACAAAAGGTTTTTCATCAGGGCCAATGTGAGTAATTATTCAATCGTTCTTTTCTTATGTGGACTCATTACATGTAAATAATTTGATGATCAGAGCTTACTTTCCCAAATACTCTCTTTTTTTTTTTAAGTTGTGAGCCAAACATCAACATTATAATGATTAAAGGATTGATATATCCCATCTTACATGTAATATATTAGCTTTCTCATTGTGAGCAGAATTACAGAAGTATAAATATCACTAAATATATTGATATTTTGGAAACTCAAAGACGCCTCACATTTTTCATTCACTGCAAACTGTATACGGTGATGATAAACGCTGGTGACAGAGGCGAGGCAACCAGTCCGTGTCAGTCCCTTCAACCATTATTATTATTCTACCAACACAATCTTTCAAATATCTAATTGTATTTATAGATAAATTAAACAAAAATAGAGTGCTTCTTATGTATAGCTTAGAAAATGGTGACTCTCTTATAAATTAGCCCTCTTTAGGGTTAAAATATAAGGGATTCTAACTATACTAGTTTGAGACAATTTCTTATTGAACCAGTACAGTCTCCTTGAAAAAAATGTATGGATAGTTCAACCTGAAACTGAATGTTAATCTATCAATCAATCATTCAAGTTTATTCATAAAGCACAATTCATGCAGTGTAACCGAAAGTGCTTTACACAGACATAGAATCATACACCCTTATAAACGTTTTAAAACATAAGTAAAAATAATATATATATAAAGAAAGAAAAGGACTATTTCAGACTGAATGTCAGATTTAAAACTGTATAAAAACTCAATATATGAAACTCAGTCATATGCACAGCTAAAAAGACAGTTTTCAGCTTTATCTAAAACATAAATGCCAAGCTCCTACTGAAGCTTCCACTAAATCATTAGTTCTAGACAATGAGTCTTTTGGTAGTTTTAATAAAAGATTATACAATTACAGAAGTGCAAACAATATCAGGAATACAAAGAAACGCAAACTCGTGTCCATTCATGCACACATCAGACTCATTATAAGCAACTTGGGTAAAGTGTCTTGCTAAGGGACACACTCTGGCACCTGCAAAATATGACCTGCAAACTAAACTTATGAAGAAAATAATGAGGCCTTGGTAGAAAAGCCAAAAAGTTTTACTCTCTAATCAATGATTTTAAGTGGCCTTGGACAAAATGACACGCCTGAAGTACATGATTGTTAATGGAGGGTACTCGTGCCTGGTGTAAGTGTAGTAATGTGTGTGTGTGTGTGTGTTTGTGTGTGTTTAGGTGGTGTTTGTGAGCCTCTGTAAGACCTTCTGGGAGTGTGGTTCTGTGGGCCTGGACGACATCAGCGTGAGAGTGGGAGATTGCCAGGTCACTACAGGTAATCAATTATTTTTAGCTTTTATCCATAAGTCAAAAGATTGGACAGCAATGTTTTGATACAAGTTTATTCCACATCCCATCCATTTTTTTTACGAGAGACTGCTGCTGACTCACACAAGGAATAACATTTATATCAGCAGAGATAAGTCTTGCAGCTAAGAAATCACATTAAGTGGGTTGTATTTTTTCTGTCACAGTAAATTATACAATGTTGAAATCTGCAGAGCCCAATCCCACAGACTGGAGCTATGAATGTATCTTAGCTCTTTCTTGGATAAAAGTGAATAATTATTGAACTGAGGTTACTACGGTTCCTCACGTGTTCAATTTACTCATTCATTTTATCTATAGTCGTGGGACTCGACTGGAACGGTGCCGTGAGTGACCCCACCATTACCATATAATACCAAGCTGCGGGTTTAGAGTTTTGTATATGCTGTAAAAAAAATATAAAATACTGTATGTTTTCACAAATTGTTGTTGTATGAGATTGGAATTTACTATAACACAGAAATGATCTAAACAGAATCTGGAATGAAGGAAATACAAACAGAAAAAAAAATTGTTAGTAGTAGAAAGTACAGTTGTCTTTCCAAGAAAATTTTTATTGGAGCATATTCGTTTTACTCTGATTTTCAATGGATATAGATTGTTATTTTTTCATGTATTAATTTAATTGTATATACACTTGAGTAGTGGCCCAATTTCGTTCATAAATCAAGATCATTTGTATAAGAAAATTTGACATTTTTATTAATCAATTGCACTGACGTAGATACATATTTTTTATAGTGTGGTCCCTGGCAAGTCCCGCGACCCACAAGTTGAGAACCACTGATCTAAAAGCCCAGCCCTGATGCTCTCTGTCCTGTTCCATCAGTCTCCATAGTGACGCGGTGCGACTTTGAGCAGGACCTGTGTGGATACGTCCAGGACCAGGAGGACAGTGCTGATTGGCTGAGAGTCAGAGGAGTGACCCCCACCTCCTACACTGGGCCCCGAGGAGACCACAGCACAGGGGTGGGTGAGTGAGCAGTGCGCTGCAGAGGACCAGCATCCACATGTAAAGCTGATTTTTGTTTTGACTAGAATGTACCACGGTGTAGTGTTAGACGTATAGATCAGGGGCGTCAAACTCAAAGACTAGGAACTGGTCGGGGGACAAAGAATTTGAAGGGATTTCCTTTTTCTAATAATTGTATTTTGCATTATGAAGGTATTTAGACATTTTTCTTAAAACAAAATGTCTTTATTGTTTAGATTTATCCAAAACTAGATCAAATATAAAGTTAGGTTCAGTTAAGTTATAAATATTGGTTAAAATGTTAGAATACATTCAATTGTGTGGTTTTCCTGAGAAAATGCTGAGAAAATTAATAATAATTGAATATCATTTTAGGGGCCACTAAAAATCGTGTTGAGGGCTGGATTTGACCCACGAGCCTGAGTTTGACCTGTCTGCTACAGATAATCCTAAATCGTGTCTATTCGGTCTCACAGTAAAATAGGATGGAGAGGTTTACCAACACTTTGCGGTCATGTTGTAGAATTCGATTTCAGATGGAGACGAGGCGCCAGTACAACTCTATGTCACACATTTTTTTAAATAAATGTTGAAATTGTAAAATTTTACAAATCCAGATCCTTGTTTGACAGTGATTAGATTCACTTTTGTTGCTCTTTTAGGGATTTCGGTGTACGATATCCAGAGCCCTTGACATCACAACAGATATAAAAAAACAACTAGTGGGCACAAATAAATACCATACTTTCTGCACACCTGTACATAAACCGCACCAGCATTAAAAAGAACCATTTAAAATAAAAAATGTTGTGACCAGTCTAACTTCAGCTTCAATACTCATTCACCAGTCTGACAAAAAACAAGTGTCCTTCAGCTGGAGTCAAATGAATAAGTCCAAGATATTACCCTAATTCTGCCAGAAAACTTGATTTTAAGTTGAACCCTTAAGAAAAATCCATCCATCCATCGATTTTCTTCCGCTTTATCCGTTGCCGGGGATAAAGCGAGAGAGTCAGAGACGCCCAGACTTCCCTATCCACAAACACTTCCTCCAGCTCGTCCGGGGGGGGCCCCAAGGCGTTCCCAGGCCAGCTGGGAGACATAGTCCCTCCAGCGTGTCCTAGGTCTTCCCCGGGGGCGTCCAGGAGGCATCCGGAACTTAAGAAAAACATGCAGATAGATAGCAGTGCTTAATTGTCTTTAAGAAAATGTGTGCAAAAAATTCAACTCCATTACCACAAAATTGTTCAAGTATTAGCGTTGAAATGTCATCGCTCTGTGCCTCATGGTCTAGCAGAGAACATGTGGAAATTGTAATTGAGGATTTAAAAACAGTAGGTACTGTGATACTAATTGATCTTCTGTCATAGACTGGCGATAGAATCCTTTGAATAAATAGACTTAGACATTAAATCAGCTGCATTAACACTGTAGATAATGGCCATGGATATCAGAAATCTGGTGCACACTAGGGTAGTCTTGCAGTTTTTCCAATGTGGTTTCACTGCAAATGACAAATAAATTCATGAATCTTGAATCTGGTTGTGTGCCCTAATGGTATAACCCCAGCAGGCTTGTAGTTAGGGGGGCTTGTGCAATTACAACATTTTAGGTCTTGATGGGAACTTTAGGGACTCCTTATCTACAGTGTACCTCCTCTCTTTCACGCGTTGCACCTTCAGCCCCTGACTGTGTTGTGTGCTCAGGGTTCTTTCTGTACATCGAGGCCTCCCTGATGCGTCCGGGACACAGGGCGCGGCTGCTCAGTCCACAGCTGCGGGGCTCCTCCTCCGCTCAGTGTCTGCTCTTTAACTTCCACATGTACGGCTCTGGGACGGGCATCCTGAGGGTCCTGCTGAGGCGCACGGACCCCCCACGAGACACGGTCCTGTGGAGGAGGGCCGGGGAGCAGGGCGTGGGCTGGATGAGAGCCGCTGTGGACTATCACTGCGACCATGCTCACCAGGTAGGACCGAGATGAATGGAAATGCAAATGCATGGGACATAACTTTGTTTGGATTATTTCTTAATTTGGTGAGTTAGTAGGTATTGTTTATCAGCAGAGATTGGGTCCTTCTTATCCCGGTTGAAACAGGGCCTTTCTGAGTGTAGTTTGCATGTTCTCCCTGTGTCTGCGTAGGTTTCCTCCAGGTGCTCCGGTTTCCCCTACCTCTAAAAACATGCACAATCGGTATGAATGTAATAAAAGAGTGAATGGATGGTGTTGGTTGGAGGCTGGAAAAATATTGGGTGACCTTAATCTGTAAAATGCGCTACATAAATAAAGATGACTTATTTATTTACTGAGTTAGTAGGTATTGTAAATATTTGTATTTCACTTATTTCAGATATAGTTTACTCGCAGATTGGGTCCTTCTCCACTTTTTCGTTGCCAGATTAGTTTCAACATTTATCTACTGCCCAATCAGCAAGTGACATTATTAAGATTACAACATGTGCCAAATAAGACAAAACTCTTCTGTAAATTCTCCATCTATCCATTTTCTTCCGCTTTATCCGTTGCCGGGTCACGAGGGCACCAGTCTAAGCAGACACACCAGACTTCCTTATCCACACACACTTCTCCTGCTCATCAGGAACGTTCCCAGGTCAGCAGAGCGACACAGTTCCTCCAACATGTCTGGGGTCTTCCCTGGGGGTCTCCTCTCAGTGGGACATGTTAGGGAACACCTTGTTGCATTATTTTTAAACCAAACCATGTTCGAAGACTGTATTTTACATGTGTGTAACATTTCTTATGCACTTGTATGGCAGCATATCGAACCTGTTTGAGCCGATTCAATAGATCTGGAGAATTTATTTCCTGAAAAGCAATACAATGACGACGGAAAAGCAGATCGTGACCCCCTCATCTGAAATGTGCAATAAAAGTGTTGTTTCTGTTGTAGATGGTTTTTGAAGCTACCAGAGGCCCGTCCCTCAGGAGTGACATTGCATTAGATGACATCGAGTTTAAACAAGGCCCGTGTGAAGGTAACTTATTTACACATACACAGCATTCAAACTATGATTCAAACTCATCCACCTTTTCACCTTTCACCTTTGCTACGGCCTTATCCTTTTTTTCTTGTCAATCTACTCACAATACCCTGTGATGACCAAGTGAAACACACGAGTCTTTGCCATTTAACTGAAAACAAAACACGAGATCATCACATGAAGTATTCGTTTTTCACTTATTTTGAGAACATGGCTGCAGCACACCTGTGGTTATTAATAAGGTTTAACTTGATTTGGAAAAGGACGAACCCGTCTATGTATGGTCCTACTGTCGACAGTGATTGTCAGAACTGAAATTAAGCCACGAGGGCTCAGGAATTATCTCTAGATTTTAACGAGGCACAGATCTGGGGAACGATTCAAAAACATTGGCGCAGCATTCATGGTCCCGAAGAGTGCAGTGGCCTCCATCATTTGGACAAGTGTGAAACCAGCAGGACTCTTCCCAGCGCTGGATGTTCAAACTGAGCAATCGGGGGAAGGCCTTTGTCAGGGAGAGGACCAAGAAATCTGTCACCTCCAGGTTTTTGTATCTTTCCCCTGATCTGTCTCTGAGGCTTACGGTTTCTTTTTTGACAATAACTGTTAGCTGTAGGACCTTAAATAGAAGGCGATTTCCAAATCAAGTAAAAGCAGTAGAATTCAACACATGTGCGCTGGTCGATTTATAGAAACATCTCTGTGGAAGCAGAAGCATCTGAGCTCAGTATTGTGTCTTGTAAACTAAGGTTGTCAAGTTTTAAGCAATGTATGTAATATTTGTTTTATTTTTAAGCAAATCATGGCAACAACAAAATAAGAATTTGATTAGTTTTGGAATAAGGTAGAAGACTTAATACTTTCTGAATGCTCTGTACTTGTAACCAGTAAAGACTTATAGTTGTAGGTCCATGTTACAGTTTGAAAGAATCCCTGATATGTCTATAAAGAGCAAATAGCCTCATTTTGTATCAACATTAATATTCACTTCCTGGTTCCTTAATTCCCCCTCCAGATCACGCTGAGTCGTATTCCGGCTTCTCTGAGGACTTCAATGACATCGAGAGTTACTGATGTGGGGATTAAACTTCAAATTCACATTTTATAATCAACATTGTTTTTTTACGCAATTATTTCGTATATGTCTATTGTAAATATGCAAGTGCTTCCTCTGTTTAAAAAAGGACAACGCATTATGTATTGATGCTGCAATGTGATTACCCAATAAATACGTGATCAATAAAGATTCCTATATTTGGTAATAAATGTGTTTTTGCAGCGAGTCCTGTTTGACATCTTACAAAAGGAAGAATGAGAACAGAAAGTAGCTACATCTTTTTACTGTGTATTCTGTAAAGCCATCGACAATTCCTGCAAATATTTCCTGGACCAAAAGCAGAAACATGCATTATTATTTTACAACCAAATAAGGACACAACATAAAATATGCTCATTTATAGTTCTTACAAATTTGCATCAAAGACGAGAAGTTAGTTTTAGAACATTTATTCGGCTAAAGAAAGAAACCAACCTCTTCATAATCCGAGCCTCAATGTACTTCCGTTTTAAATTATTGGGGTCATTCAAATTCCCTTCATTTACTGAAAAAAGCCGAAAAGACAACGCCATGCTTACTGCAAACCAATACTAAAGATATAAATATTGAAGTAAAGAGATGAGGACAAGTCGGGCTCACGATTAATAGTAACACAGACGCTGAAGCTCCAGTCGAATGTTCAATTAGACCGCACTAATGCTTGTAGTAACAACAACAGAGCAGTTTGCTTTAGAGTACAGTACAATTCAAACAGAATATATATAAAATCAACATCCTTCGGCTTGGTGAGCACGTTCTAAAAGTTGTCGTAGTCCTTTTTGTCCTTCTTGCCTTCTCCCTCGAAGCTGTCAGTGCCGTCGCTGTTGTCGTGCCGACGCTTTCGGCTGGGGGTCGCGTTGAAGCGGGTGTTGGTCTGAGGCAGAGGGTCCATCCCCAGGACTTTGTGGATCTGACGGAAGGCCAGCAGTCGCAACGCAAACTGTTGGGGAGGGAGGAGACGATTATGTAGCTGACCCAAACTACAATATTTAAATGAAAAAATAAAACACTTGGTTAGTAACACTCTCCTTCAGTGAGTTGAGAGCCCCTTTAGACAGAACTATTCTCTCCAATGCGGAATAAAATTTATGTTAAGCTAGTGCCATAGCATCAGCTGTTTGTGCAGAAAGTATAGCTGCTCTCGCTTTGAGACAAAAACTGCAGTAACATAAGATCTGGGTGGCAATGTTTTAATTGGACGTGCTGGATTTGGGACGTGGCCACATCAGAATAGCAGTGTTTCCGCCAGGAATTTGTTTGAGGGGGGGACAAAGGTACCCCAGAAAAAAAAAAAAAAAAAAATCACACGTTTATTGCAGTAATTTTTGTTAATATTTTTCACAAGGAGTTAGTGGACATGTGTGCCTTTAATATGAGCGGTCTTTGTGGGAATGGTTATATTCAAAGTATTAGAGTAAAATGAGTTTGTAAAACACCTGCGGCGCAGCGACGCGAAGCAGGAGCCGTAGTTCTGAGCGGAGCCAGAGCAGAGCCAGAGGTCTCCAGAGATCAGAGAAGTGTTTGGTACTGGCTCACTCAGATTCAGAGGAGGAAGACACGCAGGTGTCCAGTGAAGCAGACACAGACATTAGTGACAGGAGTCCGCGCCACAATAGTCCACAGTCACCCACAGTTTACGTCCTCCGTGTGGCCCCGTGGTAAAGAGGTCCGGCTTTTCGGAGTCAGCGGTAAAGCGGTCCGCACATTAAAAGCGGATAGCCGCTTTATGCTGTTACTCACGGTAACATTGGAAAGAGAAGCCATGAGCCACCACAATGCACGTTTTAACATAAAGCGGCCACCCGCTTTTAATGTGCGGACCTCTTTACCGCTGACTCCGAAAACCCGGGCCTCTTTACCGCGGTGTGTGTCCGCAGTGGAAACATTCTGCGAACGCCAGGCAGGGGACGTGGAGAAGGGGACAGGGGGGTCATAACACCGAGCATGTGGGTGAATGAAGCGGGGATAAACAACCACGGGTACGTGGGAGACGTGGCAGAAGCCGCGGAAGAAAACACACCGCTAATCTGCCTTTACGGACGGCGATGATGATGATGATGAAGGCAGAGAGGAAGAAAATCCATAAGTGTATCAGAAGTGTTGAAGAGCCTGTTTATTGTTGAGACAATCTGACAAGTTCTGAGCCCATTCATTTAATCGCTCTGTTTCTAAACGATGAATTCTGGAGCCTCATTTCCACTGAGAGAAACTGTATGCCACCAGGTCTTTTGAAAGGGTAATATTGAAACCAAAGTTCAGATTTCATGACTGGTAAACTATAAGCAGTGCCATCTTGATCATTGAAGGTCTTATACATAATACAATTCCATATGGCTGCTGACCATTGCTAAAATATTCTATATAAATTGGATCAGTGAATTTATTCCTAACCCACATTGTGTTTTCATAAAGATATTTCACATTGACTGTTGACAGTATTCCCAGAGCTCAAAATACACTCTCAAACTACAGCTTTTTGAAATCTTTATACAATAAACATTTTCCAAAATGGCCACCACCTTGATGACGTCACAGTATGCAAATTAGATGACGAATCAACATCCATCCCAAAGTTTGGTTCATACTGAAGATGTTTCTCATTTACAATATGCCTTCATCTCAAACTACTTTAAAAGGTATAGCCTTTTGAAATCTTGAAATCGAAATTGTAAATTTTTTTGAAAGAAATGGGCTAAGTGCTGCATGAAAATCCCTCGTCAATGGCCTGGGTTCCGCACCGTGCTCCTCTTTGCTGTCGTCGTTGCAACATGTCCAGAAGTTCAACTTTTTAGCACTAACCATGTTGTGGGTTTAGTCCATGGTTTTGTCAAGTAGAAAATTAGCATACAGCACTTACAGTCACACTGCTAGCAATCAGACATGGATTTACATTTGTCACTGTGAATGCTGTGATGTACAGGAAACACAACACAGAGATTACCCCTTAGCCAATCAGGACGCAGAACACATTACGCTGGTTCTTCCTTAGCCAATCAGGATGAACATTGCAAGTTCATATACAGTGAAAATCATGCTACAAATAAATTCAGAATAAAGAATAACACATTTTTCTTGTACGGAAGTTTCTGATTTGGTGTTTGTAAGTAATTTTTTTTCTATCATGTTTTAGATTATAGGTTAGACAGCGAGCCAGATCAGATATATCCCAATGAAAATAATGTTTTTGCACTTTATGATGTAAGAATTGTATACATGCATGTGTAAGAAAATTGAGGGGGGGATATCCCCCCCTTGGGCCATGGCTAGGGGGGGACTGATCCCACCCATCCCCCCTTCTGGAGGAAACCCTGAATAGGACAGCAAACTTTAACCTCGTCCATCATAGAGGGGAGCAATAATAACAGTTTGAGATTGATGTTTAGCCGTTTGTTGTGTCTCTGTCCTTCTGCAGTTGATGCTACTGTGTTTAATTGTTATAAAAGCATCAACTAGATTCAGAAATGACAATTCACATAAGAACAGCTCACAGATGAGCCAGTCCGTCTCCGAGGAAAAGGCCTTAATAATAGTTCACCACTTCAAAAACACAGATCAAGAGCACTTTCCTGCAGTAAGTCATTCTGGTTTGTTATTTTTTACTAGTTTGAGGGAGATTGAGAAACAATGTTGCTTTAATTATTCAGCATATTACAATAATCTGAAATTGCAACCCTCATATCGAAATACATATTAAACCGTGAATTCAGCGTCTCGTTGCATGCCAGTTGCAGTAAAGGTTGAGAATGTTCAATCACTCAGTTTGTGACAATCTGAAGGTCTTACCTGGGCGCTGGAAGTGATGTCCTCTCTCTGCTGTTCTCCCAGTGTAGCCAGAGTGTCTATAGGGTTCTTTTCACAGGGGTCCAACAGCCCTGGTCCTCCTAGAACAGACCATGTGATGTCAGCATTGACCTCAGACCTCAGATAAACATTTATTTAGTCATAATTGTCACAAGTCAAAAGCAAGTCAACAACACAATGAAATATGTTTGGATGAGAAGAACTAGTCATCTCAGGGGGGTGTAGTATGTGTAGTAATACAATGATCAATCAGTTCCTTTATGACCACTGCAGTCTATATGGCGGTTTAAAGTCACAAAAACTACAAGTTGTTTAGCATTATATTATAAAAATAAAGTTTAATTATGAAGCACATTAATGCACGTCACGACATGCACTTTTGTCGGGCGCAGCAGTGGGTACGGCGACTCGACGAATGCAGCAAACCACAGGAGATAAACATTGTTCCACTTTTCAATGAGCAGCAAAGTGGTCAAGGGGACACTCAGAGCAGGAGGAAGACACTCGAGAACAGGAAAAAAATAAAAAATAAACCAGGATTAAACCAGGACTGACAATGACGCAGTGCTTGTGGACATAAACCTCCACCCCGAGGCTAGATTCTACAGTGACTGCTAACGTGTTGCTAACGTGATCGCCAATGAGGAAGTACCAGATCATTCAGGTGGCAATAATATAGCTCCGTGAGCAGATACTCCTGTAACCTGACGTCTCTGGTATACTTGCAAAGTTCTTCAGCACAAGCTGCTAGCTCAAACTCATCTGCATCAAAACCAGCCCACCACGTCCACCGTGCGTCTTTGCCTGGATTTACTAAACTCATGTGGCTGAATTTTAGTGAACGTACTGAAACGCAATACCACTGCATCAAGCAACGATAGCCACCCCTGAGCCAACTAACTGGTCTTGCACACCCCCACACTTATCTGTACAGTACATTCAAACAAGAGGGAAAAGACATTTCTATTTCACTGTCATAAAGTGCTAATGCTTTGAGATAAGAATTACATCCATCTCATTTAACTTTACCTGCAAGTAAAATTCCAGATGAGATGCATTCCAGGACTCGCCTGAGGGCGTCTCCTGGTCCCAGTGGAGCTGAGGCGCTGCTAATGGCCTTTTCCACCAGCAGCTCCATCGCCTGATCACAACAAACGGCACAATGACAAATTAAAAAAAAAAATTTTTTTAACACAATTGGCCCCATTTACAGAACATTTCGAAAACGTGTTAATTTAAAAAAGTCAAATCCTCTCTCAGAGCAGAAAGCACAAAGAAGTCCTTTATGAAGTGGAGCTGGCATAACCCTACTCACCCAGCCAGGGAATGCTGACCAGGTGGGCACACGCTGGCACAGGTCCCGAAGTATCCGGATGATGATGACGCAGGACTGGAGACCATTGGCCCTAGCCTTTTGATGTAGCACAGTGAGTTAGTGGGGGGCAGTGGCAGTTCGAACACATTAGTATCAGCTTTTGTCACAGAGGTTCAAACACTACTGTGTGTAATGGAAGCTCCAGAGTTATGAACAAAAATAGCCTACAATCAGCTGCCATTCCCAGTAGTCTTGTACCTCTAAGTTAGTGTCAGATCAGAGTTTGCAAGATGCACAAGAAACCAGTGGTATTCTTGCCATCTTCTAAACCGAGACTCCGTAGGTACTGAAGTACACCTGAGGCACAGGGACTGAGAGAGTCAAGAAAATCCACTAGTGTCTGCAGCTCAGACAAGCTGCAATATTCTCGTTTCTCTCAATCCCCAATCTACAAATACAAAACAGTACAAGATTCAACACTTGGCACACTGTGTGCAGCTTATTGTGCAGCCTTATGGAATTAGCTAACTGGCACAGCCAAAAACCAAGACAAGGATGTCAATACAATATCCTCCAAAAACTTTGCCAGAATTTCAACCCGAGATCAAAGACCAAATGGCATTAAGTGACATCCTTGAATATTTAGTTTTACAGAATATGTGTCGTGATAATAAATGTGTTAAGTACAAATTAAAAATGACACAAGTCTCATAAGGCTACATACAATAAAAGAGTAAAATGATGTTCCGAACCTGGAACCACTTAGCGTGGCGCAGAGCAGCCAGAGCGTCAAGGCAAATTTGTCTGTCCAAGACGTCCGCTGGGTCATTCATCATACCCGAGGTTATATCTAAAAATGGATTTCAAGGGTCAAAATAGAGATGAGGAATGGGTGTTTGACCAGGTCAGCAAGCTGCCAGAGAACAAACACATTGCCACACATACCACTTCGTCAAAAAGGACTAAAAAAACCTCTGGTGAATTCTTGGTGTTTACTTTTCAATTGTAAAAACTACTGGTGCTTACTGTGGGTACCATGCGCCTGCATCAGACAAAGTGTGCCTAATAAAGTGGCATGGCTGTATTAGTAGGTGTGGCAAGGTTTGTGAGGTATGTGAGAACGGCTTGGTCAAAAATCCTTCCGGAGCTGTACAGAAGATCTGTTGGGACGCTGTCAGGAAAAGTTTTCTCTCATGGATGAAAACTCTGCTGCATTTGGATTGGAGCACTGAGGGACAGGGCACGAGAACTACCAGCAAACAGGTTAGGATACCACTTCATGCAAGCCTACTTTAGAAGGCTGGAAAGAAGCAAGACCATTCTTACAGCCTTTAGATATGGACAAAAGTATCATTAGCCAATTTTTTCAAATTACCCTAAAATCATGTTTTTTTTCCAAGAATCATTAATACTTTACGAAATGATTGAGAGTTCAAGGCATAGGCTTATCAACTTAACTGAGAATTATTTGTTTCCTGTGAAAAAGAATTACCTCGCTGTATGAGATTGTCTTGGGTCAAATTGTAACTTAAAAGTGGAATGATGCTGTGGGGAACAGAATCACTGCATTGTGCAATTTTGTGTACATGTGTCACTACATATACAAAACAAACCCTACACAGGAAACAAAATAAAACCTTAACTAGAAATTGCTGATACAATGCAGACAATGATCATGCTTTTTCAAAGAAAAAGAGCATTAAGGATAGTTACTGAGCAACGGGCCCAAAGAGCAGAACTGCTGGCATTTATAATGTTTGTCAACTACACAATGTATACAGTGTTTCTTAAGCTAAAGCAGTGGATAGAATGAGGCGTTTGTGAGGTTTTAGATGATGACATTGGGCAGTGCCAGCAGCAGGGTGCTCTTGAGGTAGTCCACAGTGAGAACAGTTGGTGCAGTGTAGCAGACCTCCTTCAGGACCATCCTCCCGCATCAACGGCGACGTCAGAGTGATGTTCACATTCATCTTGGGCTCAGAGCCAGAGCTCAGGACAATGGCTGCCTCCGCTACAGAGGCTTTCACTTCATATTTCTCTGGGGACACGACCTGGAACCAAAAGAACAAGGGGACACCATCAGAGCAGATTAGTCCGTGATAAAGTACAGATCTGATGTTTTAATGACAGTGTTAGCGTTTATAATAAAGATCAAGGAGGGTGAACAGAAATAACAGTACCGCAAGCTGAGCCGGAAGGTGCTCCACAATGCGACTCAGGAGGGTTCTGGTGGGCTTATCAGAACACAACAACACCAGGTTCACACTCTTGTCTCCGCCCAAAAGGAGGCCCTTGGCCAGGACTCCGACCCGCATCACCCCTTTTAGGGTCCTGCAGAATTTAACAAGGACATTTAGTTCCCTCTAGTTCTTTGTGTCTTACTCTCGTTTTTGACAAATTTGGTCAAATATATGTGACATAAAGTGAGAAATCCACACACCCTGACCTGTCTTTTGCCGGCGTTTCTTTCTTTTCCTTGTCTTTGTCTTTGTCCTCTTCTTTGCCCGTGTCTTGTTCAGTGATGATGTCTGACACAAGCTTTAGAGCTCGTTCTGTGATTGACACAATCTTTTGGATAGACTGAAGCTCGTCCTCGGAGGGATAGATGACTGCGTGTTTGGACATTACGTAGCGGTCATCTGAAGAGTCAGGGCGGCGCTGAGGCTGAAACACAGAAGCCAAATAAGTTCCTATGTGCTCAACGATGACTCCCATTCTCGCTTCTAGAACCCTACCAGCAGTCCTTGAGGCTGCATCCCGGGCAGCCCAGGGCGGACTCCCAGCAGCCCAGGGGGACACTGCTGAAAGCCAGAGTCTGGCATACGCCGGCGATCGTCCCAGTGGTGCTGATCTCCCTCCATCCGCCTCCAGTACATGTCCTCCTCATAACGACTGAAAAGAAAACCCCATGTGTAGGTCAGTACAGACTCTGTGAGAGCATATTGTGTAGAAGTGTTTACCGCATCTCCATCCTCCAGCGCTCCTCCTCCTCTCGCCGCCTCCAGTACTCCTCCTTCTGCATTTGTTTTCTCATCTTTTCTTCTTGAATCTTCCGAGCACGAATGCTCGGCTTGACCTCCACCTGCAGGTCCGGGTTAACCTTTTTCTGCACAAGGATATACACAAAATAAAAATGTCACCGAAATACTAACATATCAAAAGCAATTGACCCAAGGACCAAATTATCATGAGGTTATAAAAGGCAAAAAAGGACTTGCACAGACCTTGTACTGTAAACGGTGGCGTCTGCCTTTCAGATGCATTTCTTTGGCGTTAGGATCATTAAAACTACATTCACAAAGCTTGCAGTGAAAACGGATGACTTTGCCTTCATCATTTCGCACCTAGAAGAACAAGCAATTATATAATTTAATATAACATAACATAACATAACATATATATATATATATATATATATATATAAAATGGCAAAACTTATAAAAGAGGCCACAAATCACCTCTTCAACATAGTCATATCCGACCGGCTGGACATCATTCTGTAGAGCAGCCAGTGCTGAAGAGGAAATGGAGTCTAAACTTTCTCCCTTCGATTCCTGCGCACCGGCAGCCGCTACAGACTTTGAGGACTCACTTTTCATTTCATCCGGTTTCAGTGTCGTTTGCAACTTATTTCCACCTGCAATAAACAAAAAACACAATCTCTTTAGAAATGAACTCCAGAAAAGTTAAATTTAGTACCTTTGGCATATAGTCAAATGCAATGTTAGTTTTACTCACCCACAAAGTTGATCTTGGGGGTGATGACCTTCTTGGCTGAGGTGACAGAGAGGCTGGACGTAGGGCTTTTGCCCGTCACACCACTGACGATGTTGACAGGCTTCAGGTAGGACGAGGAAGTGGAAAGAGAGAAGGAGCCAGAGGAAGAGCTGTTGGAAGTGGAAGTGGTGCTCTTCAGGCCAGACGCAGAGCTGCTCGAGGTCAGACTGGGCTCTGAGGAGGGAATGGGCTTCCCCAGTTTGGTGTGAAGTTTCACAACCTGCACAAGGCAACAGTCATTACAATGGATAAGTCAATGATGCTTGTGGATTCTTAATGACTGTCCATGATCTGAAAGCAATTTTTTGTGATTCTTAGTCGTGTCAGAATGTGTGTGGACATTCAGACACAGCCCAAGTCATTTTGCAGTTAAAATTGGTGATTTGTTTATGACATGGATACAAGTTGATGAAAGGAACAGAAACATTCAGGTGAAGTGTTTTGGTGAAGTAGTGAGAACCCACCTTCTGGTGCTTGGCTCCTCTGATGTGAGCCGCGTAGGCGTCTGCCCCAGTACACGACACATCGCAGAGCTCACAGTGGAGCTGGTTCTGTGCTCCTCGAGGGAGAGACCCTCCAGAACTACCTCCACTGCTGCTGCTCTGAGACACCTTTGAGGCAGCTTCCTTCTTCTTGTGCTTTTGACCCTCCAGATGCTCTTTGTATGTCTAGTTTGAAAAGAAACACCTTTAGGTTTGCACCAAGAAACATTCCCAAATTATCTGCAAAAACCAATAGCTTTTGCCCTATTGGATATTTTAGTTATTTTATCTTTCTACAAAACATTCTTTAAAAAAGGCATAACAAAATATTAAGAAAAAATACATAGTTTATTTTAGTGCCGTGACACACGGAAACTGTTTTGCAAGATTCCCATGGCTTTGAGTATTTATGGCAAATACAAAAAAGCTTTTTAAAGAAAAAAGCTTTTTTTGGAATGGAATCATTAATTTAACTCAACCGTTTCTGTCCCCAAAGACCTTAACTCAATGCTATATTTACAGGCTCACCTGTGGGCCAGCACAGCTGATTTTGCACACGTCACAGTAGTGTATTTGTGGGGGTTTGGGAGGTTGTTTGGGTCGAAGCTGTTTATTGGGAAATGAAGGTTTCTTGGTGAAAGTGTTTCCCGTCCAAGCCGACGTGGCTGCCACAGCGGCAGCAGCCTGCTTCTGCTGCTGCTGATAGTAGTTGGAGGCGGCAGAGTACACAGCAGCCTCATAGCCAGAGTAGGAAGTTCCTGAAAGTGAAAATTAAAACATTGTCATGGATAACAATATCTTTTCACACTACACCAAATAAATGTACTTGGTATGCAAAGCATGATATACCAGAGTATGTAACAGCACTATTGCTGTAAGTGGAGCTTTGGGAGTAGGTAGGCACCACCGAGGCCGCAGCGGCTACAGGCTGCACCGTAGAGGTGACGGGGTAAATGAAAGACGATGCCACAGGGGTGGGAGCTGCCGGCTTTATTACTGTGACCTGTCGAGCCTGCTGCGTCTGAGTGTATGAGCTCGCTCCCTGACTGTAGGACGACTTTTGGGCTGAAAATACACCACCCGACACTATTAGTACCAGAAACAAAACACATTTTTTACATTTCTGGCACCACACAGGACAGAACCATTTTGGACATTAATCAAAATACTTGTTGCAGAATACTGACCTGCTTGGTAGTAGGACTCTGCAACAGTCTGCTGGGACTGTGCCGCAGCGACACCCGCAGAGGCAGTGGCCTGTTGGTAGTACTGCTTACTGTCATAGGCCACAGCAGGAGCAGTTGAGCGAACATAGGAATAAGAGTCCTGCAAGAAAACATAAGATATATTAAAAAATCCTTTAGGCAGTATAAAAATAGCAGTACCTAAAGTGCCATTTTATGTACCTGATAATTTTGTGATGTGACCGGCGGTGGCGGAGGAGGGACTTCCGCCTGCCTCTGCGTATAAGCATAGTCGGTGGCAGAGTGAGTGGGTTGATAACCTCCATAAGCAGCAGCAGTAGCCACAGCCACAGGCGCAGGGCGAGCAACAGCTACACTACCGGCGGTGGGAGGATACGCGGCTGCCACTGTGTGGGCTGCCACGGGAGCCTGGTGCACCGTGTAACTGGCAACTGTGGTGGGGTGAGTATAAGCTACTCCTCCGGTTGGCTGCTGACTGTAAGAAGGAATAATTTCACACATCACAACCAGAGACAAATATTAATATTACGGCTGCATAATATATAGCAGCCATTCCCAAACTCAGTAACACCGAGGCCCCCTTAAAAATCTGACGGGTCTGCGTGGCCCCCCAAAATAATAACCAAGAAGACAACATTAAGAATAGGCTCTTCTGGTTATTTTATTTTGGGGAAATAGTCTCTGCTACATACACAAATTATTACAGTGGATTATTCAAGTCAAATAATGAACACAAATATTTTAATATTACAAACAAAACATTATAAATGTAACATTAAATAATTATATATATATATTTTTTTTCTTATGACCTCCCGCGGCCCCCCTGCAGTACCCTCGCGGCCCACCAGGGGGCCGCGGACCCCACTTTGGGAGACACTGATATATAGAATACTAGAAGTATGTGATAATAATAGGAGGAGCAATATTGATATTGCAAAGCGGTGCAATAATTTCATATACAAATCATGCTTTTCCCTCGTTACCATAGATATTTAATTCTAATTAAACATACTCGCAACCAGGATACGTATTTTAATAACCTTGTGTTAATAAGATAGACAACATAAAAATAACACAGTTTTCAATGACATTCCGGGTGAGAAAACTGTCTACCGAGATACCCAGTGTCGAGTCAACTAGGTCAGCGCTCATCAATGTACTAGCGGTCAGTGTAATCTGTTGTGGCTGTCCGTATGGTTTCCTGCAGCTTTATGGTAAGATAAGCGCCCCCTCCCCCAGCTCCACAATGGTACTGTGCTGCTGACGCACTGGGTTTCACCAGACGGCCGCACGAGGCTGAGGACAGAACAGTCCGAATGACTACAAACAGTGACATATAGAGACATCAAACCTGTACTGTGCTGCTGCGCCAGGGGTAAAGCCAAAATAATTCCCGGTAGCCATTTTGGCCTCTTCCCCGAGCCGGCTGGGCACTGCAGAGGACAGAGAAGCTAACTGTTAGCATTGCTACATTGGACTTTAACCGTTTGACACAAGCTACAAGCAAATTACATCCAGTACATTGTTCATCCTAATCAATAGTAAATAAACAATTCTCACCATAAGTAAAAGAAACAACTGGGCAGATAGGAATCATTGGCTCGTGTTCCACCGACGCCCTGTTCGTAAACGTCTTCACGGACTATTCAGATTCTCTAGTGCGCATGCGCTGCATCCGGTAGAGTTTGCGAGAGGATGATGCTTTCATTAAAACAGAGGGGAAACTCGCGTTAATGTATCGCGTTATATTTGATACATGTTTCTCAACGTATTTTTACATAATTATCATTACTGGTAGCCTAAACTGTAACCTAACGACATGGCCAAGTGTAAATAATATTTATACTACACTGTACACAGTAAAAAAAAAAAAACAAAAGAAAAAGAACAGTCCATGTCCTGTGTGGCTTATGGTGAACTGGATAATTTAGCAGTTTAGTGATCCTGTCACTAGAGGGCATTACAGGCCTGCCTTATATTTTTAAAGTGCTAGTGTTGAGTGTTAGTTCAATCATGTATTATATTATCGATTTCAATCCTTATTCTGTACATTAGACTATGGCTAATATAGTATTATTAAATAATTAAATGGACAGTATAGTCTATATTTAAATTCCAGAAGCATTACAATCATAAAACCAACAGGCTACTACAATCACAGTCGCCTAAAAGTACAACATTGATAAAAGAACAGATCAAATCTTTCAGTTATATGTATCAGAATCATTTTTATTGCCACGTAAGTAATAAACAAACATACCCAAACAGAACTGAAATGGATCATCAGTAACCTCACCTTTCATTTTCTATTGAATTGTATTTGAACCACTTGGTTTAATGAACATGAAAAATTAGTAATAATCCAAAAAAATAATAATAATTTGAAAAAAATATAATTAAAATAGTCCCGCACCTTGGCATAGTTACCATCAGTCAGATTTGCTGTAGAACAAAACAAATATTTGTAACTAATTATATGTATTTTGTAATGTCTGCAGTGTACTTTGATTGTACACCTTTAGCGACTACAGTTGGAAACTAGCTGTTAGCTAATACTGACACATTTACTGCAATGTTGATAAGTGTGTATCGTCCCAATTCAAATAAACTAATAAACAAAATAAATAAATAAAGATGGGGTGAGGGCTTACCTGTCAAGTGGTTTCCAGGGACAGCATACAAGGGATTTAAAGTATGTGTAGTATAGTGGGGTGACAGAAGCTCAATTGGTAGAGCACTGGTCTTTGGACCTAATGGTTGTGGGTTCGAGCCCACCACGGCCCATGTCATCTGCTCCCACTGATGTGTGCTGTTGTTGTGTCCCTAGGCAAGACACTTAACCCCACATTGCCTGAAGCCCCCGCTGAAAGACCAAGGCCATGTCTTTGATCACGGAGAAGCCATCATCCTGTCCGTCACTGAACCACCTGCAGGAGGATCAGTGACGGACTGGTGCATTGAGACTTAGGTGGCACCCCCCGACCCAGAAATGGAATATTAAAGGGGTAGAAAATGGCATGACATGATAGTATGGTAAAAGATTCAAGACTTGCTCAGGGCTTATCAGCTACCTGGTGATTAACGACCACAAGATTTTCATAAGTTAGTAAGTAATCTTTATTTCACAGACCAGAGTCGCAAAGCGGTTTACATGTTATTTTTGGGCCTTTGTCTCTCACTCCACAGAGATGGGAGCGGGGTCGCCTGTACAGGAGGCGCATGCCAGACCTAATGTACATAAAATCGCCTATATAAGATGTTTTTCAAACATTCAACATACTGTAGCTATTTCGCCTGAAGGCTTTTCTTTTACCGCTAATTTTGCTTTGTTTGGCTGAAACCACCGTACTGTGTAATTGCCAAGTAGCCCTTTTTTTGGGGATCTATGATCTATGCTTGTATCCTGGTCTTTGGTCTCTCTCTCTTTGGTCTCCCACACATCCTCCTGCATGGTCCAGCCAAATTATGTTTGACATTTTTGTCTGCCTTTAACATTTAAAGGCAGTTTATGAAACTAAAATGGCTACATACTGCCCTTTTTGCAGCAGGATGGTAATTTTCCACATGTGAAACAAGCTTAAATCCCACAGTCACATGTCACTCCCCGCTGTGCTTCTCAATCGTTCTCAATCACACGCTGGTAAAGCAAGAAGAGGGTCTTTGATCAATTATTGTCGACAACAACGAATTATAGAAGATGTCAAGCAACACACTGATTCAATGTACGGAATTAAATATGTCACCAATAGTAGTGTTATGATTAGGCTGATATTTATAGAACAAGACCTAAATATCAGAAGAAAGGTCTTTATGCATATTTTAGTTTACAGAATCACTGGGAAAGAGATTTATAATCTACTCCAAAGTGATTCATTTTACACACTTTGCAGCATAACAATCTCATCCTCTGCACTTTTAAATTACATTGTTTTTTTCCATTGCCCAGTGTTTTCATTTTCATTTTGTTTAATATTTTTACGCAAAAACGTTTCTATTTTTAACACGGTAAAAATTTGCAAGGATGGTAAAATGAGTGCAAAGCAGGACACATTTTTCATTGTGTGTGAATGAGAAGGTCAAATCAATGCTGTTTTCTCTGCAGCGGTTCATCCCCAAACCACTGTGACATTGGAGTTTTAATTTGGGTCAGACAGACTTTTGGAGGCTGTCTGCCCTTTGCGACCTCCTTCTCTGGACTGTGCATCAGATGACACTGTTATTATTGAGACCTGCAGCGATGACGACCTACGATCAGAAGACCACTGGACAGCAGACAACAAAAAGTTACATTCACAGATTAAGGTGATGTCACCAATTCTTGTATTTCATTTAATCAATTATAAATTAATTGATAATTCTGACCATGGGACCCTGTATTATTATGTGCAGTGAGTATTTTGCAACAATAATACATTTGCAAGAATCATGACCAGTAAGATTTGCTGGAGTAAAATAGGTAAACAATGACGAGGGCCTCAAGTACTTGATTTTCAATTTGACCAATCGAGAGGTTGCGGAGGTGAGCGTGGGTGGGTCTAACCAGTGCAGTTAACTTTTGTATAGTAGCGTTTCCTTGTCAATATTTTCTATTGATTCTTAAATGTTTGAGTAGTCCTGTGTTTTAGCTCTGTAAAATAGGAGTTTTGTGCCACCTATCCGTGCCTATTTACAACAAGTTTGGTCATACAAAAGTCCAATACAATCCATGTACAAGCATGAAAAATGAAATGAAAGAAGTTTTCACTTAAGATCAATGGGGAACTCACAAACAGAATGTAAGTTAATAGCTGGTCACTGGTTTTCACTTGCACGTATTCGTGGCCTCTGTCACATCCTTGGATCGAGTTTACCGACAAGTAAAATATAGCAATCATTTTACATTTTAAGACAGCATGTTGAGGTCTGATTTGTTCACAAAATGTAACTTATAAAAAATCTTTGTGTTGGGCCAAACAAAATCTGTATGAAACCAAAAAAAGTTTTTAAAAATTGCCACTAATACCGGTTTGAAAAGGGGTTGGATAAAGCAGACGCATATTTTTTCCCAACCCCCTCTCACCCACTTAACACAATATTACACAGAAGAAAATGTAATTAATCAACATACAGAATGCAATTAAGATACAGTGCAGCACAGACAGTAACATATATTAGTAATATATCATACAATACCCCAACGCAGGGCACTCTAGATTATTATGTATATTTAGGTTTTTTATCAGCCTGAAAAAACGATATCTAATAGGAACAAAAGAATAAATGACAATGGAGGTGCATTGAGTCATTTGACACCTGTTAGCTTCTCAAGATTGGTTTGCATTATTGACTATGTGGTTTGCATCGTCATCGCACAATATAGAGACATATGAATTCACATTTGCCACCAATCCCCTGCAAACCTATATACTGTCAATCCTTTTCATTACAGACTCACCCTTCACCTTTGGCATTTGGGAACTCTTCACCGCAGTTTTAAAACTCTTGTTACTTTTGTCCCCATGCCATTCTCTGTCTGGTGGTCCGCCATTGCAATGAGACACATAAACACAGTCATTTTTTGTGCATCTTTGCAGTAGCACATTGCACTGCTGTCTCTGTTGGAAGTGCCTCTGCGCCATCATCCATCTCAGCCTCCCACACCTCCTCCTTTTGGGCTGTTTGCTTGTGTCTGAGTGGCACTGAGAAAGACAGTTTAAAACATGCTCTCGAGAACACTGTGACAGTACATTAGCATTTTCAGGCTTCAGCTGCAAATGACTGTTTGGGGAACTTCATATAGTTTGGAAAAGCATTTTTAGTAGCATTGAAATGTGCAGGTGGAGAGCTCTATACAGGAGAGATGCAATATGGTAAGATTTGCATACACTTTTTAAAAATGTTGCAGTGATTATTTCTTGATCAGTGATTTTTTTTTTCTCACTTCCTGCACTCAGTTTTTTTATTTCGTCAGCAGCACCTGGCGACAGGACAGCAGAATGAAACACAGCCAGTTTGTGGTCAACAATGCTGTTGCTGCCCACCTTCTCGCTCCTCATTGCTGTGGAAACATGATTTTTAGAGCCCTTCTGTGGATTCTGCTTTTCAGTACACTGGAGAGGAGTGCTGAGTTTATGCCAGTGTAGAGGATCGTAAGTATGGACAGAGTACCGTTACTTTTTCAGGTACAAGTATGTCACAGAGCAGAGGGATTGACTGTTTTAAAAACTCTGCTTTCATATTTCTTATTGCATGCTTTGTATTTTGTTTGTTATTTGTGAGCTTTTAATACCTGCCCCCAAAGATGTGCAATGGACATGTGACTCTTTTAGCGAACCAAAGACAAACTACAATCACCGTAGCTGCAGGACTGGCAGGTATAAGGCAAGGCAAGGCAAGGCAAGTTTATTTATATAGCACAATTCATACACAAGGCAATTCAAAGTGCTGAACAAAACAAGAAAGCATTAAAATCATAAATTATCACAGAACATTAAAAAGAAAGATAAAAAGATAAAATCCCTCAGTTGTATGCACAGTTAAACAGAACTGTCTTTAACCTGGTTTTAAACATTGTCAGAGAGGAGGCCTGTCTCACATCTTCAGGAAGACTGTTCCAGA